TACTTTATGAATATTTAATACCATTCAGTTTAGATGTTAATTTGTTTTTTTAAATAGTTAAATTGTCATTTCAAAGCATCCTAAATATGCAAAGCAATTTAAGAATCCCTTGTGCAATAAAAGTAAAGATAGGTTTATTAGATGTAATAAAAAAGACCATCCTGAAACACACAAATTTTATAAATATTTCATTTAGCTGCCAACTTCAAACAGTTAAGGAATTGCTGACATATAGAAATATTGTTCTTTAGTGTCCAGCACAGAAATAGACAGACTACTATTGGGAATTGATTGAAGGTTTGTCAAAACATATAAAGATATTAATAGTTCTATCCGCATACATTTTTAGCCTAAATTCTGGCTCTTTTACAAACTGAAGTTTAACACCATGACAGCCAAACACATAGGTTATCACTATTATGAGATTATCGACATTAGAAAGAATACTATTTATTAAACAAAGTGCAATAATTATATCTCCCATATTTATATTATGTCGGGAACTTCTATTTTAACAAGTAGCTTGTATTAAAATAAATTCATTGTAAATTTTTTCAATTGCTCAAGATCTTTATTACAATATTAATCATTTTGTGTTGATTTTTAAATCTGAAAACTATTATTATCTACTATCTATTATAAGAATCAATTGATAACCCTTTCCATCAAATACTAAAACTGAAATATCTCCTTAATTTGAGGCTCAAAGTTATAGTATTAAGTTATCATTTTGAACAATTGAAACTTTATACACATCTCTTTCAAATAATGTATGTCTTAAGAGTTATTTCAGTCAGCGTTCTCCAAAGGGTGGTCTGCGGACCGGCACCAGACCGTGATTCTGACGTTGCACAACATGAATATTTATGGTTAAATAAAAATATAATTAATTGGTGCAATTTTGAAATTTCTCCTCCGGTCATCCAAACTTAAAAATTTGGTAAATGCTCCTAAAGAAAATTATTTTTAAATACCTGTAAAAATTACTAGGTCATCTCGTTACTATAGATTATTAAAAAAAAAAATAAAAAATTGAGTGTCTTATTGTAAATTGTAATGTTTTAAGGCTGCTAGGTGTATGGTTTTGACTGTCAGGTTTGTCAGCAAACTGTCCTGGGGAAAAGAAGAAAAAAAATACAGGACATATATATAATACACTTGGACCCCGGCTTTCATGATTGGAAGGTGCTTTTATAATTTTTTAAGAAGTATTTGGCAACCCTAAGAATATTTTTTTTTTAAAGTTTTATAAGTTGTTCTCATTTATTCTTCCGGAGCATATTTTGAAACATTTCAAAAGCTCACGATTTTGCAGTACAAATTATTGATAATTTTCAGGGCCATCATCGGGAATTTCAATCTGTGTTAGTCAGATTTCACCCCACATAATGAAGCTAGAAGTAGAATGCAGTACACTGGTGGCTTGTTAATTATAGATAATTAGAAATTTGAATAATTTAATAATTTAGATTTTAAAAATGTATTTTCTGGAAAAAAATTCCCTTATGCATGCAACTTTTACATTTGTCATGGAGTTAATATGAAGGTCCTTTTTTTGTTCTCTGATGCTAAACATTTTCCCAAGTGCAATAATTCATATTATAATTTATGTATTTCCATTTATTTTTTTCAAGTTCCAAAGATTCTCTTCTTATTGTTATTATTAGCATCTTTATCCCTGTATACAAGTCCATAAAACATATGTATTTTCATGGCTGTTCCATTAACCACATTATTGACAGGTTCTCCCATCTTTCCAAATCCTAATATTTTATTAAATTATTTTTTGGGAGGTTAACATAAAGGTTTTACAAAAATGAGCAGCGTAGTGTAAAAGTTGGAGTTTAATTTACAGGTTTTAAAAATTATAGTACTTTGCTAATTGTAAAGTCTTCATAATATATATATATAAATAATTTTGTCACAATGTAAATAGAAGTACTTTAACATTGTGATATTTTTTCTGTTTTCCTTATGGTAGACAGCATGTATTATTTCTTTATTTAAATAAAGGTTATTTCTCTTCTGTGATGGAAATAAAGGTGTCATTGTATGAAATTGATTTCCTTGAAAATTTGGTTTTCTTTTTATTGACGTTATTATTCTTTTTTTTCAAGTTAAGTAGCTTTATAATAATTTATAGCATTGGTCCCCAAACACTGGGCCGCGGACCGGTCCGTCCGGTACCGGTCCGTGGATCAAATGGTACCGGGCCGCCCAAGAAATATTAAATTAATTCCATTTTATAAGCATGCCAGATTGTCTGGATGATAAGTACGGAGTACGGACACAGAGGCTCACAGCAACTGGAACCATACAGGCGGTTGTCCTTGATTTGGGGGAGGGGGGCACTTCCCCACAAACTCATACATACAAGTAGCTTTTATCCCCCATCCCTAAAAAGACACCAAACACATCAAACGATTTAATGGGGAATTGTGACGTCACTGGATAAATACAGAGGCTCACAGAAACTGGAACCATACAGGCGGTTTTCCTTGATTTGGGGGGGGGGGGCACTTCCCCCCAAACTCATACATACAAGTAGCTTTTAGCCCCCATCCCTAAAAATACACCAAAGACATCAAACGATTTAATGGGTAATTGTGACGTCACTGGATAAATATTTTTTTTAAAAAATGAGTGGGTGTTTCTACAGCCATTTGGCCAGCCCAATGGTCCCCATATTATGCTTCGCTCTGGTGGCCATGTTGCCCTCGGGCAGAGCCATGAGAATAGGGCAAAGAGGGCAGTCACAGCGGGCACCAAATTCTTCTTTATATGGTATCTTAATAGTGAATTAAAATATCAATGGAGGAGTACCCTGAGATTGCCACAACAGCACTTAAATACCTATTGCCATTTCCGACATCCTATCTGTGTGAAGAGGGGTTTTCTGCAGTGACAGCAACCAAAACAAAGCAACGGAATAAACTGGACATAAGCAACACACTTTGGGTGTCATCGTCTCCTATTACCCCAAGATGGAACCATCTCGTTGCAGAAAAACAAGCTCAGGGTTCTCATTGATTCAGCGTTATTGTGAGTTAAAATGATAAATCAGTTTATATTTATTTTTGATGTAACTGTATTTTATTTTGAAGGCATGTTTAACTAGAATTAAATAAAAAATTATAAATCAAAACAATCCAAAATATAAACAATCAAGACCCCCAACCCTCAGCGGGCCGCGGTAAAATTATCAAACGTTGACCGGTCTGCGGCGATAAAAAGTTTGGGGACCACTGATTAACAGTACAGGTAAATTCTATTTATCAAACTGTTATCTTTATAATCATGATGATCAAAACAAGTTTGCTTTCATTCCAGGGTTGCTACCTCTGCTAAGAAATTTGTCACAGATCATGAGTTAGAAATACCTTAGTAACCTAAAAGTTCATTTATAAATGCAGAAATATTGGACCTTGCTTTCCAGCAAAAAAACTCTGCAGTTTACCGAAAATTCCTTCCCTTTGTATAAAGAGCAATTGTGCCGTTCTAGATGGACCTCCCCCCCTCCCTACCCCACCTTCTCAAAAAGGCTCTCTTGTATGACGACAATAACAAATTACAAAGCTCTCAATCCCTGAGGATTTATTTCTAAGAAATGCTGCACAAAGATATCCAGACCATTTTATACATCGGTCTCATTGTGTTTGATTAAAAATATCACAATTTACCAAGCTTCAATTAATGCTTATTGAAAGAGAGAAGTTAACTGTTTTAATTAACGATTTTTCAATAAATAACTAGACTGTCTGAATCTGATCACCAATCTCTCTGAATCTCAAGATATTTACTTGTCAATAACAATAACATTAATAAACACTAACTATAAAAGCAGTTTTATTTGTACTGGTTACTAAGACATGATCTATGCTAATTTTCTTTCCTGAGAAAGGAGATGCTGAAAGAATAATAAAACAACATTGAAATTCAACCCATGGTCACTTCTAGTCTTATATTTTCTTATGTTTTCTTTTATAAAGGGGAGATTTTTTTAAGTATCTGTTTTCGTTTTAATTATTTTTCTTTTTAATGCTCCTTTAAGTTTGATCTAGAAATATCATAAATATTTAAATACCGGTATATTTTTTTAAAAACATCTCAATTGCCGACCTATCAAAATTTTAACAAAATGCTTCATCTTATGAAAGCTCTGTACTGAATTTCAGCTTTCAAAGATGTGGAGAATTCTATTGAAACAGGACTTCAAGTGGTCCCCTCATGACATCTTAAATAAGAGTTTGTGATAAAATAAATTGAATTTTTTTTTTTCATGAGTACATTAAATTAAAAATAAATAAATAGATGCAATTTAATATACCGATTATTATTAAGATTTTCATGTGATCAGCACTAACTTTGATTTCCTATGATAACAAACAATAGAACAGTTATGTTGTTTTTTTTCAGAAAAACATTTGAGAATCACGAATGTTATTCCAGTATGATAAACATAAAAAATGTATTTATATACATAAGTCTTAAGTGTAATAGTTTATGTACGTGCAACATTTTAGGACAGTCTCAAACTGTAATTCACTACAGCTTACTTAAGGGAAAGAGGAGGGGAGCAAGAAAGACAGAAGACTTGAACTGAAACATTTTTAAGAAACCAGGATAAGTTGGACATTAGCCTGACTAAGCTGAAAATGAAGCACCAGACATAGAAAGATGGAAATACACTGAGCATTGAGGGTGGGAGGAATTAAAACTTAGACACATGTTTTTAGACACCCCCTCCATCAGACTTAAAAATCTTGAGATTAAAAAGTGTAAATTTATTTATATGTGGAATGTGTTCTGTTAGTTCTTCACAAGAGAAGATGACCGAGGCTTAATTCAATGGAGAGTGCGCAGGTGGTAGTGCATTTACATGAAAATTGTGTAGCAAACTAAACTCACACAAAAAAATAGTTTCTTTGTACAACCGTACCATTCAACAAGATTTGTAGTGTAACAGAAACTTTGCATTTAGTTACAATGTATTTAATGTTATCAGTTCAAATATATATTGTTAATATTGTAAGTGTGTTACAAAATAAATGTCCATACCAATTTGTACATATAGATAACCAATTTATACACATCTATGTAGATCAGTTGCTTCAGGAGAGTGTAAAAATATATATTCATTCAAAACATAAACTTACATAAAATACAAGTTTTAAAAACAAATGACTTATAAAGCCCTTTTTTTTTCCCCATTAGAGCACAAAAAATTTACATACACAGGAGCCAGAATGATCAATAAATTGATTGTGGGCCCTTAATATAGAAGAAGTTCAAATTCAAAATGATCTAATAACATCCTTTGACATGTGCCTGCTCTCAGAGTATTAATGCATTAATGGAATGGTTTTTTTTTTATGTTTATGTGTCTTCCCATAAGCCATTGCCAAACTTTAAATATCTGACTAAATTTGAGTCCGATCCAAGCCTAATTACTAAAAATAGCAAAACATCAACAATAATAATATATATTCATTCAATACATAAACTAACATAAAACACAAGTTTTAAAAACAAATGACTTATAAAGACCTGTTTTTTTCCACATTAGAACAAAAAAAAGTTACATACATAGGAGCCAGAATGATCAATAAATTGATTGTGGGCCCTTAATATAGAAGAAGTTCAAATTCAAAATTATCTAATAACATCCTTTGACTTGTGCCTGCCCTCAGAGTATTAATGCATTAATGGAATGGTTTTTGTTATGTGTGTCTTCCCATAAGCCAATGCCAAACTATAAATATCTGACTAAATTTGAGTCCAATCCAAGCCTAATTACTAAAAATAGCAAAACATCAACAATAATAATATATATTCATTCAATACATAAACTTACATAAATTACAAGTTTTAAAAACAAATGACTTTTAAAGCCCTTTTTTTTTCCACATTAGAACCAAAAAAAGTTACATACATAGGAGCCAGAATGATCAATAAATTGATTGTGGGCCCTAAATATAGAAGAAGTTCAAATTCAAAATGATCTAATAACATCTTTTGACTTGTGCCTGCTCTCAGAGTATTAATGCATTAATGGAATGGTTTTTGTTATGTGTGTCTTCCCATAAGCCATTGCCAAACTTTAAATATCTGACTAAATGTGAGTCCAATCCAAGCCTAATTACTAAAAATAGCAAAACATCAACAGAAATAGCAACAAATAGTAAGCCACATCTCCAACTACTAGTTAACAAATATTATCTATGATCTCTGGCAACACCTGAAATTTTATTCCTGATGTGCGGTACTCTCTTGTCCCAAGCATTTTTACAAACATAGCCTAGGCAGAAGTAGCGGGATGCTGGTCCAAATAATCCCAGTTGTCCTGGATGGCAGAGATACGTTTTTATTTTTACATAATGAGCCTTTCGCATTTTGGCAGAGTACATTGCATAGATGACCTCTTGGTCAGTGTTAGATAGTCCCTGATCCAGCAGCTCGTTCACAGCTTCTTTGTAATCTCTAGTGAAATTCAGCATGTACTGAAAGTAAAAATTAATGGTAAAAAAAATCAAGCAACCATTTGATAAACATATTTACACAATTTTGATTTATTATTGTGATATTTTCATTTATTTGCATGTATCATTATAAATTATTGAAAACCACTTAATAACACATTACATAGGATAAGCACAGAACAAAATAGAAATATAGGTTATTAGCCAGAGGACGGAATTAATTTGTGTATTAATGTGAGGTAGTTTTAACTTAAGTATCGTACAGTAATAATAATAATAATAATAAAGTTTATTTGAAAATCACACTTCATCCCCAAAGGCTCGAAGCGCACTAAATCATATTGATGGATTTACAGACTTTGAGACTGAGACAGTGAACTTTGAAAGAGAATACACTCAGTGAGACAGTACTGCGTATAATGTGACAAATTTTGGGTAAAAATTTCTACCTAAAAGGAGTTTATACGAGATGCCCCTGTAAGAAATTTTGCATTGCAGGTAAACAATATATACTTATACCTATACAACTAAATCATCTTAGCCCACTTGCATTCCGGACAGAGCGGGCATCGTATCTCCTCATAACAACAGTAATGTAAATAGCTCCCCTTTTTTTGGGATATCTGTAGCTGTATCAGTATGCCTTATGACCAAAGTTCATTTTAAATATTATAACAATTTGAAGGATTTTAACATTTTTTATAAAAATGAATATATAGTTCTTTTGTATTATATTATTACAGAAAAAATTAATAGTTCGCATTATACAAGGACATGGCATTTTAGGGCTTTTTTTCCAAACCAAAATTTAGGGGTTTGCATTATACGTGGTTCACATTGTACGCATTAGTACACGGTTTAACTTAGGTATTGATGGAGCTAATTTATAGAAATGTTTAGCTAGGGCAGCAAGCAGATGTTCATTCAAATGTATTGTATCCAGACATGTAACTAGCACAAAGAAATACATATGTTACAGTTGCTCAGTCAAATATGTTGTTAACACTATTTAATAGTACAGGCGTAAGTACCAGATTAAGACCTGCAGAGGTCCTAAGTTTTATCAAAATCCCCCTCCCTCCCCAATATAAATTACATATGTTATTTGAGTAAATTTTTGTTAAATATCACAATTGAGAAAAAGAAAAAGTATTTTTTCGTTGAGACATTTGTGGTCACTTATGCACTGACCCAATAAGCGGACATTGTGCTTTTTATATCATCTCTGCTGTCATCAATAGTCTCAAAATGCTCTATCTCATGATTTATGTCATAAGAAATGTGTAAGGCTTGTCAAGTTTCTCTTAGTTTTTCTTTTCTCCCTTTAATGATACAAGTTCTCATGTATAAAGATACCTGAGATGCCCACCTATACCTAACTTAATTATTTTGTGGAAGATTATCAAATCAAGTCCCCCAAAAAAATTTGGTTTCATGTCCAAGTAAAAATTTAAGTAAACATTTATTAATTGTCCCTTTTGAATATCATAATAAAGCCAACAGAATAAATAAGAGATAATGGCAGCTATCACTTATTTATTCTATTCAATGGCGACTACTATTTTATAGACAAACTGGAACTGTGAAAATAAGTTAATTATTTTTTAATAGACACATCCAATTTTTTAAACTTTTTATTTGACAAAAATATTTGTTACAACCATCTTTTAATTTGCAATTAGCAAATGTTCTCTATTGTGAAAGTTCTTAAATTTTTTTTTAATAGCTTAAATATGCACACACAAAAAGTTCAGGAATTAAAAATAAAGAAGATAAAATAAGAGGTTATTATCGCTTTTGTTTTTAAATCTCAGATTTATACTTATGATAAATTGTGCACTTGTTTTTACACAAGTTTAATTTGTTGTTCTGAAATCACTGAAAGCTTTCAACAAGACATTTTCTATAGTGCAACACATTAGTGCTTCGATAGTAATATACTTTTATATTTTTTAACTGTTTCATAAGAATTACTTCAGATAAAGTATAAAAGCTCACCTCTTTAGTTGCAAGAACCATACTTCCAGACACCCAAACTAATTTGTTCTTCAAGACAAATTCTGGTGTAAATACTGGATCCTGGGGCCAGGCCTGGCTAAATCCAACTCTCTCAGGGTTAAATTTGTCAGGTGGGACCAGCTTAAATAAAGGATAATCTGTTCCGTCCAGGGATCTGAATAAACCAATATCCACCCATGCAATGTATGGAGTATTGAAAAAATCCATGATACAGGAACGCTGCAAAACATCATATTTGGCATGCATGGCACATGAATACTCTGGATACACTGTGTTTGGGTGGTATTTGGGATAAGACGGTAGGCTGTAAATACTTTTGATTTGAGCAAGGTATTTAAATGATGGCAGTTCTTCTCTGTGAATTTTAATGACTTTTGTATGACTGGGGGGTAGGCAGGACCTAATTTTCCTAAAGAAAATAAAGAGAAGAAAAAGCCATGAAGCAAGCATAAAAATACATAGAACAATACAAATAAAATAGCAATCATTACAACAAATTGTAGTTAAGGAAAGACATACTTGAAATATTCAATGTCTTCTTCATTTTCAATATAAGCCACAACACGATTGACCATCTTTCCAAATGTTCGCATCCATCTCTTGTACTTGTAAGGCGAGTGATAGGCCAATGGTTGTTCCCCTTTTTTGAATACACCCAGATCAATAAACATAGTAACAACTGTCATCTCATCTGGTGCTGCTTGAAGCATGTATTCAGGTACTTTTTCAGTGTCACACCACATATTCTAGGAGGCAGAACAAACATTTTAACTGAAATTTTACTAAACATTATGTATAGTCTTTATATTTAAAGAAAAAAAAACAAGTCATTAAGTTAGCACAAATATGCTGATATGACAATGACAGCTATCAAAATTTGGAAGTAAATATGAATCTGTAAGAATTTTCAACCTCAAGTTAAATTTTTTAAATTTTCAACACAATTTAATATATGGTATTTGATGTAAACACATCACATAACCTAATAATTACTAAATTATGCAGGACAACAACATTACCACTCGTGGATTCCATGGAAGAAGCTCAAGAGTAAAAACAATACTATCTAGTTAAAAGAGAGCAATATAAAAAAATATTATGCATTGCAGAATTAGATGAGATGAAATAGTCAAAAGCATAATCATAAAGTAGTCTTTCTTTCAAATGTTTCAGACCGGTGTATTCTTTTGTTATAATAACGCTTATCAAAATTTCTTGTAAAAAAACAATAATTTTCTAATGGATAAATAAACAACACTTTTTTTACACTACATTTTGAGTTGACATTTTATTAACTTAATATTATTTTGATTTGTATGAATTTTGTGTAATTTTTTTGCTCTTGATTATAAGAATTTGAAATTATTTTTAATCTTACAAAAAGCAAAAATGCCAATTCCAAGAAAAGACAAGCCTAATGATCCAACAAGAACCCTGCGAAGTGTCCATCTTCCATATCTAAACGACATCATATAAGTAATCCACTGCCGGTGGAGTTTTCCAATGATTATCCTAGTCAATGACATCTTATCCTCTTTTTACCTGTTTTTGAAGACCAAAGTGGAAAGGAGTGGGAACTTGTGTACATGAAAAAAAACAATTATAAAATGTTATAACTTTTGATAATTTCTTATGAATATTGTCTTTGTTTAATGACTGTTGGGAGTCCCTGTAAAATCAGAACTTGCAGTACAGCTCAGATATTCATTTACAATATTTTTGTAATTTCTAGGAGGAACAATTTTGTGATTTAGGCCCAGCTAAAAATCCACTTCCACACATGTGATTTGTCAGCTGACTCAGCCACACTTGAATAACTAAGCTTTTTATAAAAAAATTGGTAAAACAATTTGTACTGAATAGGTCCAAAGAATAATAAAGTAGTTTATCAATGGTTAACATTACACAGACTTTGAACTCTTAAAGCTGATATCTTTCAAAGAACCCAAATAATGGAATATGGGTTAGGAAAAACAAAAAGGTTTTTTTCTCAAAAGGACATTTTTTATCATAAAACACTAGATAATGTGATAAAGATATCTTTTAAAGGTAATTAATCACCAGAATTAGCCTTTTTTTCTTTTGATAGCAAGGCATTTTAAATCTAAATAATCAAGAATTACACAAATGCTTGTCAGCTTAGTATTCTTAGCACTCTAAACTGCTCTTGTCTTTGTTGCTGTGCAATGTATACACTTATCTAAAAATTAAGTTTTTTACTGCTTGCTTAGCCAGCTCAGGATGTTCATCAATTATTTGTGACAAAATAGGTATATATGATTGTTAGGCAATCCTCCGAAGTCCGGTCCCAAATTATTTCCAAAGATTACTCCTTACTTTTGTTTTGAAATTCATGTTTGCTTATATTTCAATAAATTTGTTAGATTATGGCAGTAGACCAGCCGCACCGATAAGCATTAGTTGGGTTATTTTGCCAGCAGCACAGCTAGGCAGAATTGAAGATACTCTGTGTGAGTTTTATGCTGTAATGCGTGAATGGTTGGAGTGGCTGGCCCGACACCCCTTGATCAGAAACAACGTTAATTTTGGAACAAGCAGGCGTCCTATGGCGTTAGTCGCTCGTGCAGAATGCAACTACGGTTTTTCGTGGCGTTATCACCCATGCTACACCCACAGTAGTGTTAGAACCGGGTCATTCTTTGCCAACTGCCATCTAAAAACTGAAAAAATAGTTATTATCATGTATTCTTAGGTTTACAAAGTCAAGTGTAAACACGTTATGTTGTTCGAGTGTCTGGTTAGCTGGGACACTATCGGCGTCAACTATAACAACTATCTTCGTCAGGAATGCTGTAATGGATGCTGACAACCAATCAACTGCTGGGAGGCTTCGATGCAAACGGCCAATCTGTTTTTGTTGAGATGGATGCGAGTTACTTTTTCCATAGAAAATATCACCATGGACAGAGACGTGTTGATTATGAATTGTGTTACGAGGGACAACTATCGTCGCTTTGCAAGGATATCAAAATGTCCTTCAGCTAACAATAGGATTTATGCTCACGCTGTCATTGTGCACGCGCATGAATTTGTCGATTCAGTAGACCAGAAAATTCACACAGAAACTATTGAAGGACTTTGGATGCAAGCAAAACATAAACTCCGCCATCAGAGTGGTACTAGTCAAGGTCTGTTTTCCAGCTAATTGGGGGGTTTCAGTTGCGCAACGGTCACAAGCAGAACGTTTTCTGCTGCTATTTGCAAATGCTATGCACCAATTACAACATTTAGTATTTACTAAATGGTTTGTAAAGCGACAGTTATTTGCAGAAGCTATGACTTACATTTCTGCTATTTTCTAACAAAATAATTTTGAAAGGGACTTTGGAGGATTGCCAATTGTTAGACTACATCTAATAACTTAATAACTGTAAAACAACTTTAATTTAAAAGAGTTTGATTCAGACAAGTGCAGAGAAATAATTTGAAGAACCCTTTAAATAGTTTAAAACTCTGCTTAAGAATAAGGAAGTAGAGAAAGCTATCAGTGCAAAGTTTACTCTCAACTCAATTTGCATCTAAACTTCAATCAGCTACATTTAAGACTACATCATTTCAAATTTGTAATCATAATCATGAGTCGCAATGAATCATTTTATCATTTATTATCAGCATTGGGCTTGGGTAATAAAGATTTATTATTGATGAGTGTATCTCTTTAAGTTTTCAGTATCACAAAAACTTTTTAAAAGGTAATAAGCCATAACTTCAATAATATTATAAAGCCTTAAGTTGAATAAATCCGAATTCAAAGCGATGTTATTCATAAGCCAGGCAATCATACTCTGATACTCATATAGTAGTCTTAGTCATACTATACTCATACTACTATTTACTCATAGTCATAAAAGCATTTTCATAATTTTTTTTTATGAATAGGAGCTGGTCACACTGTCACTGACAATAGCCACGGTTAGAAAGTTGCCCGTTTTGTGACCGAAGAAATTGTTCGAAAATCCATGAACATGGTTACGGTGCCATGGTTAAATGTCATACTATTCATACATGTAATTGGTAGGCCAAGGATTGTTTATCTAAGTCCATTGTTTATACTTCTCATGTCAGCCACTATTTCCTTTTCTTTCATTTAGGAGAAATAAATGCGTATATCTAAAAATACTTTCACTTCTAACTAACTGTTTAATTCGCAATTTTATTTATTTCTTAATTATTATTTTTTAATGTAAATTAATATTAATACTATTTAATTTTTTTTAACGGGCTTTCGGAGTCACCAGTCATCCAGAAAACTTGTCTGGAAAGTACATTCCCTCCCCGGCCATACTTTAATTAAACTTAATTAAAGAGTTGTCGTTAAAAGTTAGACTTAAATTAAGTAGCCCCCCCCCCCCCCCCCCCCCCCCCCCCCCCCAAACCGGCCTTTGAAGGCTGATAGTAAAGTAGTAGGTATATATTTACCGGTATATATATAAATATATATATATATATTAATTTATTTGCATAAAGTGACTCCGATGTACTCATAAAACAAAGTAATTGTCACATACACATATGGCAATGAAAATAAAAAGGGTTTACAACACCTTTTTACTAAATACAATTTTAATATTCAAAACACTATGTCTTCTTTAAACTTAAATTATTTAACTTTGTGAATAATTCTAATTGAATTGTTACTCATTTTCTCACCAACACTCATTGAAATATGATAGCTGATGTATTCTTCAAAATTATTTTATTCCTTCAAATAGTACATTTGGAAATAGGGATAAACACATACAATGTGTTTCACCTGTTAAAATTTTAATGTATGTCCAGAATACCAAACAATAAATGTTAAAAGCTAATTATAAGCACAGTTTAAATAGATACAAGTATAATGAACGCAATCAGAAAAAAGTAAGAGAGTTATCAAATAATATCACCCAAAAATAAGACTTCAGCACATATGAACCTCAAACATAAATTCTATGTAATTAGATTGTAATATTATTCTGAAAAGGTTTGTTAGCTCACTAGCTTGAGTAAAGATATTTTAAGGACTATACAAAAATTTGTTAATGCAAAATGTCATGGATTTTGTTTTTAGAAATAGAATTGCACAAATATAAATGATTGTGAAGTAATTTGTGTTGTTTTAAAATCTATTTAAATGTTAAGGAAAGATGTAAGTAAGGAGGATCTTTACAAGATGTAAGTAATAAGGATCTTTCTTAACTAAATGTATACTTTAAATTTAAATACAGCACATTTTATTAAATACCTGCCGATTGCATTTTAACTAGATTTACAAACATATTTCATTTACTGTAAAATCTTGAATAAAATTCTGCATATCTTAAAAACCAACTTATATATTAACAAGTATGAAATTAAAATAATTTTTCCATCTATCAAAAATTGATCACACTACTAATACATCAGATTTTTTAAAAATTATTATTTTTATCTATTAAATAGATCATTAAAATGCAACAGAAAATAAACTATGGTAAGAATTTTCATAAAATGATAATTATTAAATATTCATAAGAATGGTAAATTAGAAAGATAGGTAAAAGAAGTACCAAAAAGAAATATTATGGTGGTACATTATGTATTTTAACTTTATTTTCCATATTGGTAATTAATTTCTTAAATCCTTGAGGGATGCATAGCATACACAGATTGGAATATATGTCTTTTTACCCAAGATTTTACTGTAAAAAAATGTTCTTCATGCATTGTAGTTTTCATAAGGATTTTAAAAACCTCCCATCGTATGATAGGTTTACATCTATTTAATTGATGAACAAATTTAAGTCATTCTGCAAAAGAGAGATTATAGTAATTTCTACATAGGAAATTAATTTTGAAGCTATTATTATAAAGTTCCAAATTCTATTTCTATATAATTCTATAAAAAGATCTCACTCACTTAACTAAAGTTAATTTTTTGTGTATTATTGTTTTAACAATAATATAAGTCGTCAGTATAAAAAATACTGAAAATTTAAAATAAAACAAAATGAATTGTAAATTTTTAATATAAGACCATCATAAAAGATAATTTGTGTCAAACGTATTGGTAAACAGAACAAGACACTGAACTGATAAGTTAAAGACTGCCTCAAGCAAAAGTGTTCTTCACTCAAAACAAAGCACAGAATACTGATTCTATCTCAAACAGAATCCACCGATTGAATTGAAATCAATTATAAAAATTAGATTAATTATATAGATTATAAAATAAGCATCAATTTTTAACTATAAAGCTAGGAAAATAATTATATAAATCAAATAAATTATTGAATTAATAATATAGATTAAATGATAATCATCAATTTTAAGTCAATGTAACAAGGTTTAAAGAGAAATACTCCATGTTTCTCCTTTTGGTTGCAAGAACATCTCGCTGTTTTGGTAAGAAGATTATACGTTGCTAAAATTAAAATAAATTACAGCCCTCTGATCTCTATTTCACAACCTCTATGTCTCTCTCTGTCAATTTAAGTATACAACAAAACAAGGCAAATATTTCTTTTAAGCTTTCTTAAAGAATTAAAATTCTAGATAATCTATTGGCAAAATTACTGCATATAGGTCTATTTTTTTTACGGCACAGGCTGGAATTTATTTTAAAAGGTAGTAAAAAAAGTTAGCCAGTGGACCATATACTTGTTTTTTGTAGAGGAGGAAGTGATGTATGCAAAAACATAATTTTAATTTTTAATACCAATCAAACTGTATTTGTGTATGGTCCTCACATATTCAGAATGACTTTAACTATGCATGTTTCAAACAAACATTCTGATAGTTGCTGGTACTCTCACTTAAACCCAGTTTTGTTTTTACCAAGGAACACAGATATTATATTAAAAATATTCAAATTAAACCATTTTCATTGGAAAGAATCTATTGAATTTCAAGTCACACAAAATTAAACAAAAGATTTCTAATTTTCTTTGATGTGCTTCCTTGCATGGTAATTTCAAATTTTCTTTGATGTGCTTCCTTATCCTGTTCCGCATTTTCTTGAAACAACAAATAAGTCTCCTTAAATTTAATTTTGTTTCAATCACATTGCATTGTTGATAGCAATGAACTTTTTGTACACAGCTATTAGAGCTTGCACAGGACTGATGTACAAGGCACCATAGAAAAAAATATCACAGATCAAATTGGGAACCAAAGGCCAGACAACCATAAATATGAAAGCTGACATCAGATGACGGATCCAGGCTTTGATGAAGCCTATTGTCAACCTGAAGATAAAAGAAATGAAAATTTTTTATAATAAATATATGCAAGCAGCGAACAAAAATTCAAACTGGAGAACATCAAAGGTGATAACCAGATGATGTTCATCATTTTACAATCAAGTCTAAAAATTATTAAAGAAGCATTTGCTAAAGAATGTTATGAAAGGTTTATGTTTAATTTGATAATTTAATACGCGTTAGGACAGGCTTGCACAACTCAAAATGTAAGGCGAGCCGTAATACTTCATGAAAAGCTTGTGCGGGCCAAAGAAAATAGGACAGGGCTTGTGCAGGCCAAAATAAAATAGGACGGGGGGGAGATATTAAGAAAATAATTAGAGTTAAGAATATTTCGTTACTTCGCGGGCTGCAAAGTGGGTACTGGGGGCGAGGTGTAGGCTGTGCTCTAGGAGAAAACTAATAAGTGTTGAAATAGTTACTGTTAATTAGTAAGCTCATAGTTGAGGGAAGAGCTAAAATTAGTGAGTTGAGGGTAACAAAGAAGCTACCAAGACAACTTTAAATCAGACTGTGATATGTCTGTCAAATACAGTAAAATCAACCATTCTTAAAAATATATGTAATTACATTCATATTCGTTATGTAAAATAATGTAATATGCTATATATTCTTAAATACATTTTCTGTAGTTAAAAAAATGGTCAGTCTTTATTTATTAAGTTATATTATTTACTTGTTCAATGTTCTTAGTCATTTAATTAGAGACTTGGTCAAATAAGTTATCTTTGAAAATTTACCTCCACTCCATGTTGTTAAAAAATTTAATCCAAGTGAGTATTTCCATAACCTGATACAGTACAGCTGTGGCCAGGACAAACATTGGTGAGAAGAAATGATGTGAGAACATCTGCCAGGTAAAAACCACAACCAGCCATTCTGGCAATAATACTGCAAATATCATGAAGCTCACCCACTCTGCTTTACTGATGACATCTGTCTGTTAAAAAGGAAAAAATTGATAATGCTTCATGTTGACTTATTTGCTTTTCTAATACTTAGTTATCACAAAGACAGACGTGTAAGAAATTTTATTTTTTAATAGAGAAACAACGGAGGCTCCTTTATTTTTTATGTAGATAAACATTGACAAATTTAGATATCTTTGAAGTACAAAGAATTAAATGTTAAAAGGCAGTTACAAAGGATAAAAGGCAAATACCAAGGATACAATACAAATTGAACTTTAAACTTACTGATGAATTTGACACTGGAATAATATCTACAGTTGTCTTAGTGGTTGTTTTCACAAATGGTAAAAACATATCATCATAAAAGTACATCCACAAATAGAGAAGACTTGTTCTGGGGAAATCTTTCATTCCGTATACAAGAAATAAACATCTTCCAGGGTACAAGGCCTAGGATGGAAGTTAAAACCATTAAGAAAATACTACCATATAAAACTGATAAAGCAGTAGATATATCAAAGTTATTTATTTCTCATATCTACTTGTAAACTACAAAAATTTGTTGGAGCTCTAAGAGCCAATGTAAACAATTTTCAATTATACCTTGTATTCCCATAATGTAGCAGGCATCTTAACTCCATGTTCTTTTAACATATTAATGGCAAAAAGAAGAGCTCTCTCATGAGTAATATCAGTTACATTAAGAAAATGTGTCAATGAATCATTAGTCAGTGATAACAACATGTTGCCATCTGTGAAAAGTTCAAAATTTAAACAGTGAATAAGTCCCATTAATAAAAAAAGAAACATGAGTTTAGACATTTTAACTTAAATAAATTAATAAATTGGAAGCTTTAATTAAAGTAAATTAAATACACTATTTAACTCTTTTTAAAAAAAGAATTAAAAAAAAATTAAATACCTTTTTTTTAAAATCAAGTAACTTAGTGAAATATTCAAAGAATTAACTACATTTGGAAAGACTATTTGAGTAACTTAAACCTATTTTATTTTCCAAGGCAAGTGATGCATAGTGACTAGCCCAACCCATCTCCTCTAGCCATGTGGCAACATCTTTCTGTCTCCAGGTCTGCACAGGTTTCATCACCAACAGATTACTATCACTTGACTGCCAGTACCAGGCTAGGTAAACAACCTGTCACAAGAATTAAATTCAGTTCTAAAACAGTAAATTATTTATAAATATATTCATTCATTATTTTCTTGGCCAAACTTGATCTCTGATTTTCTTAAGTATGAAATAATATTTTAATCATAATGTAGTAGTGTGGTGACGTAGGTGATTGGTGCTTGGGTGTACCAAGGCTGCCACTGACAGTTACTAATAATAAAAAAATGAAGAAATGCAGGTCTCGAGGACTATAGCTTTATTAATGCTCTACAGAAAAAGTCACTGTGACTAAAGGAAAAGTCCTAAGAAAATATAAAGACTAAGGCAAAAGTCCACTATGAAGAAAAAGGACAATATAGAGCGTTCCAATGGGCCGCACTGAGCAAAGGCACACTGCAGGGATGCTGACCAATCTCGAATGACCCCCTACTTAGTGTGCACCCCTTTATAAAGCCGTGCGCGGACATATGAGAGAGCCCCTCCGTCATACTTAAACCAAGTCGGTCTAAGTTTTGCCTTCTGGCCTATTTCCTGGGGTAAAATGCCTAACTCTGGGGACTACACCCGAGTAATAATTAAAATCCCTGACCAAAGCCCTAACGACTTATATGTGATCTGTGCAGTTTTGTCTCAGCTCTCTAAGATGCTATTTTATATTTCTATGAGTTAAGTAGTTTTTGAGATATTTTAACTAGAAGGGGTGGGGACCACTATAGATGAAGGCGAAAACTCCTTTAATGACTAAATGTTCACATATCCTCCAACGATGGAGACTTGTAAATATGCTATGGAATAGTGAATAAAATCCCCTTTCTAACTAGATATAATTTATAACTTAATACGCTAGGGTTCCCGAGAAATAAATTATTGAATTTCTAACTAAAGCGCACATCGTGGTATTTTATTATTTCCTCCTTATCCGCGAGAGAAGCCGGCCGCATAGAGACCGTCCGGACTGGGGTGAAAGGGATACCTGAGGTCAACATTCAGATCCAGTGCTAGGCGCGGTCACACCGCGCGTTGAGTGCCAAACATGTTTTTCGTACTAATAGCGGTTGTCTCAAAATAACGGGGCTAATAGCGGGTTTCCAAATAACGGGGCATACACTGCCACAATAAAGAATTAGTTTTCCTTTTTATTTGCTCTAAAAAATTATTTCTCCGTTTTTAAAATAACATTTTAAAATATTTGATTTAACTTTAACGTTAACCGTTTTTAACATTTTTAAGAGGACTACTTGTCAGATGTGATTACATTACTGGTAGATATAATTTCATTATTTGCATGCTTAGTGAGAAATTCTGTAGATTTTAAGTAGTGGTTAGTTTGAAAATTGCATAAATAAAGAATGATTTATAAAGTGAATTTTAGTTTACACTAATTAGTTTACAAAGGTTTTGATAAAGTAGATTTAGTACGTAAAAATTGCATGGCATTAATAATTATGACATTCAGAGTTTGCATTTGTTGTGATGAAAAAGTTTGTTGTCAAATCTATCAGGATATTAATTGTGTTCTGGTCAATGGCTTTTATGAATCATTCATGGTATATATCTTTTAAAAAAACCAGTAATGTTATACTAACTACCAGTTACACTTAAAAAGATTAATATTACTTTTATTTCAAAATTAACACGCTTTACCTACCACAGACACGCATAAAGCAATTATAATTCCAGCACAAAAAATAAAAATGTCTGTATTTTTCTTTGTTTGACCAATGTTAGATTCAGCAAGTTGCTTTTCAAATTTCTTTAATAGGTTCTGGTCTTCAGTTTCTGCTTCTAATTCTTTCTCTCGATTTGTAATCTCTTGGGGCATGAGCTTTCTCACCAAATTTCTGAAAAATATTTGAACTTAAATTTAACTCCAACAACTGAATTAAAGAAGAGGAAGCAGAGAACTCTTCTGCTTTCTTTTTCAGCCCCTTATATGATTTGCATTATATATTGTAATAAGATTACATACTGTAATAAGAAAAAGACTCTAAAATTATATTTTTTAGATCTGTTGTGGCCCTTGAGACATCAAAATATCTTCATGCAGACATAATGAAAGTTTGAGACCACTGAAATAAAGTGGTTTTAGCTAGTCAGAGGCGAAGAGATATATAATAATAACCTTGCATGTTACTGGATGATTTTCTCTGATTTTCTTTTGTAATAATGCCTTTAACTGAGAAACTGATTAAATGTGTTATTAAACTAAAAATCAAGAGATAACAAACAATACAAAATATTGAAATCTTATTGTAATTTTAAAGTTATAAATGAATCACTTTGAATTATGCAACATGTGCTTAAAAATTATTTACCTGAGTTGAAAATTGACTTTTGGATGCCCCATATAAGTTTGCCGACACATAGGACATTCTTTTTTTTTTGAATTGAAGTACCACTTTGCCAGGCAAATACGGCATGATGTGTGGCCACATGTTAGGGTTGTGGGTTGGACTGCAAGGCGTAAACAAACAGAGCAGGCAAATTCTTCTTCAAGATCATTAGAAATTCCTGAAATTAATTTGATGTCTTTTAATGATAATCTCAGATTGATATGGGTAGAATTTAAATAATTAAAGCTGACCTATACATTCTAACAAAAGTAAAAGATAGTGTTTCACATGTAGCATTCAGTGAATAGCTCCATTTTATACTTAATATGATTTAACTCTTTAAGCCACTGGTTCCAAATTAAGATTTATCAACTGAGTATGTCTGTCATGCTTATTGTGCTTAGGTTACAACCAAAATAGACAACCTCAAAAGGCAATTATTATTATTACCTGTTATGTTTCTATGAATAAGTTCAGTCCTATTTCTCTCTGTAGTGTCATCACTGGGATTCATTTTGAATACCGGTACTTAACTTAAAGATAATTTAGTGTAAAAGACATTAATAATATACAACATTTTATTTTCCTTTACGGTATTGGAAGATTATACAGTAAATGGCTGGATGAAATGTTGCGCAGGTAACAAACTTAAGTCTTATTTAACAGTTATAATTATAAATTTTTACTTAAGCAGTGAAGACTAAGGTTGCACTGATGAACTGGCAGCAATTCTGTAATAGGCCGAATGCCAATTTATTTATTGCAATGAGTTAAACAAATAATAATTATAATTGTAATTTATTTTAAAACATCATTATTGCAATTATGGCTACCTGGTTTTGCCCAAACGCAATGTTAAAGAAATGAACTCATTTAATTCTAAAACCATTTATTTTTATGAATATCAGACATCTGTATTACTCACTAAGTTAGCTGAACAAGTTAACCACTGAACTCACTATAAGTACTATAACATATGAACTTTACTAAAAAAGTGAACTTAAGTTAGATTTTACATTTTGTATTTAGACATTAGTATAGTATATTTGGTGACCCGACAACTGAACGCACGACAGGTGAATCTACGACAACTGAACCTAAGACAACCGAACCAATGACTAGTGAACCCACGGCAAGTGAACGCACAGACAAGTAAACTAAGACAAGTGACCACACTGACAACTGAACCCATAGACAACCACAAAAAATAATAAAATTAAATAGGATATGTAAAAAAAGCCGAAATGTCTAGAAAATGTACAATGTAGAGATTAAATACATTAATTAATAATCATTATAACTCTACTAAGCATGTTTTTTTAGACGATATTTATTTCGCATAGTTGAGAAAAGCTATATTATAGGATTACTGATAGACCTACCATTTAATATGTATCAATTCAATTGTAAATTAATGAAAACTCAATAAAAATCAACAACAATCTTAAAATATCCTGAATAGTATGGTATGATTCTGGAAAGTATGTCTTGAGGCAGGTAAAAATACCACTTTATTTTTTGTGTAGTAGCGGAGAACCGAATTTCAAAATCTGGAAAGGATAATTAAAATTAAGCTAAGAGCTAGAGCCTACTTGTTTACGACGATACTGTCGATAGCATTGGGCAGTAAACTCATCATATTATAGGCCTATACATATAGGAATACATTTCATTATCAGAGTCGCTCTGAGAGTATCCGTAAGTTGACATTTCTTTAGAAGAACAAATAACTCGCTCTAATTCTAATTGCAAAACTAAAATAATTTGCCAACTATATTATTATTCATTTTTTAATAATTTTTTTGAAGCCGCAACGCTTAGAAGTAGAATTATTTTTTAAAGCTAATTTAACCAATGAAAATAATTATAAAAATATATATTCATTTAATCAGTACAAAATTTTACTTTGTAGGTTTTTTAAGCGTTTCGGCATTTTTAAATTTAATACATATTCTATTCAATTTTATCATTTTTGTGGTCACCTGTCGTGCGTTTGGTTGTATATGGGTTCAGTTGTCAGTGTGGTCACTTGTCTGTGGGTTCACTTGTTTGTGGGTTCACTTGTCCGTGGGTTCACTTGTCATGAGTTTGGTTGTCTTGGGTTCAGATGTCGTAGGTTCACCTGTCGTGTGTTTAGTTGTCTGGGAACCAGTATATTTATATATATTATATATAAATACAATTATAAAATAGTTATATTATTATTGTTTAGAGTGTTATACAGAAGAATAAAATACATTTATTATAGAATAGCATATCTTATATCTATTGTGGCTCTGGTTGAATGTGATACTGTATTTATTTATATCTGTGGTTTTTCCATGCCATAAGGCTATGGTTTTAGCAGTGGATTGGAAGAATTTTCTTGTCAATTTAACTTTATATTGTAACCTTGTAGTGTTCAGCATGACTGACATTGTTGTTGCACAGTGTAATTCTCTATGTTTAGAATCATTAAAACCAGGGAGAAGGAAACACTTTATCTTACACAGTACAATAACAGCAACAATAAGTTAAAAAGTTAACAATTATACAAATTCTAAAAGCCAAACAATTTATTTTTCAATTTTACTTTAAGCTTTAATTTAATATTTGTTTTATTATTTTTATTAAAAAATATCTGAACAGCTTAGTATTTATAAATTAATAACAATTACAGTCATGAGAAGATTACTGACTTTAATTCTAACATAATTTCAATAATTTCATATTTTTTCTGACTTTAATTCTAACATAATTTCATATTTTTTCAATCTTCTCATGTCATAGACCAGCGGTTCTCAACGTGTGGATTGCGACCCCTTTGGGGGTTGCATGACCCTTTTACAGGGGTCGTCCAAGACCATCTGAAAACACACAGGCTATACTCCAAAGTTGTAAAATATTAACGAAAATAATTTTGTGGTTGGGGGGCGCCACAACATGAGGAAATATATTAAGGGTCGCGGCATTAGAAATGTTGAGAACCACTGTCATAGACAAAGGGGGAAGAAAGAAGAAGAAAAAAAAAAGGGGGGGGGGAGAAAGAAGGGGGAGGCTCATATTCAAATAAACTTCAACTTTAAGTTTACATGTATAAATAAAAAAAATTGGGAAGAAAGAAGAAGAAAAAAAAAAAAGGGGGGGGGGAGAGAGAAGGGGGAGGCTCATATTCAAATAGACTTCAACTTCAAGTTTACATGTATAAATAACAAAAATTATTTTAATAAATAAAGTAAAGGCATGTTTCCTAAAATAAACAGAGAACTTGACAGTCTCTTAACTTTATACTTTACTTTATGAACTTTGTTACATTGATTAAATTATTTAAATATGATTTTTTGTTTCCAACCAAAATCTGATATTATTTTATTGAGACTGTCTAAGATAAACAGGACACTCATTTTCAGTATCAAAATCAAATAATTGTCAAATGCCAATCAATTTGATTTAAGGGTAGGCCGATTTAAGTTACTTTTAAAAACCCATATGGATCTTTAGCACAATAATAATAATGTGATATTAAGTAGGGTTAACTTATCAACTTGTTTTTGTTACAGTTAAAACAAAAATTTTCCTGACCACTGACTACATTGATCTCCCCTTTTGAGACTTTCGTTAGTTACCGCGACACTAGACAGTTTTTAAGAAAGTAAGATAGAATAATAATTATTTATGCATTTCTATTCACTGATACTGATCAAATAACACGATAAACAAATTGTGGAGAATGAGTGTAGGTAAAGAGAGTGCATATAATTTTATTTATGTAGCGCCTGGTGATATAAGTCTAACATACATAATAACTAAATTTAATAGCAGGATGTATAAATAAGTAATATAAAATTTATAATATTTAATATAGTAATTTGTAAATTTACCGCAAACCTTAACTGAAAATAATGCGTAATCTCGTTATTTCCCGATTGTTATGGTTAGTGTAAATAAAAAGTACAACTTTAAAAAAAACAACAAACAAAAATACTGCATAAGAAAAAATAACTTGATTAGACTCGACTTCAAGGAGCAAATGCAGTTTTCTGCTGGATATCCCAATACTTATTAGAGCCTACATGATTATTATTTTAACTGGTAGGCCCTATTTATATTTCTGTTTAACAAATTCAAATTATGAATTATAATCAAATTCATTCGCAAAGTTCTGATGCTCAGCACTCAACTGCCACTGACTCACTGAGTGACTGAGCCTGACCACATTTAATCATGATTATAATTTATAATAAAAATACTAGTCAGCCTAATACTAATATAAATGATAGCTTGGTTATGCATTAAATATTAGTAGGGCATATTTATATACCAAGCAGGGGTGTACAACCGATTTTGTGCCCAACCCAGCATCATTCATTCAGTTCCACATGCATTCATGACATTACATAGAATTAGAATCATAGAAATTAATTTGTTTTTGGGGCCTTTCATAATGATGTGGTGCACATTAATGATAATGCATGTCATTAAAAAATTCAGCTCTAAAGTGGGGGAGGGGTTTTAAGAAAATGTGATGAAAAAGTGAGAGAGTGGTACAGGTATTAGTCTTAAGGTCACACTTTTTATAATTATTATTTTTATATTTATTATTATATACTTATAATAATATACACAAAAAACCTGACATTTACAGTGATGTTTAACTTTCTGTTGTGATGGATGTAATCTAACAAAAGATGTCAATTTTATGAATTTAATAAATTAATAATTAATAGCCAAGTGTGTTTTATATTAAATTTTAATAATAATTAGTTGTTAAATTTTAACAATTTTTAGTGTGAATTTGTGACATACTTTGGGGTGCCGGGTCCCGAGATTTGTGACAGGGGGGAGGTTGGTAAATATTGTCAAAAAATAGCAAGACCTACTTAATGGATGACTATTTTTTTATTTTTGGGGCTCTATAGTTTAATATAAAACAAAAGAAAATTTTTATAACTTATAATTCTAGAAAAGAAATTGATATTTTTTCAAATAATTATAATGAGATAACATCTGATAACTAGTTAATAGTGCAGATAGTGAAACATTAACCCAGTTGCCGGAAAGTCTTGCAGGCCATATTTAACTCTCAGAGGGCAGCCTGTAGCCTGTTAGCCTTAGGTTCCATCCCTCTTAGCTATAGACTATAGCTTATACCAGTGGTTGGCAAAATCATTAGTCAAAAGAACCAAAAATCCACAGCAGGACAATTAAAAAAAATTTGAGAGCCAAATTTCTTTTCAAGAACCATGTTTCTTCTTCTTCTATATCATAAGGGCCCACAATCAATTTATTGATCATTTTGGCTCCTATGCATGTAGATGGGATTTGCAATGTTTGTTGAAGTCAAAACCGATTTGTGGCCGACCGTGATTCGCCAATCACTGGGCTATACTTACCCCACCTTATTATAATTAATAAGATATGATATCACTAATAATATAAATTTGGGTACATTATTATGCATTCATTATACTTACATATGTTATAATATGAAACTAATAAAGCAGAGCTTTCCAAGCTTTTCATGCTGATGAAAAAAATTTAGACATCCATCTTTTGTGATACAGTATTTAAGTTTCAATAGCAAACTGGAAGTTACACTGTAAAATTCGATTAATCAGGTAAGATTAGTACAAAAATAAAGTATACATTTCCAACATTAATGTGATTGCTGTCTGTTATTAGAAGATTTTTATGTGCAAATAAAAGTAAAAGAAATTTTTATTTTAAATGTATTTAAGTTGGCTTTACAGTGTTTACTTATAAGTCATCTGCGCTCTCCAGCTGACACACCGTGTCATGACACACATTTGGAATATATAGTATAGGATATGCCTGAATTTAATTCTTCATTATTAATTAGTAGCCTAGTTCATTTTGCGGATTTATTCAAATCAATGGGCATGGGTTGTTCAGCAAATACTGATACATTTGGATAAAGCCTACTGTCATATTATTAAACTTCAGACCTAAGTTTAGGCTTAATATACCAGTAACTATTTATTGGCCTACTATCATTACACATAACTTATGATTAAGCTATGAACTAACTAAGGCGATGAAGGTTAAAAGCAGGTGGAGTGTGAAAGACAGAAAAAGAATTAATCTAACATCAAGACATATCGACATAAGAATGAGAACGTTTAATTATTGCAGTAGTTTTGTTTAATGAACTTGAAGCTGCCCTTGAACGTTTTAAAGAGCAAATGAAGACGGGCATGTTAATATAATAGCCTTTGACAGTCATATGAATAATAATAATAATAATGATAAAATCAAGTGTAAAAACACATATTTGACAGCAGACACATTTAAATAACTAGGTTCCACAGTAAGTTAGCAAAATGAAATGACAAATGAGGTAACCATGCATATTTTCCCCTAAGTAAAATATTAGATGCAGAACTGTCTTGAGGAAAACATAATAGGGGTCCCTATGCACAATTAAATTTCTCCTGATTAGAAGGCTTACAAAATCCTCATGGCCTCTCAGACATGATTTGGATACTGTCAATTTATAATACCGGTATCAGTGATAAAGAATATAAAACATGTATGTACATTTGAGACTTACATTAAGTCATCTGTTTGCCAATACATTCTTCAGTGTCTTTCTAATGGCTATGACTATGATGCCATATGACTCTAAAAGTGTACCTTATTTTGATATCATATAATCATATACTTAAAATACCGTTGTATACCCATACCCGTTGTATGGGTCACACTTTTTTTAACAAAAAATTTTGATAAAAACCAGAAATGCGTCCTATCCCCACAGCATATCAGTGTGTACCATCATGGGATCAAGCATAAGCAAGAGCAAGGGAGAAAACTTGAGTCAGAGAATTGTTTTATCCTTTTCTCTTGCTTATCAAGCAGAGCACAATCAATTTTTTTTTATGTTAATTAAGATCACTTAGTTTATGATTACACTTTTCAGTTTTTAAGTTGTTATGGAAAAAAATTTGTGACATCTATTTACTAGAAAAGGAAAAGTATTAAAGACATATCAAAATCCTTTATTGAATTAGAAGACGCATCTCTACAAGCAGGGCTGGAAGTTAACAACCAAAAAACAAAATACATGTTCATGATAAGAGAGGAACAAACAGATGAAACAATTAAAATTAGAAACCAAACTTTTGAAAAAGTAAATCAATTCAAATACCTAGGAACTTTGTTAAATGAAAGAAACGAATAACTAACAGAAATAAAAGAAAGAATATCAGCCGGAAACAGGGCATACTTCAGTAGTCAGAAAATACTCAAAAGTAAAAACATTACAAGAGAAAAAAGAAAACTATTTATAAAACTGTGATCAGACCAGTTGTAACATATGCAAGTGAAACTTGGACCCTAACAAAAACAGTAGAAAACCTATTAAACACATGGAGAGGAAAGTTCTCAGGAAAATATATGGGCCAACAAAGGATGAATATGGATGGAGAATACTTGCCAACAGGAATTATACAGTCTATATCAGGATCCCACGATAGTGGCAGAAATAAAAAGAGGCAGGCTACGCTGGGCAGGACACTTAGAGAGAATGCCAAATGACAGAGGAATGAAGAGGGTGCATCGCGCCAATACCCCAAAGGAAAAAGGCTGAAAGGCAGACCTAGGCTTAGGTGGATAGATGATGTAGAAAAAGATCTACAGCAACTGAAAGTCCAAGCATGGAAAAGAAAGGTACTAGTTAGGTCTGAGTGGAAGGAAGTGGTGAGGCAGGCCAAAGCCCTACATGGGCTGTAGCGCCACAGGGATGGATTTTTACTAGAAAGTGGATTATATTTAACAAATATCAGTAATATTTACGTTTTAAAAGGGTCATTGGTCTCCGCAAACTAAGGTAGTGACCTATCTAGATGTCAGCCACAAATATCCACTTTGAAAAGATAAGATACTCTTGTTGATCCAACTAAATAGAATTTTTTTTTTTTCATTCGTCATACATATCTTTTTTAGTCATAAAATTCCTAGTTTGAGCTTTTCATTGTTCCTTACAATTAATCTGTACCAAGACTTTCATCAAATAAGTGTGCGTTAATGTATGAATAACTGTTGATTTCTTTAGTGTGTGTTGTAATATTGAAGAGTCTTGGCTTTTCCAAGGTCAAGGACACTCCTTATGCCTGTAGCCGATTTGTCTTTGGGTGGTTGCCATATGCCGGAAAAGATAATTTGGAATGAGAAAAAAATGAATGGTACTGGTACATAGCAAAAAGATACCAGATAATTGTAACAGTCAACATGACATGTCTCAAGGCACACATTGATAACCCCAAACGACGGGTAGGACCTTTTCACTGGTGCATTCTATACCTGAGTTCATATGATATTTAATTTCTTGTAATATGATTATAAGCAGTTTATTTATTGCTTTCAGATATTTAAATTTTTCTTTGAAAAAAAACACACAAAGAACAAGTTCTAACTAATTATGATGTCCAACCCAATGCAGCCAAGTCTGTCTAGCCAGCAAGGACCTAATGAAAGAATCACACTTTGTTGTAGCAGAACAGTTATGTATAGAATGGGAATGCTGAGTCTGTGCATTTGTTTTGTGTTCTGTGTAATAAGCTGCTCTAGTCCAAACTGGATCAGAACTACACATTTTGAAGATGAAGACCATGAAAACAACCTTCACCTGACAGATGATGAGCCATTTGTAGGTTTATGGGATGAAAACTGCAAACCAAATGCCAGCCGTTGCACTAAAGGTAAAGACTTTTGTTTTCCTTATTATGATTTTTTAAATCCTTTTCAATAAAAAAGTGAACATATTTATTATTCTTACATCTGTGCATGTCAGGTACAAGTTTTTTTTTGCCTTGGAATTTGAGATTCTGTAAGTGTCCAGTCACATCTGCTGAAAGAGGCAAATTTCCAAAACCATTAGCTATTTGTAACTAACACTTGAGGGGGGTTCTTGTCATTCAAGAAAATCTCAGCTCTCAGTTATAACAAAATAAACTTGGCACAACTGAGCCACCTGACACAAGTGTTGGAAGTGGAAGCAGGGATATTCTGCTTTATCTTTCTAACAAATTCACAAAACTGACAATAATTGCAGCCATTGGAGTGAATAAAGTTTACTGTTGAAACCAGAAGTTTCATGACACAAGATAAATCCAGTTATTATTCTCCACAATGCATATTGATGAATAATGTAAAGAAGAGCCAACACTTTAAACAGCCCAGTAAATTTGCCCAACTTAACCTTTCCCTACATGTTGTGAGGTGCATCAAGTTTGTCCATTCCGAATTGTACTAAGATATTGATTTATCTGCCTCATTCAAAATTTCCGCATCTGTTGTTGCAAGCATACTATGCAGCTATGCCCAGACGCTATATCTTCTGTTACATCAGAATCACTATTGACTGCGCAGACTGGGTTAACCGATGCCTCAGACCACATGTGACATGCAGGCAGTAGTTTGCAAACTCTTGATCTACTACTAAGATTCATCATTTGACTTTTAATGATAAAAGTTGTTTGTGTTTTTTCAGGTTTACTGGCTGCAAAGATCCTTATAGGTCAATATCTAATTGGATATTTTGTCATCTTTGGCATTGCTATTTTTGAAAATGTGCGAAAGGTTAACCCACGCATCTATCATTCAAGGAAGGTAGAGATCTGTGTTCTGATTCTAGGTGGGATATTCTTCTATTTATGTTTGCAACATGTATCCATCACATTGTTATATAAGTACCTTATAAGTCTAGGTCTGAATGTTGAATTTATGTGCACCTTCTCTGATGTTATTGGATTTGACAACACAATAGAGAGAAATTTTAGATATCACATCATATTTTAAAATTATTTCACTGCTTAATTTTCTGAGACCATCTTCATTGACGTATATTAAAACTAGAAATCTAGATGCCTACAAATTACAAAATTATCATGTGGCCCACTAAAAAATTTCATTTTCATGCAGCACTCTGTAGAAAAAAAGTATGGCCACCCCTGAGTTAAACATTTGTGATCTTATTTATTTGTACAATATCTAAATTTTTAAAAATATATAAGCTTGTTAATGGTTTTTCCATATTTTGTTAAATACAACAATTAATTGGGTTATTTTTGCCTAAGTTGCACAGCTTATTTTGAAAAAAAATATATATGTGACCAAACTACTAACTACTATTTAAAATCCTTGTTACCGACAAATTTCACCAAAAATATTTTGAGGACCTCTTATGAAGCCAAAAAGCATCTTATTTGGCAGCCCTGCTTATGTGCACATCTTTCAACCACACAGGTATTCTTGGGACCTTATCAATGATTGTTTTTATAATAAACTACTCCACAAGACTTGGCTGGTCCATGGCCTTAGCATCTATGTCTGTTGTTGGTCTGTATGTCACCTGTCTCTTCTTGATTTGTGGAAACAAGAAACGGGTAACTATTCACACGCACACAAATGTAAAAAATGTCATAATGTATACAAAATCATTTTTTGACTTCTTGTGTATGATCTTTGATTTTAAGAGATGGTTTTTATTGTAAAATGAACTATTTGAAAAGACTATTTGTCATCTTTGAACATATGCTAAATTTACATTTCAGCCTGTTGCAACTTGTGGTCAGCCTGGAACCGTTTTGTTCACTTCCATGCCAAATCAAAACAGTACAATAGTTCAAAGTTATGGACCTGGACCTCAGCAGGTTTACCAGACACATTATATGGCCCAGACCCAGCCTCTCTTGCCTGCCCAAACCTTGTACCCTGTGAGCCCACCTGGAGCCCCACCGCCTTACAGTTTTCCACCAGCCTATCCAGCTTCATTCACTCCGAATGCATTTCCCAACTATAACTACAACTTTCAAAATGTCCCTCAGCCTTTGCCTCAGCACAATGCCCCATTTTATCCTCAACAAAATACCCAGCCAAATCTTCAGTTTCAGAAATTCAGCCAAGCCAGTGCACCTCCGAGTGAAGATGCACCATGATGTACTGGAAGTTTCTGTACAAGAACTTCACAGAAGTCTTTCTTATGACTTATAGACTATAAAAAAAACACTGTTTATTGTTTCATTGGATGAAAATGATAGCAGTACTACAGTTGGTAACATTGTCTCCATGATTATGACAGAATTATCTGGATGCTTTTTAGGGGTGTGCCGGACCCCGGTCCGGAATCCGGTTCCGCCGGATTTTGCACTATCCGGTGAAATCCGGTTCCGCCGGATTTACATGTATCCGGAACAACCGGATTCCGGATTCCGGAATATACCGGATTTCGGAATTTGCCAGATTTTGTGACTCACCGGATCATAATCTGAAATAAAAGTAATTCTCTTTCCCGAATTTCACACGATCACGATACATTAATCGATTGTTTCGAGCGTTGAGCTTGTTTAATGTTTAATATTCCGTACATACCAGAGGCTAGAGTCAGCACCGCTAATAGTGGCCAATAGTGTAGGGACTTTGATAAGAAAATTTAAACTTTTTGTAAAAATAAACCAATGGCATAGTTGAAAAGATGTAATTTTTTAAAGAATTATAACACCAAAATCATATTTTTAGCTGTTGTAGTTTTAAAGTTATGAATTTTTAAAGTACGACTTGGTTTGTCATTTTTTAACATGGACTGCATCTCCACATTCTGTGATCTCATTCCACCAATCCCGTCATGCGCAATGACTATATAGTTTATATAAGGCAACGCATTCCCTGCCTTATCACTAAAATACTGTTTAGACTTAGTTTAAACTTTCAACTTTGGCACATGAATAATTAATTAAAGCTTTCCCTGACCAATGGTTTAATAGTTTTTGCACACGGCAAACTCTTATGAATGAAACTCTGAGGTAGTACTACGATACAGTTATGCAAGTGGCTGTGAATGGTTGCCAATGACAACGTGTTGCACACGGTAAATTCTGATCATTTATAATATGGATTCTACCGGGTTGTTAAAGCTCAAATTAAAACATTCCAGTTTAAATGTCTTTAAATGCATTCTGAAACACAAGTTATCAATTATTTTGATGTAAATAGTGATAATAAATTAATATTTCCTAAGTATCGTCAACTTCCGCCATTAAAAAGGGGGGCGTGGCCAACCCCATGGCGAAATTAGGTTGAGCGAGCTGCATAACCTGCTGCGAACGCGTAGAAACATGGCGTCTCTCGTAAGACACTTATCCAAATGGAACGGAACTCAAATATATATCGAAAGTACTAATTTAATAATAAATAGACACACACATCGGAAAATTAAAAACTCGGATTTTTTGGCGCCGATTGCGAATTCCCATACACAAAAAGTAGTAGTCCACCTTGACTTACCGAAGTATCTACCAATAGTACCAAAATCCGGAATCCGGGAGAAACCGGAATCCGGATCCGGCGGATTTCGCATAAGAAAATCCGGATCCGGATCCGGTTGGAAAAAACGGATCCGGCACACCCCTAATGCTTTTTACTGGTCTCATTGATGCAGTTGTAGCAATTACTTACCCATAATCACACCTTAAGCTCCATATATCAAGCACTGGATAGCTTGTGGTAGAATAGGCTATTTTTTTCTTTTCACAGAGAGCCACTGATTGTTTACTGCGGTAATTTTTTAAAATGTTGAAACTTTTTCAATGGTAAAAAACGGCTTAGCTTTGAGGATACAGCTATAAATGTCTTACCATATGGATTAGGCTAACAATTTATTCATTGTTTACACACTAGCTTAGCAAAAAATCTCTGAATAAAACCTTATAAAATGTTAGTATGTTAAACTCTACTTTACAAATTAATATTTAGTAAGTTTTATATTTAAAACAGACACATTTTCTCCATATATTATTTAAAGCTAGCTAAATCTAAATCCTTTTCAACAAAACAAAAATCTCATGTACTGGTATGCTTTTTAAAAGCAATTTTAAAATTTCTGACATAATTTTATGTATGTTTTTTTGTTGTGATGATAATGTAAATACTTTTTTTAGAATATTTTTTAAAAATGTAAATGCCTAAAAGCTAACCATGTAAATAGATATGAAAATGGACTTAAAATTAGGAGAAATAAATAGTGCAATTTATAAGTTTGGGCAACAAGCACATTTCATTTGATTTGGATGACTATTTTCAGAAAACAATTTAGGCATTACAACATGAACATTTAATTGGTATAACTAACTAAATTTGTTAAGGACTTTGAAATGTGCATAATAAAAAAAAATGAGTGCTAAAAATGCTCTAAAGATCTTGGCTGTGAGTGCTCCAGCCAGGTGGTTTTCTATTTGTTATTAACCTTGATCAAAGTTGACTAATTTTGATCTGTTATTGTTGAAAGCACAACAGTGGTAACATTTTTATCTTTGTTTTGTCTATTAAATAACAGATCTTTCAAGATTCTCCAGCCTTTTTTAAATTGCTGATCAAAGTATGTACTCAACTTTTGTTTGTAAAATTACTATCATATATCTCTCTCCAACTTTCTACAGTAAAATATAGAACTAGAACTGTTTTTTATTCTTGTTTTATTCGGATATATATTGTTATTGTCACATTAAATTATTTTTGTAGGTAGCAGCTTATTTTAATGTTTAAAATTCTATTAAGATATCCAACCCAGTGAAGATTTCTATTTGTTGGCATTTTCAGCTTGTACTTGTACATATTATTGGTTACAATTATTCAAATGTTAATTATTTTCAGTATCTAAATTATTTCTTTTTCGTATTTCTCATGGTATATATATGCATGAACAAGTCTGAATACATTTGAATATGATTACCAATGTTTGTATACTCAGCAAAACTTATCTTTGAAGCATTTATTAATTGTTGAAATTTTTCCAATTCAGTCTTTCCAAAGGTTTGTGCCATGTGGGAGAGAGTAGCCCAAACTGTTTTTCCCCCTTTTGAGTAAAACATTTAAATGATTTATTTTAGTTATCTTAACAGTTATTAAATTAAAATAATCTATATTCCAGGTTGAGAGCATTGAATTTTATTTGTTAACATTTATACAATACTCAAGAAAAGTATACATTCATATTAAGGTATTACATTTTTTTAAACTCTCACTGTATGAATTTAGTTATATTTATATAAATGAATATATTTATAAGATGACATTTGATATATTAATGAAAGTATGTTGTGAAAGAAAAGTTCTGTAAAAGAAAGCCAACAATTTTTAAAACAACTCTGAATTTTTTACATGTGATATGTTAATAAATTATTTTTTGTAATTTACTTTTATCCAGTTCAGTATTTTAATATTTTCAGCATATGCTTTTTATAGAACCATTTGTTCAATTTAAATTTTTTTACAATTTAGTTTCCACATTTGTAATAATATTTTGCGTTTCTGTTGTTTGAGGAATAAATATCATTCCAAACAATAATTAATTTTGTCAAGAAAATGCTACATGTTATATGTCAGGTTATATTTTACTATTTACTTCACTTTCTTGATTAAACAAAGGAAATAATAAAACAAAGATTAAATAAACTAGTTTGTATTTTAAAAAATTACAGCGATTTATTTAATGAACATACAGAACAATAATAAACTATTGTAGACTGAAATTTGATTTTACATATCTCCCAATGTTTCTTCTTGTATGGGGTCATAAACAGACTTTGGTAGTAGCTCCTTGAATAAATTTTCTTTCTGGTCTTCACTTAATTTCTCTATGGCTGTGTACCATTCAGAAAAGTCTACATATGCCTTGACCTGGAAAAAATACAATATGCCACAGTTAATATTTTATTCCTTTGCAACAAGTGTTATAATAAATAGTGGGATTTTAATATAATTTAGTAATCCAAATGGGGGGGGGGTTTGTTCACTCACCTTACATATTTTTTTCGTCTTGATATTTAATTTAAGAAACATTTACTATTTATTTAATAAACATATAATTAATAGTTAATATTTTATTCCTTTGCAACAAGTGTTATAATAAATAGTGGGATTTTAATATAATTTAGTAATCCAAATGGGGGGGGGGGTTTGTTCACTCACCTTACATATTTTTTTCGTCTTGATATTTAATTTAAGAAACATTTACTATTTATTTAATAAACATATAATTAACTGTTACTGATCTATTTATTTTACTACTTCTAACATTTTCTATTTAACAGAAATAATAGGCAAACAAGATAATTAAAATTATTGTATCACAATAAAGAACAGAATAATTATATTTGAAAAAAATCATTATCCCTTGTTTCTGTAACATCTAAATTGTCTTTCGGAAGCAGCCTATGTTAAAGCTGGAGTTAAACAGCTTAAGAAAACAAAAAAAGTATAGATTGCATTTTTCTTGCAATTCATAATGCTTAATAAATTATTAAACTATATTTCAGAAAAAGCTACACATACATATTATATTAATGAAATTTAAATTTTATGAACAATCTTAAGTCATAGTCGGGGCCAATTTTTAAGCTATGGAGATTCTGAAACTGACCCCAAAAATGAATAAAAATAGACCTGGTTACACTGGAACTCTCAAATAGTACAATGTAGTCTCCAAATAGTACTTAACCTTCTAAAAATTGTAAAGTACCGTTATTGTAAAAGAGTAAATAAAAAAATTATACATTATAATGTATTCCATAACTGTTCGCATTGCAAGTCTAATAAAGGTCACTTCTCAAAGTAGATGACTGACGTTTATATATTTATATACAGTGCATTATTGCAAATAAAAAAAGTACCGAGCATTTCCTTCTTTGATAGACGAAGATGTGGTGGGGGAGCGGAAGTTGAGGATGCCTGCTGAAGTCACCCAAACAAAGGTGGGGTTGGGGGGTGGGTTGAGCCCCCTTCCCATACTTATTTATATCAATTCAAAATGCAGGGATGCACTTTTGCGCATACCTGAATATAGTTTTGTATCATTCTACACTTTATCTTAATGATTGAGGCAAATTAGGTGCCCTTAACAAAGCTTTGTTCTTATAAATCCTTTTTATTATATAGTTACTAAATAGTAAAATTGTTTTTATAACTTATTACTCATTTGAATCTAATTTTTTTTTTAATCAGTTCAAAAAGAGGGGCAGTATCCCCAAATGGTGCATACCACCATAAAAAAAAAGTGCTTTATATATATATATATTTCAAATGACCGTTTGTGTCAAAAATAAAATAAGTTGCTAATTGAATGAAGAAATATATCATTTGTGATACATCCAGCAGGCCACAATATTCAACGTAGCGGACCGCAGGCTGCCTACCCCTGCATGAAGCCTAGAAGCCAAATTTTATTTTCCATTAACATACTGTAGTCTTAATAACTACTGCAAGCTGTATTGGGAGAAAGGAAGAGAAGTGCTGGAAAGAAACTGGGGTATTAGAATTGTACAGCTGCTTAGTGACTTCTAAAAAAAAAAGATTAAAATGCAACTACATAGATCTTATAAAATATGTCATAATCTAATGCTGTTGGGTGGAGCAGCTGAGAATGATTTTTTTTTTTAATCTGTAGTTTTAGTTTTCTCCCTTTTCGCATTTGCTGCCTCTCAGCCAAAATAATTATGTCACAAATTATGTCATACAGTGCCTCAGTAAACAAAAGCGAATGCTGACTAAATTTGTCACTAGGGCGAATGTATTAAATATTACTATCTTTGTGAAAATAGCCTCCCAAGTACGCCTGTACACTTCCAAGTCAACACCACCCCTTTCCCCTCTCAGTGCGTATGTAATATAATTATTGATGGCCCCCAGTCAATCGTATTTCTCATTCCATGAATTCCAGGTGTAGAAAGGAGCTCAAACTGACAACCGAAAACATTTTATTTATTTTATTTTTATATATTTTTTTAATCGTAAAACCACAGGAATATATTTTTTTACCCTGATCTTGTAAAATCATAGTTCTGACAGGTCTTGGCATATAATTATAAAAAGATATCTAAAAATTGTACATTTTACGCCAAAATTGCAAGTGTAAACAGATCTGATAAATATAAAATTCTGACCTTGCCCTCAGCATCCAGTTCTAAATCTGTGTTCTGAGTAGTACGGCGGGAAAAGAGTTGCATCTCTCCACTGGAGCTGGTGCTGTATGTGCTACTGCAATTGGTACGACTTTCTGTACTATTTGTCTCAACTGTTTCAAGGAGGTTGGGTCCAGTAAGCAAGTAATTTGTTGGCGTTTTGGGCGAATCTGTTGCTGAACTATCTGAGGTCCTCTGCCTACCAGAATCTAGAGAAGGGCTATTGTATACATTGGCTGGGAAACCTGTTATGTGAGTGATGTGATGTGGTGGCTGAGATGGTGAGTGAATGGAGCGGTTGGAGCTGGGACTCTGAACTGACAGAGGATAGTTGAAGTTTCGTACCAAGAGAGTGATGTCATCCCGTTTCTCACACAAAGCTTTCCTTTCTGTATTGTCTGTCATAAAGGTGTCATGATGAATGCGCACAACCCTGTCTACCACAGCCTGAGCCACACCAGTAAGCGTTGTCTGCTGGCCAAACTCTTGAGCCACCATTTTTGCTATATCACCATTGACAGTTTCAGTAGCAGTGGCATCTGTCAAAGCTTGGTATAAGCCGTCTGACATGATGACAAGAAAGGCACAAGTGGTATCAATCAAGAGTCCACCATCCACGTATGGATCTGCTATTACTGGCTCCACTTTTGCTGGTCTAAAAATAAGTACAAATTTTATTGAATAAAAGGCCAAAATAAGTATGTTAACCAAGATGTGTTTTATTAACAATTTGCACCACAAAATAAAATTAAATGCACAGATCTAAACTTTATTTTTATTACTCTCTTAGGATCTCCATATAATTTATAACAAATCAGTTGTATATTTAAGTAACTAATTAATTTATATGACCGTATATTACCATGTATAGTGCAAGAAATTTAGGGTAAAATATCTACTGATTCCTACTAATGCAACCAAATCTTCTTGGCCCACTCGCACTTGGCGAAAGAGCGCGCATTGTATCTGCGCATTAGACAAGTAGTGCCCCTTTGAAGGGATATAAGCATAGTTGTATTACTATGACAGTTAATTTTAAATACATGTATTATAAAAATTTTAAGGATTTTAACATTTTTATTTTAAACATTTATTTAGCTAATTGGTATTGTTTTTATTATGAAAAAGATTAATAGATTGCATTATATATGAACATGGCATTCCAGGGCTTTTTTTAAAACAAAAATTTTGGGGTCCGCATTATACCTGGCGAGCGAAATGTGGTAATATATAAAAGTAAGAAGTTACTTATAATCACAAGCCAGTCATACCAACCTAAGTACATCAATATCTTTATAACCTCCCTTGACATGATAGTCTCCTATACAGCGAGTACAGTCTGAATTTCCCACACGCCGCCATAGTTTGAGTTTTGTTATGTCCAGCCCAACTTGCTGTAACCTTGTCTGTTCCCCAAGATCAGCAATTGTGTGGTCGTAAGACAACTGAATCACTCGTAAAACCCCTTCAGGGTCAGTTTTACACAGAAATGCCCTTGTATCTCCTAGGATATGTAAAAATTACTTCATTAAAAATATAAGAATCATATCCTTTATAAAATTGTTTTTAAAAATGATTGAGATAGGAATAAAGAGGAAAACTTTTAAACTCACCAACATTTGCCACATAAAGTTTGCTATTGTATATTAAAACAACAGTAGCAGTGGTGCCTCCTGAAATTTCTCTATCCAGCTCCTCAAGTTTGTTGATGATGTCGGGGTACTTCTGAAAAGCTTCATACTGGCTTATTCCCTGATATATTGTAAAAATAGTTTACAAAAATTAAACATTTCTCAAAATGAGATTTTAAGAAATTTCAAAAATGTTATACGGTAAGAAGCAATACACCCAGTTTAAAATACCCATTTCATATTTTGAGAAGCTCTCTAGGACTAGTAGGACTAAAATTTTATAAGATGTCTTCTTAATTTCATGAAAAAGTAAATACGTATCATAAATTTATTTAGACCATGTCTGCTATCAATATTACACCTCAACTCGATTGAATTTTTATGTTACATTTTATCATTATTCAACTTATTTATTATTATTCTACTTATTAACTCTTTACCTTTATATAATTATTTTTTGTAACATATCAATGGTCAATGAGTGTGCTGCTCTGCCAAATAAAACTAATGGAATTCGAATAGTTCAGAAAATAACTGAAATTAACTGTTAAGCTATAAAATAACAGTAAAAACATGGCACTTACTTCTGGCAAACGATCTTGACAAGTGGTTCTCTCTGCTAGCAATGCATCCATTGATTCAAAGTAACCTTTTTCTACTCCGATAAAAGCCTGCTCTTAGGAAGAATTTTAAATAAATTTAGAATGTAAAATGTTTTAATCTATTTTAAAATGTCTGCAGGGAAATTACATATTTTGCAATATATTTCAATCTCAAATGTTGTTTTCTTAAGAAAAATAGACTAACAAAGAATGATCTTAACTTCTTACCTGCCTAAGGGCTTCTTTGACTTCTTCATCTGTAAAATTCGGCTGCAGCTGACCAAGCAGCAGTTCAGCTGGCATCCTCTGAGCAGCAAAATCAGCTACCCGAGTGCCATTGTGTCCATCGAAAACACCATACAAAAAGCAATTGTCATGTCTGAAGATATTTTATTCTCAGATTCAATTTTCAATGCAAAATGTACAGAATATTATAATAATTCATTAGAACACCAAAAAATCACCTTTGAAAAAAATCTGAAAGAGACAGTAACATATCTTTTTCACAGCCCAGAATGCCAAGACTTGAACTTGAACCTTACATTTCAATTTCTTCTAGATTTTGAGGGGCCCAAGATCAACCTATTGATTATTCTGGCTCCTATGTTTCAGGGGGGTTTGCAATGTAACTGTGTATGGTTTTTAAGGGGATACCTCACTGGTTGCAAGGGCTTCTCAGCAATTGTATTATGAACTGAGGATTGGAAGACAAGAAACAATATACACATATGTGTCAAGTGTAGTCGCCTCAACTATTGCTATTGGAAGCTTGTTCCAGTCCCTTTTTGTCTTTAGCATGAATGAGGAGCTCCCTCCTGTACCGAGTTCTTGTTTTTACGAGTCGGAACTGCCTGTCATGACCTCATCGCTGTCCGAGGGGGGGGGGGGGGGGGGGGGGGGGAAGAGGGATGAGTTTATGTTTAATGCTGGAGCAGTAGATCAGTCCATTTTTTGTCTTGTAAATCATGGAGAGCCTGGATAGTCGTCATCGTTCCTCTAATGGTGATCAGCCCCGGGTTTCCAGCATTCTGTCAACACTTGAGGTGTTTCTGTAGCGGTTCAGGACAAAGCGTGTTGCCATGTCTGGACCGCCTCCAACTTGTTGATGCTCTTCTGGGTGAATGGTTCCCAGATTGAAGATGCATACTCTAAAAGCAGACCTTTATAGGTTTTTTTCTTTCACGCTTGAGTTGCCGATCTTCAGATTTCGCCTTAGGAACCCTAGGGTCTTATTTGCCCGGTTGCAGACATTGTTAATGTACTCGTCCTAGCAGACCTCTTTTTGAATGGTAACACTGAGGTACCTAACGGAGAAAACTAGCTAAAGAATATGGCCATGCAATTCGTAAGGGTGGTGTAGAGTGGATCTGCTTTTGGAGACTAACAGCACCTGGCACTTGATGGGGATGAAATTCCATGTCCCAGCTCGGCTAACCGATGGAGGTCCTGTTGTAGCTGGTCCTGGTCAGAACTGTTGGCGATCGTCCTAAAGACCGCTGTGTCGTCTGCGAACAGTCTGGCTTGGGAGGTCAGCTTCTCTGGCAGGTCACTAATATATATATGCTAGGAACAAACAGGTGCCTAGCACCGAGCCTTGGGGGACCCCTGACTTACCACTGACAAAGGAGGAGGTTGTGCCATCTACCACTACTGCCTGGCATCGGTCGCTGGGGAAGCTAAAGATCCATGTTTTGGTAGTGCCTTGGATCCCATATCTCTGCATTATGTTTAATAGCAAACTATGATTGACATGGTCAAATGCCTTTGAGAAGTCCATCACTAGCACATCAGTTTGCTTTCTATTCTCCAGATTGGTCGTCAATTCTTCTGCAAATTCAAGGAGTTGGGTCTCACATGATCTATTGACTCGGCAGCCATGCTGACAGTCATTGAGAATATTGTGGCTTTCAAGATGCTTCCTGACCCCACTTAAGATTATGTGCTCCAGCAGTTTGCAAACTAGGCTGATGAGCATACCGGATGGTAGTTGGCAGAGTCATAATGCTCCCCCTTTTTTTGTGTAGATTGGAGTGACATACGCTGTTATCCAGTCAGTTGGAACATTGCCTGTGCATAGTGATGATAGGAAGAGGATTGTCAGCGAGGAAGCGATTTTATTGGCCAATTCTTTGAGCACTCGTGGTTTGATGCTGTCAGGACCACATGCCTTGTAGGGATTAATGGTTGGTCTTCAGAAGGAACTCAGCCTCTGAGTACTCTCTACCATCACCAAAGACCGATGGAACTGTTGATTTAGTATTTTTTCACTGCATTGTTGTCTTGAATTTCATCCACAGCTCTTCTGTTGTTGCATTACCCTGAATTTCCTGCATATTAGAGCACTTACTCATTGCACTTCTCAGGCTATTCGTCTGCCTGGGCATAAATGGGAATGTCTCGCACAGCCTGCTTCTTTTTTAGTGCGATGACCTGAAATTCACAATATGGTATTGCAGTTGTCTGATATCCCGGCTCTTTGGCTTCAGAGCAGGAATCTGGCAGTTCTTACCAGGAAAGTTGACATCCCCCTATAAGGAGAAAAGCGTTTTCTACTGTGCTGCTCTCTGACGTGACAGCTCAAGCCTCTTCAAACTTGGTTCAGCTGCTGTGTTGGGTCTGTAATAAGCACAAACATAAAGTATGTATTTACCCTTCAGCTTCACCTTCACCCACAGGAGCTCATGGTCATCAACATCTAATTCTGGAACAGTGTGACATCCAGGCTGTCATTGATGGCAACAAGTACTCCTCCTTCTCTGTCTTGTCCATCTCACCAAATTAATTTGTAATTATCCGGTACAACCTCTGCGTTGGCTATGGGGGGATTCAGCCATGTCTGTGCCCAGTATGATGTCAGGTTTTAAGGTGTTGATCAAGTTGGCTATCTTGACTCTCTTCCCGCTTGTAGTCTGCAAGTTCACATTCAATACGCGCAATGGTCTGTGTTTCCATTTTTCTTGCTGACTGCAGCGCATAGGAGTAGAGCAGTGTGGTGGCTGAAAACTTTGAAGGTCCATTGGTGTGGAGCATGAAAGATTTAGGGAGAAATCTGGGTAGGTAGATTCTGTTCTTGCACTATGGAGGTCAAACACAGTCTGGCTATTCGAGGTTCTGCAGACAGTACAGTACCACAGCATGCCAGAATTTTCACCATGCTGTTTGTAATAGACTGTGTCGATGCTTTGGCATTTACCATGGAACCATTGCCCGCATTGTTCAAATGCAATGCCTTTGTCTTCCCACTCGACAGTAAGGTCACAAGTATCACAGATCCGTGATGACTGGGAACATGAGCGGGTATGTGAGGGAGGGCAGGCAACACTCATAGCAACATTTGGTCCACGGTTAGGTTCAAGAGAGTAGGAATTGGCCAGAAGGATACAGGTTAGATATAATAGTACTAATATCCTATATGCAAAAAAAAAAATTGGAAAGAATCCCCAGATTCTTTATTATAGCCTCAGGCCAAAGTGCACATGCCCAGGTGACTGGGATTGGAATAATGATAATAATTCATTGCACTAGATTTCAAGCAATCCCTATGCTAAATTGGGTCACTCTTTTTTTTTTTATCCTAGTTTGTTTACAAAAGTGTTGATACAACTAGATTATCATCATATAAAAAACTATGACAGTTTATTTATTATAAAATGCATAATTTATAGAAAAAAAGAAAGAATTTGTGATATAAATGTACCTATTTTCTACATAAATTGTTCTTCTAAATGGAAATATACACCAGGCTGAAGACAGAGACAGCAGAACCAAAAAACATATTATTAGGACATACTAGCAGAGATGCCGCCATCAGCAGTATTTACTCTCGTGGGGGCGTCAAGTTGGCAACATAAGAACCTTTGAGAGCAGTCTGGGAAAATTGACATCCAGGGCCATATCCCTTTTATAGAGCAGGCACATCTGAATGGGCCTTCAGTAGCAGCTTTGTATGTCCCCTCACAAGACCGCACTATAGTGCGTCCATCTTTAGACTAATGATGTGCAAGTTGTGTCTCAGTGGATTCCAGATGGAACACAAATGGCCCATCTCATTAAACCTTTTCACATCTCAAACCCTTCTCTTTGACCACCCTGATCTCTGGATCCAGGCATTTCCCATGGCCCGAAATGCGTTTCTTTCACCCAACACAATCTCAGGAACACATCTATCAAAAAACATTTCACAACATCCTTCATAATTATCAACATCTCTCCACTTATGACAACAACATTGCATTACTACAAATAGGATGTGATGCTGTTGATGGTACAGCCAAATGAAACTTTTTTTAATCCCATTAAGAAAAACCAAAATACCTAAAATGAAAATTTCTGTCCTCATTTTCATGCGCCTCACGCCTGTTACCATCCTCACGATAAATCTGATTTGTTGAAAGCCCAACACCAGAAAAATGACAAACAGGTAGATCATCAGTCCAGCTTAGTGTGGGATCCTGTGTCGATAAGAAAACATGACCAGCTTATTAACTTAAATTATGTGGGGCTTTTTTAAGCTGTTTTTGGCTTTATGAATGAAAGTTAACAGATTCTGAATGAAACTGAAATAAATAAAAAAAATTACACTTAATTCAGTAAGTATAATTGAAATACTGTACATTAGTAAATCTTTTTTACAAATCCTGTCAAGTTTTAGTTAAACTATAATTAGATTAATGAACATGGGTAGTGTTTCTATACATGTCTAGCATCATTGCTGCACTTCCGAGCAAGGGAGCATCGCAAACATCAGTGTGAAATTTGGGGCTTTTTATTAATCAGAGAAAATCTGATACTTTCTTAGGGTTTAATTAACTGATTACTATTATTTTTTGTATGTTCATTAGAGTGAAAAATATCCTTGTTTGCAAAGGTAGGTTGTCAAAGGCAGCAACTCTTTTACTACCTCCCTTATAAGCAAATTTGAAAGCTTTTGCAAATATTGACGTTTTGAGTACAAGCAGTAGTGTCTCTAAGAATTTCACCATGAGTTAATCGCACTGGGTGACAGTGACACCACTGAGCTTAAGATAAATTTGGGGACTAAGCTAAAAGGACATCTTCAAGACAAGACATGAGCTTATTTTAGCTGTCGAGCCACTCGTTGGATGCATTCTATATCACACTGGTCAGATGCAATGTTGCCGAAAAAAAATTATTACATGAAAAGGAATGCTTGTGAAAAGGAATGCTCTTTAAATATATTTATGTCAATGGAGCCCTCTTTACCCCCAAATTTTCATATTTACCCCATTTGGTGTAATTTACCCCAGTTCTTGACATCTTGACCCCTGACTTAGTATATCTTTTATTTAAGCATGTAGCCTAGCAATAAATGAATTAAGAAATTCAAGCTGCTATTTAATTACCTGCATTCTATTTCTGAACCTTGAGTCTGGACCATTAGACATTTGACTGTTTGACATAGTTCTCTAGGTCTCCAGTCAGACAAAATCTGAAGCATAAATTGATAAGTATTAGTTCAATATTACTTCGGTTAGTTAGAAAATTAATAAAGTCTATGAAGTGCCTAGACCTATGTAGTTACTTTTATTTATTGAAAAATTAGTAGATGTGTTACTATTATTAACATAAAAGGTTATAGAACTAAGTAACTCTGCTTGCTCACCCACTAAATGATGGTGTGCTTAGTGCATAAGTTATAAGTATAGGTCTAGGCCTAGGTAGTGACTAGTCCTAAGCCTAACTCTTCTTTTGTCTTTATAAGGGCCATGAAATAATATCTAGGTCTACTTGAACCTATTCTTAGAACTAACTTTTATTTTCAGTCATTCATTACTGTGATACTTTGGTAAAAGTGCAGTTCAGGTGTGTATATTATTTCTTAGCGCACTTCGTATTTTATCATGGAAACTTACGTGTATTGTTTATAAAAAGTATTTTAAAAGTAAAATATCATCTTTTTATAGGAATACAACAACAATTTAACAAATTTTACGAGATAAAAAAAGTACATTTTCTTCAATCTTTCGTCTTTTACGGAGCCATTGTGGTAAATCATGGATAACTCTTCTGTCTTTAAAGATACGTTATAAAAGTTGCCTATTTGGATGAATCTTGGTTAAAATAAATGTATTTATTTTATACTTTACTTTCAAATAAAACCTGATTTGCTCGGGATTGCATTCAGAAAAAACGAACATCTGCTACGTCCTTTTAATTCACATTGCTGTTAAGCGAAATATCAACAACAAAACAACACCACTATAAGTATAAAAAAAAAATTAATTAATTTGTCTCCTATAAAACCACTTAAAATTAAATAACAAATAACTTATGTAAACATTTAGTTTTTCCCGTTTTCTGATGGCACCCAGAAGGATCATGATGGGATCCCGATGGGATCCAGATTCCGGTAGAATCCTGGTCATGGTGGGATTCCGATCCCGGTAAGATACCGATCCCGGTGGTATCCCGTTTCCGGTGGTATCCCATTTCCGGTGAGATCCCGATCCCGGTGAGATTCCGATCCCGATAGGATCTTGATCCCAGTGAGATCCTGATGCCTGTGGGATCCCGATCCAGTAGGTTCCCGATCCCGGTGGGATACCGGTTACGGTGAGTTCCTGTTTCCGGTGAGATCCAGATCCCGATAATTATAAGGAACTCACATACTTGACATATGTAGCCAGTTTACAAGCCACATAGCAATGGTTACGAGCGCCTTACGAGAAATTCCATAGTTGTATTAACGTTATTTGTTGTCTCACAAAGTGCGCGTATAAACCAAATGCTAAAAATTTCCATTGGATAAACATTCTTGGTAGTCCTGCCATTTTTAACAAAATGATCCCATTACCAGCAATACCGCAAAACGAGTCCGTCTTATTACTAATCACTAGCCCTCACCATCACTTTACTCAGCGCAAATCAGTCACCATTAATAAGCGCATTTGCATACGAAAAAAGAGGAGGGGTACTCAAATTAGAGCTGACCAATCACGGAAAGCGTATTTGCAGCCTTCAGGATGAGATGACTATCAAAATGACCCCACGCTATCATTCCGATTTCCCCCATTTGTGCAACGTCACAAATATATTTTTTTTAAAGTGGACACGTGATCACACATTGGCACGTATTCCTGCACCCCCCCCCTTCTTTTTTCAGCTTCCCTCCAGGCCTAGGACAATGATGACGTGTGTGTCCACTGCCTTAGTCAGTGATCCACTTCTAATCTCCCCCCCCCCAGACCCGACTTCAAAGGACAACCCCTATATTCCGAGCGCGCTGAGAGGAAAAAAAAGAGGGGGGGGGGTGGTGGGGGAGGGGCTCGTGCGTAATGAAAAATCTAGTATTTCATTCTTTTTTGTGAACATGCTTACAGTTTGAAAATTTTGTTTAGCATACTAACTTATAGGTGGCTAAAAATCTGGCATAGGGTGAAAAGAAAAATACAAACAAATGGGGCTATGTCACTTTGGTTGGGGGATGGTTAAAGACTCTTTAGAAGTAAAAAAAGAAAAGATGCGACTTATAATTCAGAATTAGTTAACTATAACTGCCTGTATTTAATTATCAACTCTTTCCATGCCAGGGAGTTTTCCATGTTCGTGCCAGACCAGTATTCGGCCAATGGAAATTTTTTAGGGTGCTCCTATCTATTCATTAATTTTGAATACATTTCTTTTAGCAAGATAGCTGTATTTCATATCAAATTAAAGGAAATTAGACAGAAAATAATAATACGTAAAATTTAAACAATATAACAGCAATAAGTTAAATTTTTTTAGGTAAGGTAAAATTGTAAAATTATATTTTTAAAATTGCACACCAAATCTGAACTTATTAGACTACCATACGGTCTGTGTAGCTGCTATCCTATTCTGCTTCAATCCCCAACAAGTATATCCATTTTTTATCATAATGCATTTTACATTTTGAAAATATTCCATTTTGTTACAGAGTTATACCCATTTTTGTAACATTAGGAGTATTCTTATATGAATCCTCACTGTTGCCATAGCAACAAAGTGGTTTTGAAAAAAATTCATAACTTTTTAACTACTTGAGCTAGAAAGTTGATCTGGGTATTTTTTTAATCCATTCTATGGCTCTATACATTCGTGGTATTTTTATATTTTAAAAAATGTTTTGAAATTTTTATGAAATTGCGACAGTCACCACTATTACTATCAGTACTTTCACCATTCTATTACTATTTCCATTTGGCATTTACCGACCCATCAGAATGCTGAAAATCATCATTGGAATCAGATTCAAATGATTCATAGTTATTTTCTGTTGTTTCAGCATCAATAATTAGCAATAAAAGTTCTTTTGTTTGCAAAATTGACTATCTACATGGTCTAGCAACAGCTGACATGCTTGGAGTGGGCGTGGCCATGGCTTTGTTTAAAAAATTTTCAACACAAATTGAACTATTATTAGAAAAAACACATGCTAACATGCCCTACTTCTTAAAAAAAAGAAGTAGTAAGAGTTATCCTTCGTTTAAGAACAAAAAAAGTCGGATTAAGAGCCACCAGAAACGAAATAAACTACATAAATGATATCGACAGTATACTGTGCGTTGGCACGAACGCGACCAGTCAAATCGATAGTATACTGTCGATTGGCATGGAAAGAGTTAAAGAATACACGTAGGTTTACATGATAAAACAAAATTTAAAATACAAAATGCGTTGAGAAATAATATACGCACCTGAACTGCACTTTTACAGATACTTTTTTATCAGTAATTTTAGTAATAGTAGTGACACATTATTATTAATACAATTTTACAAGTCAATCATCAAAATCAAAGTATTCAAAGTCACAAAGTCAAAGCAAAATCTCAAAATCAAAGATTAATCACAATAATTATGACTAGTGTTGACCATGGTAAGTGTTGTCATTTTTATTATTTCATATAAAATTTTCAATGATGTAAGTAGGCTAATATTTACTTTATTTAGGGCTAAAATATGTCATTATTACAATAAATCAATTTCTTCTTCTCAATTGAAAATTCTTAATTATCTTAATGATTAATCAATTCAATTGATCCCAAGCCAGTAGCCAAATTAATATCAAAATCCTGCTTGCTCTGATATCTTTACTGTAAATAATACAGTCCATTTTTCAGTATTATATCATTTAGTCTAAGTTAGGGGCTAATAAGTATTTTCCTCCTGTTATTTTACCATTGAAATAGAAATAAATAGTCTTAGTCTAAGTAGATGGAAAACACTGATACAGGAAACTGAAACCAATTATTTAGAAACCGGAAGTTTACTGCAAATCTATCCGGTACGGTGAGCTTCATTATTATTTTTTTTAACCAATGAACCCTAAGACTTGTAACTACTACAATTAAAACCAAATATTTTTTTTTCCGAAGTGGCCATTTGGACCCGGGTCCCAGAAGTGAGAGGTTGGGATTAAAATTTAATGAAAAAATTATTGTTAGGCTGTAAGACAAAATTTGGTATCAAATGAAAGACAATGAATGAACTATATGTTTGTAAACTTGCTTCTTCGGTTTAACTAAAATAAACTACCACAAATGACATCCGAATAGCATTGAGTCTAAAGAGACCCGGGTCCGAATAACGGCTCTGCGTGTCCGGGTCCATTTTGACTAAATACTATTCGGATGTCATTTGTTGTCAAATACGTAATTTTGTCTTACAAATCGTACAATCATGTTTAAATATTTTTGAATAAACCCAAACTCTCACTTCTCGGACCCGGGTCCGAAAAGCCGCAGCCATTTTATATATATATATATATATTTTATTTTTTTTTAATTTACACAGGGCTATCCATAGGAATGAAAAAAATGGGCATGTGTTCCCCAATTTCATTGGCTTTCTGAAAGGAAAAGGAAATTTATTAAGAAAATAGGGGATTTAGACTTCAGGTGCAATTTTTTTCGTCATGCTACTATAACTGGTGTGCTCTATCCTGGTAGGCATGCTTGTAGTACAATAGTTATACAAATTACAAAGAAATGAGAATATGATACTTTATTTACAGCAAAAAAAGTAGGCCTGTCGTTTCTCTCACCAATTAATAGTCACTTTATTTACAGAAAAAAAGTATCGTTTCTCTCACCAATTATACCATAGTCAGCTCTTGCGTAGTGTGTTGGTTTTTCTTCCCGCTCTCCAAACGTTAAAGCCAAGTCTTACCTCACTTAAAAAATATATCAGATTACAAAAATAACTCAAACATGGAACTTATTGCTAACTAACACACACATTCTGGTGAAGGTCTGAGATTACTCTCTTATGACCCCGGCTAGAACATTGGCTACCAGCTCCATCTGATGAGCTGAGCCAAACAACATTTTCCTCACGGGACATCTATTGAGGAACTTATTGCTAAACTATTCAACTGATATCTTCTAGGCTATAGACCAGCGGTTATCAAACTGTGTGTCGTGACCCCTTTCGTAAGCTTGCCAGATTTTCTGGATGCCAAGTGCGGACACAGAGGCTCACAGCAATCGGAACCATACCAGCCCGGGGGAGGGGGGGTGTTGTGCTTGACTTTTTTTGGACACCCCCCCCCAAACTCGTTCGTACAAGAAGCGTATAGCCCCCCCCCCCATAAAAGACCAAAGAAATCAAATAGCTAATTATGACGTCACATGAATTTTAAAAAGTGTATCGCGGGTTTATACCGCCGACAGTTTGGCCAGACCAGTGGTCCCCATAATATGCGTCGCTCTGGGTGCCATGTTGCCCTCGGGAAGAGTCGTGAGAATGGGGCGAAGAGGTCTGTCACAACGGGCGCCAAACTCTTCTTTAGATAGTATCTTATTAGTGAATTAAAATATCAAATCCCACATAGGCCTACTCCAGAAAGACCGGGGGGGGGGGGGACCGCAAAAAATCGCATTTTTACTGATCTGCCCTGTAGGCACTCTTTCTAGTTATTAAGTGGCTCCATTTTCCAGCTTCGTCCCAAGTGCAGCATTTCACTTAACTGGAAAGTAGTATCCGAAGGGAAAGCAAAAGAATGTTGAAAACCAAAATTTGGCATAAGCTCCGGAAATCGAAGCATTATAGGAACCACTGAACTAGCACTAGCACTTTGAAGATACTGTGGACGAAATATTACTGTAATACTGCTACTACTGGGTACTACTGAAGCGATATCTAGCCATTTCATTTGTGACAAGAAATGGCAACATTATGACGATACTTCCTACACAACATTGCGTGATCTTTTTACAGCTTTGGAGATATTTAAATATATGCTATTTTTTGGACTGTCAGATAGAGTTGAAACTATTAACTGCGATTGCCTTTTCAGAGAAATAAGATAAGATAAATTGAAATAAGACAAGCAAGTCGTCGCTGCCAAAAGTAAGGACAAGCTGGATGACGAGAGGAAAGTACGGGCAATAAGGGACGTAAAATTATTTCGGACAAGGGCAAAGGGGTCGAAATACAAACTGTCCGTAATAAATACAGACGTCTGGTAATACCGTACGAAGTCATACTCCCTTGTCTTTTCATAAACTGTATTTACTTTTCTACTTTTAGAACTGGAGCCAAATGAGACAACTCTACGACTTCCAGTAGTTCCAGTCTTTTTCACAATATGGCTTATACTTATACGCTGGAAATGCCATGCAATACAAGCCCTCGTTCACCAAGGAATAGTAAAAAAATAAATTATTGGTTTCATCATTCATTTTACCACTTGACAAATTCTGTTTCAATTGATGCCTCTAAATGCCGGTACCTTTAAATAATAACGGGTACCGGTATAGTTAATAGACTTTCAATTCCTTTGCCAGTTGGCAGGCACATTTTTTGTTCTCGCAAAGCCAGGTAGTACTGCTTATAACTATAAACTTTTGCTTATCTCTTGTTCTAGAACGGGAATTCATAATTTTTACACTTTTTAGCTGCTGACTATCCTTCTGATGCAAGCAGCATAACTTATATAATAATGCCAATGCTGCAACAAATCTAGTTCCAAAAAAAATCAACAAATAAAGCTTGTTTCATTTGACACCAGACGAGCCATACTCGGTCATGTTTTTTTTCACCATTTAAGTTAAATTCTTTTAATCTTTGAAAATGAAACTATTGAAATGTTAGAATTAGAATACTTTCGGAAAAACATGGATATGTGTATCTTTGGGAAATGCTTTAGTATTAGTATGAAAGCCAGCATGTCCTTTATTTTATTTGACAAGGCTGCAAATCAAGACAATTTCGCTATTACTGGTACACTCAAAGTAAGTGAGTCAAAATATAGAGTTTTAACAATATATACGATATTTGTAACTTTTAATAAATAAAATTTCAACTTACTTCATACTTCACAGTACCCCTTTGGGCTCCATGGGCCCAAGAACAATGTACCAGCTGCACCCCCCTCTCCTCAGGCCTGGTTATAGTTATACTGTTGTTTTGTTTTACAATTAACACACTAGACCTGAGACATCCAAAGTTAGCTCCCTAGATATCTCAACAGTAATTACCAAGCCTAGTGATGTCAGGGAAAAATAATGTGCCTTTAGCTGTAACATTTTTTGAAAAGAACATATTTTGAAAATTCAGCTACCCGGTATTAACAATATTAATACTGGATAAAACGGTACTTGGATTATTATTCTATACAATTTACAATAATAAGTAGTCGTACCGGTACCATTACAGAAAAGCCCTATATATAAATAATTTAGTTCAGTGAGCTGACAGCACAGTGTGTTCTTACAAAACTTAATCTTGGAGAACAGCTGCTCACACAAATAAGTGCTGTTCTGTAAAAAATTCTGATTAATTACTCGTTTCGCAATGGGTAATATGACCATGAAATAAAATTGCTTTTGTGTTCTAAATTGGACGATTGTCTGGGCTCCCATTCTTTGGACGTCACTGTACACATACATGTGCACACAATGAACGCCTTTAACTTCAAAAGTGCAATTAACAATTAAGTAAGCAGATATCACATAGAAATAGTGTGATTCACTGGTACACTAATACTAATAGATTACAGTTTCAATACACAAAATTTGGTGGTAATGTAGCCCTCAGAATATTTGAAAGCTAAGTAAGGTAATAGCATACATTATACAAACATATGGTTACCCGGTATCATAAGGAAAAATAAGCCAAGTAATATGAAAATCGTTACATTTATTTACAAAAAGGAATTTTAATTAAATGAGAAGTCTCTCAATGCTGCGCTGTATGGCCTGTATTTGATTTCTCAACTGTGATCCCTCTTTCTGGATTACTGAACAAGCAATGACTGGTCTGCTCACTCCACAGGCTCTCCCAAGTGCTAAAATATGTGTAAAAACATAAATACCTTAGAAAAAGTCTTTTTTTTTTTTAAAATGTATATCTCCAGCTATGCTCTTAAAGACCATTCAAAATTCCACATGCATCCAAAAATATGACAATACAGAACATGATCAACCCACTCCATCTTTATAATAATAAAAGCTATATTATTGTATAAAATAAAATAACTGCAAGCTAAATCAAGGATGAAAATGGTTGGAAAAATTACCTTGCTTTGACCTTACAAAAATGTAGGGGACATTCTGAAACATAAATGAATTAATTACTTGACACATCATTTATACCAAAGAATATTTTGTATGTCTTCACCATTGTACACCAGGCTTTATTTAGCAACAATTAAGGTAACGGCTAAATTTAAAGCAGTTAGAAGAAACCCAATTTAAAAATATATTAGACACTAATCCTAATATACGGTACTGTTAGTACCTATACTTACATATTAACTTAAATACCTGTATAACTAAATAAACCAAACTCGAAAAATTGTGCCACTGTTTTTTGCATTGGTATTAGGTTTAACATTTTACACACACATGCTACAGCATCTGGCATTTCAAAAACTGTACAAGCTTTTTGTATTAAAAAATGCTGTTTTGTTTAAGACTATTGTGCTTTATTGGAGGTGGATATTAATATAATATACTAGCACACTCATTCAAACTGTTGTACCATACCTTATCTTCACAAAGTAGTGGCAAATGAAGAAGAATTTCAATGGGTTCTGCGTCAGCTGTCAAAACAATGAACTCAGAGAGGCCTCGGTTAAGGGTTTTAGTAGCTATGAAAAAAGGGTAGCAATAATAAATTAGTAATTAAAATTAGGAGACATATTATTTTTAATGACTAACAAGCTATTGCCTACAAATTTGGGAATATTAATATTAGGCTTACCTTAAGTATGCAAACATGTAAGGGTAGATTAAAGCTAAAAAACTACTTATGTTAAAAGCTTAAAATAGAATGCTAATTACCCTCATTGGCACCCTTTTTTAGTTGCTTATAGTTTGCTGCCTGTTGCACTAACTCCAAAATTTGCTCAGTGAGCTTCTGATCTGCAAGAGGGTATGCTTTACTGTTCACTTCTTCTGCCTGATGGAAATAAAAATGTTTTATTACACACAAAAAAATAAAAAGCAACAAAAGAATACCTTAACTGTAACTATCACTCCCAAATCTTATCACAATTTAGGATGCAGTCTAAATTAATCCTGTTAAAAGTTAAATGCTTTGACTTGCTTGAACTTGAACCTTGGGAATGCATCTAAACCAAAAGTTCATCTTTTATGTTTATTTATTATAGGCCTTAGTTATAATATGCATATAAACACAGAGTGCGTTATTAGGTTAACCATAACTTTTAGTTTTAGGGTTGAAACTGTGACCATTTGAGTGTAACCATCAACAGCGATGATTTTATAATTTTTTTTTACCAGTATTAACATCAGGACTATACAATATTTAATGTGTGCCTGAAGTTTGGGTGAAATGCTTCATATTTAGAGGAGTCAAATTTACATGTTTCAATACTACATGTGATGCATAGTATGTTTGTGTAGAGGTCAGTCCGCTGTGTTATATCCACAGAACAATTTTTAGTGTCTAGAACACCTTTCTTTCGAGCCCCTGCACCTACAGTAGAGCTGATGTGCTGAATGACGCTCTAGCCACTACAGAGCAGCTGATGTGTGAAATCAAATTAAAAAAACGCCCACTCATACATCCACAGAAATGTTCACTCTCTACCAAAAAACTAAAACCACTCTATGGTTTTTACCGACACACATGGCTGACACAATTCGTGGGATTAACCTTGGCCGAAACCAAAGGAAAAAACCCACCATCGCTCACTCAATATCAAAACAGACACACAACAGAATCATGAGATCTGACTTACACTACATAGGCCATGGGGGTGGGGGGAAATTCAAAAATGGTGTCTTATTGATTTTTGAACCACAAAAAATTAAGGCTCCCTTATAAGTTATGACATATGATGAAATATCCTCAAATATTCAGGACCCTCCTCGTTATTTATAGATGGTCTCTTTTCTTATTTATAAACTTAAATAAAGTATGTTGATAGACTATATAATATATACTACCAATTTTTTATTTTTTTTTACAGGAAGATTTTAAAAAAAGCTAATGTAAAGAGATAGAACCCTGACGTCACTTGCGTGTTTTGTCCCTAGTTCCAATGCCAATAGGGTCAAAATGTTCAGGGGTGGCAGCAAATGCAGTGAGCCACAGTGCTATCTCTTCACATTTTTTTTTTTTACCAAATGTGTTAATTGTTGTCACTTACCCATCTTATTAACTGCTACTACTAGAAATGCATGTACTATGTACCAGCAACATAATTTAGTAAATTACTTACATTTTGCTTTGCCTTTGCCCTACTAATACTACTAAGTCTCTACTAAGCCTACTTGCGCTGATTAGCACAAAAATAACGATTGAAATTCAAGTCTTCTTTGTTTTATTTATATTATATACTAAACTTATCTCTAAACCTAAGTTCAAGCTTCGGGTTACCAAAACTACATACCATTTTATTGATTAGAATTGTTCCCAAGTTGTAAGAATTATTAATAAAATCACCTCTCGGCGAAAACACTTCGCTTCACGGAGGAAGATGGATATTTTGCTTTAAACTCACACGTGGGTTACCGATGATGCGGAAGGACGCCGTGCTGCTATTCCCCCAAATGCTGTGCCGTATTCGATTATTGTACTAAAAATAGAAAATAACTTTTCACAAAATATTCCATTGTGTATTTTTGCAAATTAAAATACACCTTTACAGACAATAAATTAATGTGTCCGTTTCTCCAAAACAATATAAATATTTATGTCACAAATTAACAGTCAGATATTATGAAATTTCCCGAGTTAGTTAAAGTCTTAGTGACTTTGTAACCATTGTTACTCTTTTCCGTAAACAATAAGGGCCCGCAATTCAATTTGCAATATACAGCAGACGACAAATAAATTTAGGTACCCAAATTTAAATGCAAGAAATACTTGTAGATTGAAAATTTTCCATTATCATTGGCAAAATCATCGTGTACTTATTAAAACTATGTACTTAACCATATTTATTCAAGTGTGTTTATTATAATTAATACTACCAATCTGGCTAATCAGTAACGTACCGTATTATTATATGATGCTGATTACATTTACATAAATGATAATAAATGCATTAAATTGTTAGTCAAACTTAGTCCTCATTCATTTATTGTCACGATTCATAATCATGGCATGGCCATATGATGGGTCATTAATCATTAAGTCATTGTAATTTTTTTCTTTAAATAGATTTTTGGACATCAGAGCGCTGTGAGCACGGTAAAATGGCATAAACACAAGCGTATCAATCATAATTAGCTAGCTAGGCCTATACTCTATACTTACTATAATAATATAATTAGCTTACTATAATTAAATTAGACTAATAAAATAATTTTTATTAATTCATTTCATTCATTATAAAAATAAATTATAAATAAAATATAATTATAATATAATCAATAACGACAATATTTTTTTAAAAAATAGGGCCTATAGCCTACTTTAATTTTTATTCATATGTCTACTATGACTATGTCAATATTGAATAAAGACTATAGGCCTGCATATTTTCACACATGAATACAACTCCTGATATGGTTTAAATTTTTATGATTGGTCCTGATTAAAAGAAAGTCAAAATGGAAATTTAAAATTCTCCAATTAATAAATAATAATGTGAATTATTATAAAAAAGACACTTTAAAGTAAAAATATTTAAATTAAACGACCCATAAAATAATTATAACTAAACCAATGGCATTTTCAGTTTCTTATAAATCTTTTCATACTATTCATACTCATAGTATCAAACTTAAGAGATTTTATTATGTGATTTTCTCCCCTCATTCACTGTATACTGTAAACAGTTACAGTTACAGAGATTAGTTTGGTATCACTGGAATTTAGTGTCTATTGTTATCACTAGAACGTGTAAGTGTAACCGTGAAGTCATCTTAATAATCTTCTAGACCTAAACTACAAATGGAGGATGAAGTCATTTCTGAAAAAACAGCAGATGATGAAGATGAGGCGAGTATATATTGTGATTCAATTATTTTAAGCCAAAGTGCACAAATATATTTTTACAGCTGCTCTTTTAAAAATTAATGAATAATGCTGTGCCTCTTCACTGCAATGCAATATTGTCCAAGCCATTCATAACATTTTTCTAAACCTCATTTTTTCAGTCTAATTCAACATGATACTCTTTCCATAATCTGAAACATGAACTAAAAGTTAACATTTGGCCTACTAAGGGTCCTTGTTGTAGATTTTATTAGGATTTATTGTGAATTTATGAAAGGAAAATCGTGAGATAAGTTCTCTCTCTTATTTGATTAAGCAGTGAATATAAAAAAGGGAGGGGAGTAGGGTATGGTGGTAAGGGGATAACCTATTAACATTTGTAGGTAGAAGCATTTTTTTAAATAACAGACAATGTAAACATTTTATGAATTTAATGTCCATGTATTTTGTGAAATTGACAGTAACACTATCTGCAAACAACAACACGCATATGGTGTTTGTATGAAAGAGAGGGGGAGCGAGAGATAACTATTTCTTATGCAAACATCAATAGCAGTTCTATGATTATATGCTATTTATAAATTAATTAAACCATTTTACTTAAAGCAATACATTAAGCTAGTGAAACCAACTTTTACAAATTTTCACTAAAACAGAAACTTTTTTTCTTAAATTGGATAGTTTAGATTTCAAAAAAATCATAGCGCTTAATTTTCTATGGATTAAAAGGATTTTATATATAGGCTATCTTATGAGTTTTTCATTAAGAAGGAGGAATGTGAACAGATTTTTTTAATAAAGGGGGCGCAGTTGCAAAAATCTGAAAATGCAATGTTGTTCCAAAGGTTGTCTCTCTTACTACTAAATAAGGTAATAGTGGGCTAAATTTTAAGGACACAATTGTATATTCTGAAAATGCAATGCTGTTCCAAAAATCATCACTCTTGGTTTTAGCTGCTGATGGACATATCTAGGGAATTAAGTTACTTAAATCATTTGTCAGAATATTAAGACAATATAATTATTAAAATCTCATTTTTATAAATTTTGCAACATTATAACTCATCGGTCATCAGGCTCCATTTTGATAACTGCTCACTTTTTATCTTTTATAATTGGAGCACCATTGAATAGATTATATTATAAAGCAAAAGAAACAACATTATTTAACCCAAGATTAGAAGTCTTTTAAACACTCTAGCTGCCAACATGGATTTTCCTTTTAATTAGCTTTAGTTAAGTGTTGTTCTTTGGGTTTTTTTTTTTTTTGCCCTATCCACTTTATGGATGATAGGGAAAAGAATGACTAATCTCTTGGAAACCATATAATACTGGATGCTATTGCAACAGAAAACTGTTCATTTTACACAAATCGACGCCATTCTCAAGAATATTCAGTTCAAAATAAGTGTCACTCAATAAATATTTATATGATTTATGACTAAGTTAAACTAATTATAATTACATTTTGCTTCTTAAAAAAATAGGATTCATTTTTTCAAGACATAGACATTCTACAGAACCATGGAATAGTAAGTATTTGGGAAGATACTGTTTTTTTTCTCTTCTTTGATAAGCTAAGACATTTATGCTAATTATTTTATCCTATAGTAAATACTTCAACTGACATAGTTCAAATTTGTAAAAGTTATACATATTAAAATGTAACATCAATATTAATCATGTTAGATGTATATATTTTTTAAAGTATTACTTTCAGAATATGGCAGATATAAAAAAGTTGAAACAAGCTGGCATATGCACTGTTAAAGTAAGTCTAATAAACTATATTTATTTGAACATTAAAAGTGAAATAATATAGACATCTAAATGAATTTTAAAAAATTTAAAATGATAACTTCTTAAAGCATACATTTTAATTGTAGATCTAAAGACTTATTTTTAAATTACTTTTTCAGTCACTTAAATTGTAATTTTAAAAGCAATTTTCAACCACTTCCCTTATTATATTGTTATATAGACACAAATTGTTGGTGTCTAATTAATCTGATTTATCCCATGATTTCTGCATTTTAAAAATTTTGAAATTTAAAATGAAATAGAGTAACAATGTGCCTTTGCCTTTATAAAATCAACCTTCAAATTAATTTGGAAAAAAAAAAAAAAATGTCAATCTTACCAGGGAATACAAATGAACACAAGAAAGAAGCTATGTACAATCAAAGGGATCTCTGAGGCTAAAATGGAGAAAATAAAAGAAGCAGCAGCAAAATTATGTGGAGTAAGTGGTTTTATGCAGTTGTAAATCAAAATAAGTGACTATATAAAGAATTAGCCTTGACAATCTTTCAATGTCTAAGAAAGTAAAATATAATGTGTATTCCATTTTCTGTTACCTATGTTTCACTGTTTTTTAGCTGAGTTACTTGATTTTGCTCAATTTCATTTTATAAACCACTGGTTCTTTAGGTCTTTAGGTTTTAAAGTCCCAGAAACATTTATGGAACATTAAAAGCATTTTTTTTTTATAAATGTGGATGTTCTTTTAATTATGTTTGATGTATACCAATTTCCAGTTGTTCAAAGGCAGTATACTAGATAGCACACTGTTTAAGTAAGCCACATGCTAAATATATGTACATCTATAATAATATATATATATATATATATATATATATATATATATATATATATATATATACAACATAAAAAATATATATATATATATAATAATATATATATATATATATATATATATATATATATATATATATATATATGTACATCTATATATATAGGCCTATATATATATTAAAATACATATACATGTATGTGCATAAATCAAATTTAAAATGTTAAACATATTTATTAAATTAAAACATATGTATATAGTAAATAAAAATGATCTTATCTTAAAATAAATTGCAATATTTCTTATTTTCTTACAAAGTGTTGTTGTATTTTTTTTACATATATATGCGTTGAGGTATTGAAGGAAGTATTACACGAATTTACAATCCTTAATTGATACTAATTATGTACAGCAAATCTATGTATAATCGACCTAGTTGTCCTGCACTGTTGACTGTCCTAATAACGGTTAATGTATCAGTAAGTGAAGTGTTTTCTAAAAAAGAACAACAAGAAAGAATGTGTTATTTTACAATGTGTAATTTGTTTAAATATACATACATATATTTCTATATGTACATAAGAGTGGAGAAAATTGTATACAAAAATATTTTAATAAATACATACATGTATGTAACATTGTATGTGTAAAGTGTATATTATTATTGAAAAATACTTACAACTTTCTGGATCATGATGAAAAAGTACTTACTTGTAGCACACTGAAAAGAACTTATACTTTTAATCAATTAATTTTTTTTTCCACGTTTGGGAATGACTGCTTTAACATTGAATATGTGTAAAATGAATCACCATAAAATGAGGACCTTCTGTAAGTTCATAAAGGGGTAACAGTGTTTGTATTAAAAACCAAATCATTTTAAAGAATTAATACTATTGTTTGGTAATAGGTTGCATATTAACTTATTATTTTTTATACACTTCTAGCATTTACTTTATTTTATAAATGTTTATTTTTCAGGAATCTGCATTTCTTACGGCCTTAGAGTATGCAATAAAGAGAAAACAGGTGTTTAAAGTGTCCACTGGTAGTCAAGAGCTTGAGTAAGTAATATTTTTCCTTGACCTTGGAGAATTCATTTTTTAATTCAATATTATATGCAGGTACCTGTTACTGAAATATATTTTTAACAAGAAATGATTTTTAAAAAATGATAGAAACAACTTATGTTTTTTTTACTTACCATGTATAAAAGTAGTCACAAATCTATTTAATTACGCTTTAATTACCTTTAATGTACCTTAAATAACTTTAAGATTGTGATGTGTGGAGTATGGGAATTCACTAGTTATTGTTGCACACTGAATTGTGTTTTATTGGGCATGGTGTGATTTAAGAGTTTTCTGCCTTGAAGTTGGTGATGTATCTTTAGTGTAATTCTGATAGACTACTTGCTGCAACCAAATACTGGCATATGTGCAGCGGTTTGCGAAACGATGCGGCAATCCTAACCGCTGCTAGCGGGTGCCAGGGCAGCCTTGAAACTCTCGATTGATTTGGAGTCCACGGCGGCATTGTCCAGTTGGTTCCATGCAATTATTGTTCATAGGAAGAATGATTGTTTATATTGAACTGTGTTACACTGAGGCACAGTGAAGCATTTATCATTGTTCCGGATGTAACTGCTCATGGAGTTGTCAGAGGTGAAGTCAGTGTTTATTGAGCGCTTGGCTCTGATTAAGCGACTGGGGTTCTGGGGTTTAGATACGTGTTAGCTGGAATAGCGGCACTAGCCCCGTGACCACTTTATAGAGAAATATTAGATGGAGCTTTTCTTGTCTGTCTTTGAGGGAGGGGATGTCAAATCTTTTTAAGAGGTCAGTGACGAAGCCAAGAGTAGTGGATTTGTAGTCACTTGCGATAAAGCACACTGCGTTGCGTTGGATTTGCTACATTTTGTCCACGTCTTGCTTTAGGTAGGGGTCCCAGATTATCGCACCATATTCTAGTAGCGGACGAATGAGTGCAAGATAGGCATTTCATTTGCAGGAAGTTTGGCAGTGGCGCAGATTTCTTTGAATGAAACCAAGTGTGGAGTGTGTTTATATGGGGTGACCATTTTAGATTATTCGAGAAGTGAATTCCAAGGTATGGATTATTTGATACTTGGAGAATGGTCTTGTTTAGAGAGTACATATAGGTTGATGTTTTTTTTCTTGAGATGCTCATTGTGTAGCATTTGGTTTCGTTAAATTTCATGCCCCATTTGTCTGCCCAATTCATAAGGCACTTCAAATCTGCTTGGAGGTGGTTGTGGTCATTTATCTCTCTGTAGACAAGACAGTCATCTGCAAACAGCTTCACTTGAGATTTTACAGTATCAGGGAGGTCGTTTATATGACAGAGGAAGAGAAGGGGGCCCAACACTATACCCTGAGGAACTCCTGAGTCTACAGTGGCTTTGCTTGATCGGACGCCATCCACCACTACTTGCATGGTCCTTTGTGTTGGGAATGTTGAGAGTCAGGAATGAAGGTTGCCGTTAATGCTGTAGTGGTAGAGCTTATGTAGAAGAAGGCTGTGTGGAACAGTGTCAAAGGCGTTGGAGAAGTCGAGAATTGCCATGTGGATCTGTTTACCTTTGTCATAGGATGAAAGGAGGTCATTGGTGGTGATGATTAATTGAGTTTCTGTTGAGAATTCAGAGCAGAAACCGTGGTTTAGGTTGGTCAAGATGTTGTAGTGTTCAAGCTGGTTCATGATGTGGCGATTAGATTATGTGTTCTAGAATTTTGCATGGTACGGAGGTCAGGGATATTGGGCGGTAGTTTTCTGGGTTATGGCGGTAATTATTATTTATGTTGGAAAATAATTATTATTTATGTTGGAAAATGACAAAATACTAAATGTTGATTAGCATTGTTTGTTGTGTAATGGCGTCACGTTTTTTATTCTGTTCTCAAAGAAATAAAAGTTGAACTTACCTTGATGGTTGCCTCTGCTTTTAATTATCTTCCTTATGAAGTAACTTAGCACTTTGATATTTTCAACAATTTAGTGACTAGACTGTCTTTGTCTAGTGCATGTTTGATTCAGCATTCTTTAAAAGAACCTTGTAGTGAATGATTGTGCATTATTTTTCCTTCCTATAGCGAGCTGTGTAATACATGTTTTTTATTAAATGCACAGCCTGATAGATTATATGTTCTGGATTAAAGATTACATTGCTAATGGAAAAGTGCTTTACCTATGAATGGGTAAAAGAAATTGAAGAAAGAAACCAATCTAATACAGAAATGTGACATAATGTAATATTTTAAAATTTAATCAAAAGGTAATGGGGAAAAATTTGCTTTGAACAGATCACACATTTTTAACAATTAAAAAGTGACATTTATATTTTAATGATTTAGTTATCATGTTGAAAGGGAAATTACTTAATACACATTTTCTATTTCAGTAAACTTTTGGGTGGTGGTATTGAAAGTATGGCAATAACTGAAGCCTTTGGTGAATTCAGAACAGGGAAAACACAACTTTCACACACATTATGTGGTATGAAACTGAAATAATAGTACATTTTTAGATTCGTAGATAAACTTTGTAGTCATCAATGTATTAAATATGATTAAAAAGTTTCTTAAAAGTTATTTAGTCATCATGTTCTTCTCTTTCTTCTTTGCCTTCTTTGCTTTTAGTTTAGTAGTTTTAGCGACGTACATAGCATAAGCCTTTCACCATTTCTTTCTTTTTCTTTATTTCTGGTCTGGGCTATTCTTTCCAGCTCATTCCACTTCATGCAGTTTCTCTGTTCAAGTCTTGCTCTCTTTTTATTACCCTAGGGATTCCATGAGAAAGGTTACCTAGTAATATTAGATTTTTTATCAATCCATCTCTTTATTCCTCTGTATGCTTAATTTACAGGATGTCTACGTGATCTTTTCCAAATGATCTCATTGAGATCTTTTCAAACCACTTTATTTTCAGTATTTTGCACAAAAACCTGTTCATTAAAACTTCTTATCTCTTGATTTGGTTGTTCTCCATTTGAAGAATAGAGAAGAATAGACTTTACTACTGAAGTGATTATTTTTAGCTTAACTTTTATCATTGTTTTATTATATTTCCATATTCATTATTTATACACATTTAATATTCTTCCTTTTGATTAGTGACCACACAGATACCTGGTGCAAAGGGATATTGTGGAGGAAAAGTTGTGTTTATTGATACAGAAAACACTTTGTATCCTTACATCAGAAGTAAACAAAGCAGATCAAATGAAATTATTGCCAGGGCTGATAGGCATTTAGCTATGATTCCAGAAGGGGTGGAGGAATTACTTGAGCAGAATGAAATGGGCCATTTTTAAAGATATAATTCTTATTTAAAATATTTTTCTGATAATGCAGGGGTGTCAAGAGCACCCTTATTGTGGTGACCGAAGAGATACATGTCAAAATTAATCGTTAGGTAATTTTAAAAATTAAATCAAATGATTTCTTTATCAGTTGGTCATGTGGTAATTTTAAGTTGCAGTTATGTTTATTGGACATTAAACATCAAAAGTTTTCAATAATTATTTAATTCAATATAACTAAACTGCATTTTGCTACATCATGTCAACTGGATATGTCAAATGGACTTTCGCCATGGGCATTTTGGAAGGGTACAGTCAAATGAAGCTAAGACAATTATGTGTTATTTCAGATTTTAGCAACAAAGCACAGCAGTGTTGCACACTTTGTAAAATAGCATGCAGAATTTTCAAATGGCATGTATTGAGTGAAATCAAAAGTTTTCCATTGTATTCCTTTGAAAGTTGATTAAACAATGGAAGATGATCTTCTCTAATGCAAGTATTTGTTAAACAGCTCATTCAATTGACATTAAACAATAGTACCTTATTTGTTGTTTACCTGAAACTTATAAAACGTGGAGGATAATATGGTGAATATATTTTTTTTAACCGGAGGACTACGATGGTAAAACTTCTTTTTGGATTTGAAGTACAAGATATGGGACAGCAGAAGTCTGGCTTTTTCAGAAAAAGTAAATGAACTTGCTACCCAGTTTATTCCCAACATGATTCACTTCTATGCTCTTACCCACTAACACCTCTCAGATCCTACATAGTGACATAAATGTGTACTTGATTTTCTGGACAAAATTGTAAACTATATAAAAATAATTTTTTTTTAAGATTCTGGTAAGGAGGTTAATTTTTTTACACTGATAGTCATAGATTTTTGTAAAAGGAAATGTTTAGCTAAATATCAGTTGAAAGAATTAAGTTATTTTGGCTAGTTTCAGGGAAAGATGAGTTTTTTCTTTACTTTTATGAGGAAATTTGGCAAAGATTTACCTCCTTTCATAGATGCACACAACATCCATTACAAGAGAATCTTAAGGCTTTTGTAAAACTGGTTTTGAAAAGTGAATTTTTGAAAGACTGTCATGTTTAAATACTCGTTCGTCTGGTAGAGGAATTTTTTAAACTTATTCTATAAAAATGATTTTTTTATCCACATGTGGGTGTTTCAAGTTACATTGCTATTATAAAAGGTTGTCCACATGCAGTTTAAAAGACTTTAAAAATTCTGCTTTATCTAAGTGAAACTAAATTACAATTGCCCTCATCTTACATCAAAAGTAAATACATGTTACTTTCAATTTTTAAAAATTACCAAATTGAAGTTTCAAATATTTGAATGGAATTATTGAAATTCATTGGGCTCACCCAAATAAAGATACAGTTATAGATTTTAGTCTATAGGCTTCTTCCATGAGTGCGCCCATGAAACCCTCAATCATGAATGTATTATTTTTAAAAGTATAGGATTTTAAAGCCTTAACCATGTTTTTAGCCGTCCTGATAGACTAAGAGATATTGCCGACAGATTTAATGTAGATCAAAGTGCAGTCTTGGACAATGTCTTATATGCCAGGGCCTACACAAGTAAGATACAAAGATTTTCTTTACAAATCTAAGTTGAAAAAAATCTTAAATACAGCTTTTCACTAAAACTGTAACATAAGATTAATTTTTTTTTTCAGGTGAACATCAGTACGAGTTGTTAGATTTTGTTGCTGCAAAATTTTATGAAGAGCCTGGAGTTTTTAAAATGTTGGTATGTATATAGAATGTCAATATTATTTCAAATAAATAAAAAAAATTATAGCTGTTAAAATGTTACAATTGTTTATTGTGTCTGCTAATGAATACAACTAATACAAGTTGAAGTAGGGACATTTTTACAAAGATAACATCTGAAAATTACTGTAATTGATTTTGGGAGCCAACCATAAATGATGTAGGGGGAGGAACACAAAAATTTGTGACAATGTATTATGTGTTTAAACTTTGACAATGTGGAGGGGAGTCCAAAATCAGTCAAAATAGTGTGACATCATTTATGGATGGCCCCTTCAGTAAAAATTCTTATAATAGTCCTTGAGGAAACTATTCAGTAAAAATTATTATCAGATTGTAGATTCCATCATGGCCCTTTTTCGTGTGGACTTTAGTGGTCGAGGAGAATTGGCTGACAGACAGCAAAAATTAGCACAACTTTTATCTAGACTACAGAAAATTTCAGAAGGTACTGTTCCATTTGAATTTTTATAATGACTTAAACAATGTTAAATCCTACATGCCAACCCTCCCAATTGAAGTCAAAACTCTGTACATAAAATCTCAAAAACTCTGCATAAAATTAAAAACAAAAAAACTATGCAAAAACAAAATGAAATACCAAAATAATTATTAATTATTTTAAATAAATATGAATTTTTAGAAGAAATATTTCAATCAGTCAATCATTTAAAACAAATTATTGTTGCATGCAAGCAGTTTTTACCTTTCTTATGTTTGAAATGGTTATGAATATATTTAAAAAAAAACACAAAATGTATGTGTTACTTTCACACTGTAAAAATAGATGTGTGATTGTGTGACCACTGAGTCTGTTTTCACTATTAGTTTGTAGCATATAGAATGATCTCTCAGTCTTTAGTTATGTGAGGCAAGGTCAGGAACTTTCAATGCCAATATCTTTATTATTTTTTTACAAGTTATATTCAGCTATTTAATATACAGCTTCCTGTGTAATATAAAATTTACACATATTTAACCCTCTAAATAATGTTTAAATAATGCACTAAATAAATGAATAATCTATTTTTAAAAATAAAAGGGCAAAAATTATTTATTTTTGGTGAGAAATGTTTCTAAATTATATGATGCATTATTAGCCACTTGCTATTGGTGAATCCAACATCCAAAAATTAATTGCAAAGAATTTGGTGCTTTATAAATTTATTTTATGCATATTGTTATTGAGTCATTTTAGGATCTTTGTTTTGTGTGATACATGACCTGGTGACCATCTGGAATTAAGAACATATTTGCCCATCTTAATAAAAATAAAAATTGTGTTGAATTTTTATTTTGTTTACATCTAATTAAGATAGACAATTTTCATTGTCAATGTCACATGATGGACAAGCATTAAAACACTGCTATTTATGTTTATTAAAGTACATTATAACTGCTACAGCAAAGTATTTGTTATTCTATAAAAGAATTCATGTATTATTTTTGCTTACTTGCATTCAGACGCATCACATCAGTTACAAAGTCATGTTACATCAGTTATATTATTATACGACGATACACAACTTCATCAATCCGTGATCCCTTCTCAGTTCCCTCAGCTGCTCAGTATGACACAGAAGACAATGGATTCGGTTAAGCACTGGATGACCATAAACAAGCTCAAATTAAATGATGATAAGACTGAGCTGCTCCCCATCGCGACCGCTCAGAAGCAAAAATCTGCAAATAACACGTCATCCATTACTCTCTCAGGTGTGCGTATTGAGTTAGCTCAAACAGTGCGGTAGCTGGGTGTCTACCTAGATAGAAGACTAACTTTTGAAAGTCATATTAACATGCTATGCAAGGCGATTTTTCTGGAGCTGCGCAGGATTAGTCACATCAGGCCCTTCCTAACAATTGATGCAACAAAGAGGCTGATGTCTGCATTTGTGCTATCACGCATGGACTATTGCAATGCTCTCATGGTGGGTCTTCCAGCTACGCTCCTGGATAAAATTCAAATAGCACAGAATAATGCGGCTCGCATTGTTCTCCGCAAACGCAAGTTCGACCATGCAAAAACATTTCTGAGAGAGTTGCACTGGCTGCCGGTGCGTGCTCGCATAGAGTACAAAATCGCAACTTTGTGCTACCGCTGCTTACATGACCTGGCGCCGTCCTATCTGAAAGAGCTGCTGACGCCTTATGTACCCACTAAAGAGCTCCGCTTATCCGATAGTGGCAAACTCTCGACACCACGTGTTTGCCTTGAGACTTACGGAAAGCGCACTTTCGCATTTGTTGGTCCAACAATTTGGAACGCCCTTCCTGTTGATCTCAGAAACAACCAGACACTGGAGTCCTTTAAAACCGATTTAAAGACACATCTATTTCACAAACACCTTCTGGGATGATTGTCAACCTTATTTTCCAGTTAATACATAATGGCTGTGTTGCGTATGGTTGAAATGGCTAGAAAGACTTTGCCATTGTATGCTTGTAATTAGTTTTTGTAATGTTGCGTTTGTTTTAAATGTGGTAAATTATAGATTTATTTTTTGTTGACTTTGTACCGCGCTTCAAGCCTTTGGGGATGAAGCGTGTTTTTGAAATGAACTTTATTATTATTTTACTATCATGCTTAATATATTTGTGTAAATCCTATTGTTTTACAGTCTGCCAACTTAAGATCCAAAAACATGTATAGTTTTGCATACTTATGGAATTTATCATTTACACTGGAAGCAAATAGAAATTATTTTTTTTAAAGTTACGTCAGTTAAAATGGAATTCATCTATCATCATTATATATATTAGACCTTGTGCTTGTAGATATATATCTTTTTATGATTTACACAAAAGATTTGGTAATGTTTTAATTACTGACTATAATGTATTATCAGCTGCTTTAGATTCTTATGCAAAGACTTATGAATGTTTTTAGCATTAGTTCCATTTTTAGGCCACAGCTATTCCGACAATGACCAAAGTTATTTTAAATGGTTCAATTGGCTTAAAATTTCATTTTGATCCAAATTGCTTGTAAGTTTTAAAAAATGTCCATTTAAAGACACCAGTGTGCTAATAAATATAGATATATATTTTGATAAAATGGGACAACCAGGTACAAAATTCAAAATTGGGGATGTAAAAACTGTAAAATGCTGGAATCAAGTACAAAAATGAGGAAATCATAATATGCAGTTACAAGCATAACATTCCATTTATATTGACACAATTTGAAAAGTTGAATAATGTTCCTATTCAAAGTCTTTCAGTGGGAAGTAGCATTTTTATTATTTTTTTCCATTAGAATACAATGTGGCCTGCTTTGTTACAAATCAGATGACAGCAGATCCAGGAGCCACTATGTCGTAAGTTTCAAGATGCCATTGACAATTTTTTCAATGAATTATGTCAATATTCACTGTTAAATCTCAAATATAGTTTTAAATATTTAGTTAAATCAACCTTTCACCTTTATTTGTAAATTTTAAGTAATAAAACGATAACTTTTAAATTCCAGATTTCAAGCAGATCCCAAGAAACCTATTGGAGGTCACATTCTTGCTCATGCCTCAACAGTCAGGATTATGTTTAGAAAAGGCAGAGCAGAGAACAGGATTGCCAAGATATATGACAGGTAGAACTGTAAAAAGCTTTTGCTGTTGAAACTTGAAAACTTTTAAGTTTAAGCAACATAAATGTCCAAACTATGTTTGAAAAATCAAAATGATCCAAATTGATTTGGATTGTGATACAAATGATGTGTACGGTCAAGATAATCAAATCTAACTTTACTTATTTCCTTTTCGAGATATTGATTGTCTTTTACAATTAAATTCTGAAGTTAACTATTTGAATCTTAATTAAGCTGATTGAACCCAGGATCATTCCCAGACCCATTTTGGTCTTTTTTTAAAATCTTTAATTGCATCCATTTCAGGGAGAAAAGAAAAACTCGTAAGTTTTTAACACTGTTTAAGATTTTCTTGTGCAATTCTTCTTTAATAGCCCTGATCTACCTGAAAATGAAGCAACTTTTGCCATTGGTCCAGGTGGAATCATGGATGCCAAGGAGTAATTTTTTATTGTCCTCCTAAATACTGTATGATTTAATTGGAACATTTTGTCAAAACATTTACTATGCAAAATTTTAAAAAATAAAATGTTTGTTAAAAATATTTTACATGGGTTTATCACTATTGTGTACATTTTGTTTGTACTTGTATGAAAGATTGTTTAAAATAATTACTTTTTTAGTTGCTAATAATTAAGATAAGATAAGATATTTTTATTGATCCAAATAAATGGAAACGTGTTTTTTACATTCATGTACATATTTCCCTCAGCCCTGAAATGTTTGTTTGCGCTTTCCATTGTTCTTTTAGCAAGACATTCGCCGTGTTAGTGTGCGGTATGAATAATTCTTGAGTTCTTGAGTGAGAACAGTCTTGGATTTTTGTTTGAACGAGGATTTCTTCTCCAAGATTACGGGAATGCCTTTTGTCTGTATTTGATTTGTCCTGAAATATTTGGTTGGAACTTGCCATTTGTTTACAAGATGGTGAATCAATAATTTCCAATAAGGCGGCTATTGATGTGTCTTGGTGTATGGCAACGACGTCCAAAAAATCCATGTAATCACTGTTCATCGCAGTAAAAAACAGAAGATAATCAGTCAACGGAGATAAAACACATTCAACACACCTTGATTCCACAAAAAAATGTTGTAAAAACCTTTAAACTATTACGAAAGCTGAAAAAAAAATGCACAGATGAAATCGAATCGCCTGCAGAGCGTTGCCCTGGAAGTAATTAGCAGATTTGTTAATTAGTTAATAAAGTTTGAACAATTATTTGACATTTTAAACAATCATACATTTTTAAAATAAAAATAACAAACAAAATAAATTACACATTAGAAACATATTTTATTAAACCAGAGGAAATGACTGAAATTAAATTTACCACAATATGTCTGGAGTAATGTGAATCAATGGTTGCATCTCAAAGTGAAAAAACCTAAATCATGCCTGAATTAGTTTTATAACTAATATAGTCACTGATGACCTAGGTTCATTTTGGAATTAGATTTTCAATTTTAATCCCAAATATTCAACCAACTTTTAAAACTTTTCAATTCACTGTCCCCAAATAAAGGAGATTGCACTTTTCTAGTTACAAATCCAATTTATGTGGAATTTCTAATTAACACCTGTGTATTACTGACATAATGTATAATTCCTGTTAAGCTATCTGGTATTTCAGAATGGTAATGGGAACAGTTCAATATATAAAATGCTTGGAACCTGTACTTTGTTTTCATAAACTTTGAAATAGAAAAAAAATAAACATGTAATTTTACTTTTTGATTAAAAATATGCTGAAAAGAGAACTATTTTGCACCTTTCTTATCAAGTTGATTGTTACTCACCATTTTCTGGACAGGGAAAATAAAAACTACAAGTTTTATTGCTCTAACAAGAATATAAAGACTTCTGGAAATAAATATATTTGTTATAATAGATTTAAACTATAAGTCTTTCCTAAATAATGGAATAGTAAGAACAATACAACATACTTTTTTAAAAAATAGTTAAATGAGATTATTAAATATGAGATTAACTATAAAGCATCAATTCAGCTGTATACTATGACACAAAACAACATAATTAAGTTTTGTACAATTAAAATACATTTAAAAAAAAGCGATTTTTAAAAACGATGAGTAAGATCAATATGGCTTTGGGCAGGCTCTTGAAATTTTATGAAACACCCAAGGGTAAACATTTATTATAATGTGAATATTTTTACAATTTTCCCTTACTATTACTATTTTATCAGAATATATTTGATCAAGCTTCAAACTCTTCTAATTTTGTGGTATAATATTGCATGAAAATCAGATATAATGCATATTTAAATTTAATGGTTTGAATTTGTGGTTTATAATTAAGAAATTAAAAAAAACTGTTCAGGTTAGTTTAGTTTAAAAAAAAGTTTTTAAAGAGATGTTTTAAAATATTTCTAGCTTCTACAATTTTGACTTTAGCTAAATGAGTACAAGATTTTAATAGATAATAAAGCTTTGTGCACAACTAAAATTTAAAAAAAATTAATTTAAAAGGTTAGTCAAAACCACACAAAAAAAGCTTAAAGGATAAAAAAAGATGATATCACTGGCATGGAATTAATTTAATAGCACCAAGACATGAAAAATATACAATATTAAAAATGTGACACAGAAAGTTGAAGAACCATAATATTGTACACAAAATAGGTCTAACCATCAATCACACAGATAAAAATAAATGCCAGTTTAAGTGAACTATTAACAATGTTTAAATGTCTAAATTTTATTTAACTTCCAAAGGTGGAATTAAAAATTTTGGGTGATTAAAAGGAAAAAAAACAACAGCTGAATCCATTCAATCATAAGAATGATTAGCAAAGAGTTTAGAGCGGTGTTTCCCAACGTGGGGCCCACGTCCCACAGGGGGCAATTCGATTGTTTAGGGAAGCAATTGGAAAATGAGCTGTCTTAGGATTTAAAAACCAACCGTTTACTATGATTTAACTGGTATTTTGAAAAAAGAGCAACATTTAAGTCTCTATTTAATGCTCATAGTGCAATGGCCAATCTTACTCTTGAGGCTAGTTATGAAATTTCCGTACTCGTCGCTAAATCTGGGAAAAATCATACTATAGGAGAGAATTTAATCAAATCATCAAAATCAGTATTTTATTAAAATGTTTCTGGAAAAAGATGACAAAGACATGAAAGCTATGCCACTCAGTAACAATACTGTTAGCAGAAGAATAGATGAAATGAGTGAAGATATTGAAATACAACTTGTTGAAAAGCTGAAAAAAAGAAAATTCTCAGTGGAAATGGATGAACCAAATTTGAGAGACAGTGAGGCTGTGTTGTTAACTTGTGTCAGATATATTGATAAAGGGTATTTTGCTGAAGAAATGTTGTTCTGTAAATTATTAGAAAGCACCACTACCGCCAAAGATATATATATATAATAAGCTAAAAAATTACTTAGATGTCAATAATATACCAATGAAAAATATAACATCTTGTGCTGCAGGAGGTGCTCCTAATATGATGGGCAAGAAAAATGGCTTGTTAAAATTAATGAAAGATGAGAATCCAGAAATGCTGCTTGTGCATTGTGTTATTCATAAGGAAAACTTAGCTAAATATATTTGGAATGTTCTAAGTGAAGTACTAAATTCAGCTATAAAGTGTATCAATGCTATTAAAACTAATGCCCAATGTGAACGTCTCTTCAAGCTATTTTGTGACGAACAAAATGCACACTATGTGAGACTTTTACCTCACACTGAAGTAAGATGGCTTTCGAAAGGGAATTGCTTGAAAAGAATTATGGAATTTTTTATACTCTTGCGATTTTTTAAAGTGACAGACCTGAAATGAAGTATCTGTTGACAGTCGATGGTAAAGCATTTTTGAAGTTATTTAGCTGATATATTTAAAAAACTAAATATATTAAATAACCAACTTCAAGGAAAAAATATAACTTTTGTCGATGCAAAAGCTAAGATATTTGGTTTACTGAAATATGTCAGAAAAATGTTTACAACAAAAATTTTGAAAAGTTTCATTTCCTCCAAAAATGTGAAGTGACGGATGCCGTTATTCTTGTTGTTGTCGATCATCTGAAAATTCTATCGGCTAATTTAAAAGAAAGATTTTCTGATTTGAAACAAATATTAATTTTTTAACTTTGATGATGCAGCCAATGTAAGTGGATTTTGATATTTAAATATGCAGTGTCAAGAGGAACTCGTAGAAATGCAAAATGATGAGTCAATTAAAACTTTATTTAATATAAAAGGAGCGATGGCATGGCTTTGTATAGAAACAGAAATCAAATATCCAAATTCAAACAAATATGCAAGAAAACTACTGTTACTGTTTCCATCTTCATATTGAGCTGAATGTGGATTTAGTTATAAATGATTTGTTGCAAAAAAAATTGGCTGGATATAACATGAGGGGGAGACTTAGCACTGATGCTAACTAAATTTGAACCTAACATAAAATCTCTTTGCAGCAAGCATCAAGCACAAACATCTCAATAAATTAAAAAAATGAATAATTACTAATAATTAAAATAATATAGAAAAATCTTTCATTAAAATTATTTCGTATTTGAATTTCAGTTCTCCATTAGATGTTTTGAAAATTGACTTACTATGTTTCCTCACCAATTTCCTAGTGATTTCTTCCTAAAATCTATCATTTAAGTTTCTTCAGTGAACAATCCCATTTTATAATATTAAAAATTATGTATAATGATACAGGGGGGGGGGGTGTTTGCATAAGAATTTTAGAAAGGCTTAGGTGGGGCATGGCACAAAAAAGGTTGGGAAACACTGGTTCAGAGCATCAGTTTTTAAAAAATAAATGATTAAAACTAGAAACAATATATAAATCACATATTACTAATTACATCCAGCTTAGTCTAATACATCAAAATTTAGGACAGATTTTTGAAATTTATCATATAAATGAGTGAGAGAAATTACAAATTACGTACTTGGCTATATGCATGCTTTAAATATTTAATACAATTAATTATTAAAGCTATCAAAAAAATAAATGGGACAGTTGAAAATAATTCAGAAAGAGTCAGGATGGCAGGGAAAAAGAGGGAAGGGATTATTTATAGAAGCTATTAATTTATCAAGAGAAAGCATGATAAAGAGCCAAAACTTCTTTAAAATGCTGCCATTTAACCGATCACTTATATAGTGAGTATTATGCAATAGTTAGAATGTATAATTTTTCTCCAAAAGTTTCAAGGCCTTATGGTTCAATAGTTCAAGGAAGTGTATTTACAAATAAAAGTTAGAGATATACATCATAAGTAAAGTCCTTACCTCCATTTAAGAAATATTAATTTTAAAAGTGACTACCTAAGTGAGTTATGAGCTTTAATACAAAGCCACAAAAATTGAAATAAATAAATATCCCTGACATTCCAGTTCAAGTAAAATTTACAGAGTTGCTTAAAAATAAAATAAGCAAGTTAAAAAAAAAAAAATTAAAAGTATTTTGTTAACAAACATTTTTCGGTGTGACCATTTAATTAAATATTCAATAACAAAAAAAATTCAAATAAAATTGTATCCAATTGTTTTATCTGTAATATTAAGTTTTAATGTGAAAAGAGTAACTAAAAAGAGTTACAAAAATAAACAAACAAATACATGCCCTGGTAAAGTTGCTAAGCTTTATAGTTATTTAAATAATGAATTAAGTGTTTTGACAATGTGCCTAAATATATGGCACATCTGAGAATTTTCCATGAACAGAGATGTTATACTCCTGTTATCACAATAGAAAAAAAGCTTTATTATAAGACTGAAAATTCTGCTAATTATAATATAAAAATGGGAATAGCTGGTACACTTCAATCTTGTTTTTTTTTTATAGAGGTCTAATCATACTATTTTCTGTGGTCTAATCCATTTCATTGTGGCAAAAATTAATCTTTTGGATAATGAGTAGTATTACAATTTATTTAACTCTAATAGGGATTTTTGATGATGAAAACAATTGATGAGATTTTAAAATATTATACCCAGGTCATTCAGATATATTGAAAATAATGGCCCAATACATGAGTACATGATTATTAAACACATAATTTATAAAAGCTACCTAGCTTCTAATGCACGTTTTAAGCAGGAAACCATTTTAAGTAATTAACCATTCAGCTTGAAATAAAGAGTCTTAATACTTTTTAACAAATGAATCATGTACATCTACATGTGTCTAAGTTTGAATTAGAAGACCTTAGTGCTAAAAGAACTTAAGTCACAAAATATGCATTTTGAGATTATCAAGTTCAAATATCCTTTTTGTCTATAAAATATGATCATTTTCATATTTTGTCTTGTTTAATTAAGGGATTTAGGCACATTTTAATGTATTAAAATTTCTGCAGTACACTTGGCTAAACTGGATAAGAAAAGGTCTCAGTTTAGAGTGATTTTGAAAAAAATTATTTTTATTAAACTAATGTGGATATCTCCTTAAAAGTTTTAATAATTTAAAAATTAAAAAAAAAACAGAAGGCAGAGAAATCTGAAACCTAAACATATGCTATATTAACAATAAGTCTAATGCTTGATAGCTTTAAAATAATTACTTTTGAATAAAAACTGAGAGAAAAATAAACAGAGTTCTCAATCTTATTTACAATATTTTTGTAAATGAAAACAAATAAGCAAGTGTAAAAGTATCACAATACAGTAATGGGAAGTTGCACATTCTTTTAAAAATCAATAATTTTTAAAACAACTATTAGATTTCCTTTACACATTCTTTAAATCTATGGGAGACTAATGTTATTTATATTACTAACAAAATAAAACAACAATAAAATGTGAATACATTTTGAAATCTCTTCAGTTCAGAATTCAAGAATTGCTTTGAAAGTTTTATTGCGTTGTAGTTGCATACAAATATTGTGGTTTACTATTTAGTCATTTACATTTACCTCACTGAGAAAGTATTAAACTTGTTTTAAAAAAAGGTAGTATTGTCAATTTTAAATATTATATGTATTACTAAGAAAATCATGCTTTCAGGTCTGTCACTTTATACAATTCTATTAAATTTGATTGATTATCTGCAGTTATTTTCCTAAACTTGTAAAATCTGGAATTTATAAACAAAATATTCCAATAAGGCAAAATGGCAGTTAAATGGACAAAATTTAAAATTTTTTTTTTCATATGGTCATAATTTGAATTCAGAATATTGTGATTTAACAATTATCTGAAAAAGGGCATTTGGACATTTCACAACCATTTGCATAACAGTTTACTTACTAACCAAAAAGCCATTGTGAGTTTTAAAGAATGACTCTGAACGGATTTTATCATTTTGTGCACTTAAGGAAAAAAATGGTTTAACTTCAAGAAATTAACAATCTTATTGAAATCAAATTTTTAGAAACCTTATTAAAACTATATTAATTTAAGCATTTGTTACCAATAGATGAAACATATTGGTTCATTAAATGTTACTTTATTGAATTTATTCAAATGAATTTGTAAAAAAGTTCTTCAGTTCCAAAATGTTTCAAAAGTTTTTTTCAAAACAATTTTTAAACACAATTACTACCCTAAGAAATTTGATTGGAGACATTCATTATTAGAATGCTTCACACAAGAATGATGTCTTATTGCAGAAGACCAAAAGGTAAAAAAATGGTGATTCTAAACCTAGGAGGCGTATTGCATAGACCATCAAAAGGTAACTTCAGAAATATTTTAAAGTGATCTGAATAAATTTGCAACATAGGTTTACTTGAAATTTTAAGGTAATCCATGGACTCTGAACCTGTAAATACAAGTGTACTCCTTGTTGCCATGGTTGCTAAGAACTCTTAATTCAACATGCTGAAATATTCCCGATTGGTGGTTCTGAAATATAATAGATACACTTTTGGCATACAATAGGTGAAAATTAAAATTTAATCTGGTGTGTCAATTAGAAAATATTTATTATTTCTAACTACAGCCCATACATCCTCCGGCATTATTATTTCTGACCAGAACAATTATAATCATTTGAAACAATTGTTCTACAGGGCATGAAATTTTTTGAGCCGAAATCTGCAATCACCAGTAGGGCCTAGTTTGCAGCCACTTGTAAAAAATCAAACTCAAAAGAAACACTCAACAATAGCTTCCATATTATGATATGGTTTAACAATTAAAAAAATTATTTTGAACTAATATAATATATATAGTAACATACTTTTATTTCACCTTGAAACTAAATTTCCTCAACAAGGTTAAGAATCTATTTCATATACACAGTTTGTAATCAAGAATGAAAAAAAGTGCCCAAAAGCAGTTTCCCTCAAAAGTTTCAGTATGAAGCCTTGAACAAACTTTTTGAGGGGGGTCACATGAAAAAAGAAAAAAAATTCTTCCTTAAATTTCACTCATCTCACATCAAACCCCCGACCCCTGCTCCCCCACTTTTCCCAAACTCATGTCTGTAAACTTCGTGTTTCTCATTTTCAGTGATTCTGAACACAAACTGTAGTTGAATACCATTTAACGTATTGTGTAACCTTATTATGGGTTACTCTCATTTACAGTGCTTGGCTGGCATTCCACACATACAATGTCTAGACATCTCTGTGTTAGTTTAGCAATTCTATTTATTTCATCAAACGTTCATTCTCTTTTGCTCACCTGAGTAGAGTAAAGCTGTATCGGTTTCCCATTGTCTTCATAAGTGTAGTTTCCTAAATTCACACCCAAATGGTCACTTTCTGAAGCCAAACCCTGATAAACAAGAAATGAAGTATAATTGTTTTTCAAATAATTACATATTAAAAAAAAAAAGTGAATCTCTAAGTTACATATTTTTTGTTCATTTGTAAAATTATACCACTTTTATATAGTTCAGCAATAAAAAAATTAGAATATCTATAAACTCTTAACAATTACAAATATAATTTGGACATCAATGACTTACAAACACAGTGAATTCTCTAGGAGCACTACTAATATCTCCTCTGGGTGCAAGGCTGCGAGGAATATGTTCCAATGTAAATCCAGTTATTTGAATGGGATGAGACAACTGCAAGACCAATCTGCCTGAATCTCCTTTGAATGCCCAACATTCACCTGGATGCACATTGGGCTAGAAAACACAGATTAAAATTATATTAGAAACAGTTGTCTCACAACTAACGTAAAAAAAATTAACAATTACATTATAATGGTTTAGTCAAATAAAATGCAAAGTTTCTGAAAGCTGATGCTGAATAGTGCATTTCAAAATTTTTCATTTGTGTAAGAAAAAAGAAATTGAAATAAATATATTTTCTATAGGAAATATATGTTATATTTCAAAATATGTATTCAAGTATTTATAGTCAGAAGTAAAGAGACAAATGGGTGCAACTGAATATATATAAATCCATTTGGCAAAATGACAAACCTTAAAATTAGTAATAGAAGAAAAATTTAAGAGTAACATTCTTTCTACTCTACCTGAATAACAGTTCTTGGAGAATTGGATGTGTACCAAAGAGGAATTCCAAAGACACTGACAAGAGCAGTTTTCTTATAAAAGGTCTCAGAACAACGTACACTCAAGACACTACCACCTGATGAAGTCAGTGTAAGTGGAAACATTTCCAATGTTACATTTTTTAAGTGAATAAGATACAAGCATAATTTTCTGTTCCAATATTATTTATAGAAAAGTTATAAATGTACTAGTACTTTTAATTAAGTATAATCAAATATATTGATTATATAATAATAATAATAATAAAGTTCATTTCAAAAACACGCTTCATCCCCAAAGGCTCGAAGCGCGGTACAAAGTCAACAAAAAACATATATATAATTCACCACATTTAAAACAAACGCAACACTACAAAAACTAATTACAAGCATACAATATCAAAATAAAGCTGGTGACATGCTTTTAATTATTGTAAAATTTAGATTTTAATCAAATATTTTAAAATTATATATTATTTTAACAAGATCATATAGGAATGAATTTAAAATTTTCAAATGTTTTTCTCCTATTTTTATTAATATCCATATCTTCTTAAAGTTTGCATCTCCAAATCATTACACACCTGCAGATTCCAAAGCAAAATCTGGCATTCCAACCCTATCGGCACTGAATTGAATGAGAGCATCCTCTATTATATTTTTCACCGCCTGTTAGAATGTGGATTGCAGAATTAATACAAAAAATCTCAACTCCCACTTTCACAACGCATTACTCTTCTTGGAGGATGAGGTTTAAGAAAGTCATTTGAAATGGGAAGCTCATTAACATTGAAAAGTACATGATTTGTCTTTTTTTTCTTTTTAATAAAGGCATCCTCTATATAACTGCTTTATGGGAAATATGTTTATTTTAGAACTATAATGATCATAATAAGCAATGATTACTATTTTTTATTGCAGATGCAGCTCAAACATTCACATTAAAAAAAAATTAATTTATAAAACAATGTTTACCAATTCATCTATACCAGCTACAATGGTTGCATGAGATTCTGCATCAGATTTAACATTTTGGGTTTGCTCGATATTTGACAAGGCAACTTTCAAACTGTCCATAATTTGTGTGTAGAGGACATCAAGCTTTTGGTCCATCTCTGACCTTTCAATGAACTTTCCATTTGTCCATGCAAAGAGCCCAGTAAGATTATCATAATCTTCAGTTCCCATCTGCAAAAAAAATATAATAAGTTTATAAAAAAATTATACCTTAGGTTCCCAGTTAATTGAGAGCATAACCAAATACAAACATGTAATTATATTTCTGTTATTTTTCTAATTCTTATAAAACTATATCCTGAAATAATGACAAAACTGAGCTAATCTAAGTATTCATATGTCAATGCTATTGAGATTTAAAAAGAATAAAAGAATTTAAAAGAATTAATTAACTAAAGTTTTTGTCTCATTTTCATTCTGTGGAGCTCTCTCATTGAGTTTTGCGAAATGATTTATATGGATTTTCATTTTAAAAATAATATTCCATCTTCATTACATAACAACTAAAAGCAACCTTTAATTAAATGACAAAGTAGCTTTTAGTTTTGTTTTCAGATATTTAAAAAAATAAATAAAATACAGCACACCTTATGCTTTGGCTTGAGAACTTAAAAAAATTGTAACTGTGCATTCATATGACTATTAAGATATTATGAACTTCACAGTGCAAAATAAAAATAAAAAATTATTTAAAAAGATTAATCCAGTTTTCTACAAACCTGGGACAAAATGGTTTTTATCTGTGCTCTAATGTTATCAGCAGGTAAGGTGTTATTCCTGCAACAGTTTGTCAACATTGCTGTGAGTGCTGCATTCTGAGATGATAGACTGCTTATTTGCTGTGTTAAGTCTAGGATTTTCAGTTGCTGGGCCTCATAAGCTGTCTGCCACTCTAATGTATTCTTCTGGTTTGTGCTGTGATCAAAATATAAATGCTATTGTTATATTTTTAGGATGATCCAAACTTCAAAGCAATTGACTTTACTTTCATTATAACAAATTATGAGGTCATATATTTTAAACAGTAACATAAAGTATATGTCAATAAAAATATCTTTAATCAATTATATATTACTCTGAAAACTTAAATTTTCTGGCTTATCAAATATGTTTTAGTTACATTTACTCATTTATTGTATTGTCCATATTTGTTTTTTTTTACTGATTTTGAAATAATGAAAAAATTAGAAATTTACACCATTAATTGATGCTTTATAATCCAACAGGACACAATATTAAGGGAAGATTACCTTCCAATTGACTCTTTCAATTGTTCCATGTTTACAGAGATAGTCTGCAAGATTTGAAAGGAAATGTGCTTAGATATTAATATATTTTGAACTTCACAAGATATATTCTCAAACTAAAAAAAAATAAAGAGAATTTGATCCATATTTTTCAATTCTGAAACATATTAATTTGACTGTAGTAGCAAAATATTTCATTTCTTGATGTTCAGATGGATTCATAATCATCTTAGCATAAATTCCTAAAAAGATGTATAGTAATGTTTAAGATTTGTGGTGTCTAATTAATTTAATGTTTAACACTTGAATTGACCTTTAAGGCACTGTTTTCAAAAACACGGATGTGAACATTGAATATATGCTTCAATTTACTCTTTTTTTATTAATTTTTTGTGTGTAGCATCAATAGATTTAATTTTAAAAACCAGAAGACAAAGATAACTGACTTTGTGGGCTTGAACAGTAGCTTTTATTTCTTCAGTCATTCCCGTAATGACTCCTTCTAAAGATGATAGTGATGATCCATCCTTTGCAATCAGAACCTTGAAGAAATAGGATATTAAATTTCTGATGATCACTCATTTAATGAAAATCAACGAACAATACGAATCAAACAAAAAGAATGCTATTTCACACATAAAATTGAGATCTAAAAGGAACAAAAAATGTATATTAAAGATGGCGTTTAGAAAGATTTTTGTAATTAACCAACTCCTGCCTGACCTAATTTTGATGTAAACCCCCTTGAAAGTGCCTAGCCAAAATGATATAACTCCATTTGGATATATTCATTTTTTTTTAGTTAAAAGAAAGTACATATAAAAACTATATAATTTTTAAAAATAATTATGTATGTATGGCATCTTTCCGTCTGCGGGAGACGATAGATTATCTTTATTGCTTGCAGCTCTTGGTGTGGCTGGTGAGGCCAATCCTCGAATAGCAGTCTCTGTTACATTTCCCACACATAATTAGGTTTTTCTACAAATGTATAGTTAATTTCAGTTTGGGCTACCTAATATAACCCTTGAATTTTAATAATATCTGAAATAGAACATTGGTATATTTCTCCACATTCACTGTCAAAAGCATGATAACCATTGCCCACAGTGGGTACCACCTACTGATGAACAAGTACTAACATTTATGTCAGATTTATAGTCATCTTCAACCACTGGATCATCAATATTAAGGGGACCTTAAGAGAAGAATAACTTTAGACGGGAAAATAAGATAGACTTCAACAGAAGTTAGATGGGAAAATAAGCTAAAAATGAAAGACTTTCCTTTGAGTTATGTTTCCTTTTAAAGTGTAAACAGTTGAACTGCCGCTAGGATTTGTGTCCAGTTGCGAAAAGATAAAGTGAATGGTCAGCTTTGGTTGTTATGCAACATTACTTCAGGCAGGGTGTTCATCTCATGTTTATCTTGGTGGGTAGGCCCAGCCAACATATTTGTTGTATTCTTGTTGTATTCAATAAAGAAAATAATTGAATTGATGGTCTTGTCTCAACAGTGAGACAATTAGCAAGTGTGAGCACAAGGGTTCTTTGCAATATCAATTTCTGCATCAATAGTTAAATAATTTTATCCTCCAAGCCTGCTTATATACTTCTGAAGACCTTGGAAAGTCATGCTAAAATTTAACTCTTGTAATTTAGTATCAAAAGGAGATTAAAACATTGAATTTTGTCTTAACTAGAGTAGCAAACTTGAGCACTCATTGTTGTATTAGAGTTATGTTGCTAGGTGTCCTGAACAAACAATGCTGTAGCAGTACAATTTGTATTCAGACTGGTGTAGGACTTTGGGAGGCCAGTAGTAAGTTTTAAAAAAACAACCCAAAGAAAATTAAGAGAGTTTATCTGAAGCAATCTACACCCAGAGAAAGCAGACAAATTGAATACTTAGTACTAAGCCTAACTATTAAAATTTGAGAAAAATGTTTCAAAACTTTCCAAAATAACATGTGATAGTGAGTTTTTTTTTTTTATACTGACTTTCAATGCTTTAATTCTTTCCTCCAAGTTAGCTTTAAGTCCATCCAAATGTTTGGCCAGTAGGTCTCCAACAATGCTCTCCACTTGTTCGTGAGTTAGCCCTACAGGACCATCATCTCTGTGCAGTGCAGCAGCTTGGATAACTGTTTGCTGGATGTACTGATAGATGTGTGTCATGTTGATCTGTGGAGCTTCTGCTTGGGTTACAGGTGTAATGGATGGTGGTGGCACCTGTGACAACAACAAAGCAGTCATCTCGACTAAGTAATCAAAATAAGGCTGATACAAAAATCTAAACTAGATAATCTATATACAATACACTGGGCAGTACTAAATGTAATTAAGTTCATTAAGTTCATGAAAAAGGCTTAGCACGTTCAGAAGAAATATTTTATAACCCATAAAAAGACATAGAAAACTACATAACTTTGAGCATGCACTCTAGCAGAGGACAACTTTGAGATATAACGCTGCATATGAATCCAAAGCTTTTTCACACAAAATTATTTATATTTAACAAAAATAAATGAGCATTTCTAAAGTTTCAACAAATAATTTTCCAGCTAATATTGCTAACAAGTGCTAATTTTTGCTAGCGATTAACTTAATTTTTGTTGATCTGATAAATAAAAATAATGGTTATTTAGGGATCACACCCATATGAAGGAAGTCTCATTATTTATACCCTCAAACTTTGTGTAACCATCTGTCTTTAAAGCATTAACCTTTGTCAGAAATGTTTAAATAGAGAAATTTATTGAGAGTAAATATTAGAAAATGGTAAATTTATCTTAACAAAGGAAAATGAAAACGTAAAATGGGTTTTGTGTATGGGCCTGGACTAATTTTTATACTAACCTCAATGTAAGAAGTTTTAGTATCTGCACTTGTGGAAAACCACAGGTAAGACAAACTTGAGGATAAAACCTGTTTACCATTTGACAGGTAGGATCCTGCATTCTGATACACATCTCGTGTATAGTAACCTTAAAAGTAGGATTGATATATATGTAATGTAGATAAGTAATAACTCATTCTAATGCCCGTTTGTTCGTAAGCAGATCTCCCTTGTTTTGGAGGAGGCAAGCATAAAAAGTGAATAACCTGCCCATAAGATGACTCCATAAAATAACATGCCAGTGTAAGTAATATGCTACTAAAGAATATCTAGGATGAGATTATGCTAGTGCTAAAAACAACCAAATAGTGGTGCCATTTACTTACAATATCTTTGCTTCATTATGTGGTACACAATTGTTGAAATCAACTTGAGTTTTAAAATTTACTTTATTTTTAAGAACAAAATATATAAAATAAATAATTAAATTAAGTGGAGAAATTTATTAATATTTAAAGTTTCTGGTACATATTTGAATCTTGTAGAGTGGTCTTGTACAGTAGTCTAGGACTTCTCTGATCAACAATAAAAATTTCATTATTCAATTAACTTGGAGAAAATTATAAAAATCTACTTTGACACGCTCATAGGCTGACAACTCCACTTTTTCCCCAGATATATTTGTTACAGATCAGTTTTAGAACGAGTATAATGGTATAATTTTTTTAAAGTATTTTTTCGCTTCCATGTCTAATACTTGGCATACATAGCTTAATGTGTTTGGATTTTCAAAAGTATATTAATTTTTTCTTTGTCATAAAAATAATATTAAATAAGGCATATCAAATTACTAAATCATTCTTACAAAATTACATGCTAAAAACAAAAATCCTTTAAAATTAACTAAAAATTTGAACATTATAACTTACCACCAAGTAAGAATAGGGGCAAAAGAAACAGCAATGGTAGGAAAAAACAGCAGCAACCTCTCCTTCTCCTGTAAACATTGGAAACAAAGATATTTTGCAGAATTGAGCTAGAATTCACATATCTTTTTAACCCTCTCAGTACCATAGCATCAATACGGTACATTATTAAAAATCAGTCTTTGATCCAATCATAAAAAAACTGATTATTGTAGAGAAAAGATGCAATTTTAAATAAAATAAAATATTATTTATTAACTTGGTATTAATTGTAAAAAAAAAAATCAAATGTTGAAGAAAATTTGTGTTAAAAATAATACAGCTGCCATCTGTTTTTTGTAAATATATTTGTTCAGTTTGCTCCATTGTTTATGCGGGAACATCTTACAGCTCGTTACTGGATCAATAGTGTTTATATTCATTCTGTTGGCTGATGAATTCCAAGCATCACATTTATGTAAAAAATAATTTCATGTCATTCACTGTAGCATCAACCCACATTTTTGTTGACCTGGTAGAGACTACATACATGTTAATCTATATTGCCAACTCTAAAATAAGAATAAGGGATAAAAGAAAAAAGGAATCATAAGGTTCAGAAGTTTAATCTAGGCCCGTCTACATTAGGATCAGTAACACTAACAAATTCTTCAATGTTATGTATTTAGTCAGAAAAGTAAGATCTATCAACATCGTCCCCATGACTCAGCTTGTCAGTGTCCCGACGCAGAAGCGAGGTCACATCCTAGATTGGCTGGTTGTCAGAGAGGACCGGGCAGCTATGATCCAAAACCTCATTATTGAGGACAAACTTATTTCTGATCACTTCCCAGTCGCCCTCGACTTTGACTTGAGGAAGCCAGGACGCCTTCTGCGATCAGTAACATCCCGTGACCTCCGACAGATAGATCTAGCGGCCTTTAAATGTGACGTCGAAGCCCTTGAGTGCGGTGTAGATGACCCTGCTACAGACTACAACAGTGGCCTCAGAGTCATTTTAAACAAACATGCACCACTGTCCACATGGCGCGTTACGGACCGCCCTTCCGACCCAAGGCTCACGCCCGAAATTAAGGACGCTAAGCAGAAGCAGCGACGTGTAGAACGCCAATGGCGGAAGTCGGGCTTGACTGTGCACCGACAAATCTTTGTTGACCACAGGGAACGAACCAAGAGGTTGGTCCTTGCAGCTAGGACTGAGTATGTTAGTCATCAGATTACAGGCAGCAGCTCAAGCAAGGACTTATTTCGCATTGTGGGTCAGCTGACCGGTAAAAACAAGGCTACATCTCTGCCAAATAACATTGCTGTAGAAGAGCTGCCAGACGCTCTAAATGACTACTTTATTACAAAAGTTAAGAGGATCAGAGCGAAACTTGACAGTTGCATCGATACTGCTCCAGAATTCTCACTCTTCAACGGCTCTTCTATGGGTGAATTTGTTGAGGTCAGTGAATCGAATGTGAGGAAAATCCTCGCTGATACCCCAAGAAAGTCATGTTCGCTTGACCCTCTTCCAGCAGGGCTCTTGTATGAATGTTTGGATGAAATAGTCCCCATCATCACTTATATAAATCAGTCCTTAGCAACTGGCATTGTTCCATCATCTTTTAAAGAGGCGATCGTCACTCCACTATTAAAGAAATCAAATCTTGACCCAAATGTAATGGAAAATTATCGCCCCATCTCAAATCTACCATTTATTTCTAAAATCTTAGAAAAAATCGTTCTCCGCCAACTCCTGGATCACCTCACTCAGTTTGACTTGTTTGAACCATTCCAGTCAGCATACAGGGCGCATCACTCTACTGAGACAGCCCTGTTGCGCGTCGTAAACGACCTTCTGTCGTCTTGTGATGAGGGCCAGGTATCAATTTTGTCTTTACTCGATTTATCGGCAGCTTTCGATACGCTCGACCACGGCATACTGCTCCAGTGTCTGCAACAAACGTTCTGTCTCACTGATACCTTCCTGTGTTGGTTCCGATCATATCTGACTAATCGGGTCCAGTCAGTTATTTCAAAAGGCTTGACCTCGAAGAAATCTAATATTGAATTCGGAGTACCCCAGGGCTCGGTCCTAGGCCCGGTGCTTTTCACGATGTACATTCAGCCCCTGGGTGCAGAGATCAGGCAGTTTGACATGTTGTATCACATGTACGCGGACGATACACAACTTCATCAATCCGTGATCCCTTCTCAGTTCCCTCAGCTGCTCAGTATGACACAGAAGACAATGGAGTCGGTTAAGCACTGGATGACCATAAACAAGCTCAAATTAAATGATGATAAGACTGAGCTGCTCCCCATTGCGACCGCTCAGAAGCAAAAATCTGCAAATAACACGACATCCATTACTCTCTCAGGTGTGCGTATTGAGTTAGCTCAAACAGTGCGGTACCTGGGTGTCTACCTAGATAGAAGACTAACTTTTGAAAGTCATATTAACATGCTATGCAAGGCGATTTTTCTGGAGCTGTGCAGGATTAGTCACATCAGGCCCTTCCTAACAATTGATGCAACAAAGAGGCTGATGTCTGCATTTGTGCTATCACGCATGGACTATTGCAATGCTCTCATGGTGGGTCTTCCGACTACGCTCCTGGATAAAATTCAAATAGCACAGAATAATGCGGCTCGCATTGTTCTCAGCAAACGCAAGTTCGACCATGCAAAAACACTTCTGAGAGAGTTGCACTGGCTGCCGGTGCGTGCTCGCATAGAGTACAAAATCGCAACTTTGTGCTACCGCTGCTTACATGACCTGGCGCCGTCCTATCTGAAAGAGCTGCTGACGCCTTATGTACCCACTAGAGAGCTCCGCTCATCCGATAGTGGCAAACTCTCGACACCACGTGTTTGCCTTGAGACTTACGGAAAGCGCACTTTCGCATTTGTTGGTCCAACAATTTGGAACGCCCTTCCTGTCGATCTCAGAAACAACCAGACACTGGAGTCCTTTAAAACCGATTTAAAGACACATCTATTTCGCAAACACCTTCTGAGATGATTGTCTACCTTATTTTCCAGTTAATGCATAATGGCTGTGTTGCTTAGGGTTGAAATGGCTAGAAAGAATTTGACATTGTATGCTTGTAATTAGTTTTTGTAGTGTTGCGTTTGTTTTAAATGTGGTAAATTATAGATTTATTTTTTGTTGACTTTGTACCGCGCTTCGAGCCTTTGGGGATGAAGCGTGTTTTTGAAATGAACTTTATTATTATCTTCATCTTCTGGGTCATCTGGGACATCAAGATGCTGAAATAATTCAATATCAACATTACTTTCATTTCCATTATCTATTTTGCATCTATTTCTACATCAAATTCAAGATTATTGACACAAAAAGCCGACACATATGCAGCTTAAAGCGATACTAGAAAAGCAGACATCTTTTTCTTAACGTAGATTTACTGTGGACAAACCATTATTTAACAAAAATCAAAATTAGCGGAAAAGCAAATGCACAACCACAAAATCCATACACAAAAAAAAGCAGCTTAACACTTCCTGTTTTATAATTAGCTCATTGGAACTCATTAATAAGAAGTAAATTTCATTAAGCAAAGGTGAAAATAACATGTTTTTTACAGCAGGATTAGGCCGTAACGTGAATGAGAGGCTTACAAGGGGAAAGGCATGAAATGAGTTTAAAATTTTTTTTTGAAATGAAGTTATTAAATCTATTTTTAATAGACTAATTAATACTCCAGAACATACTCATAAATTAATGTCTTTGAATCTCTTTAGGGTAGGTCTTTGGTGTCCAATCTTTGTCTTTTCTGTTAGATTTCCAACCTTTCCAAACGAATTTGTCTGTAACAATACTGCTAAACTTAGGGCTAAAATTTTCAATATCCGAATCTTATCTCACCATTACCACTAATAGAGCTAATACTGTCATTACTAGCATGTGGAATATCTCTGACATCATCACTTTCATTTTAATCCATTTGAAATAATTCCAATAAAGAAATTCTGTGTTGATTTTTACATTCTAGAAGTGGACCCTCTCGAGCATTGGACATTATGGTTGTCAAATTTTTAAAACCAATTTCACACCAGATCACAAGAAAAATCCCTGATAATAGCACATTAACACACAGACAGAAACGTACATAGGAAGTAATCTCATTTAAATAGAGTGATTCCCCTTAACCGATATACATTAAATTATTTGCATTTTTAATGACGATTTAGCTAGTGGCGGATTATATCAGTACTGACACCACAGAAAGATGTTTAAAGGCCGATCATCGGCAATTATGACAGTTATAGGGTAAAAATATTTGGGATGGTTCCATAATGTCAAGTGAAATGTTCATGGCTGAATTTTAAATAATTATAATTAATTTCAAAACCACAGACCTTTGTTTGACTTCGATGTCCCATAGTAGAATTGTTGCAGACTTGGTGACCAGCCAAGTGGCAACGGAGGCAATCCAATGCATGAACCATCTGGCTGATAAGGATGCTGAATTTAACAGGACAGCCGAGGCTGACTGGACACCAGAGACAAGGCCAGCATCTAAAAAAAAAACATATGCTTACACATTCATATCAGATCGACAACTGGGACCATAATAATTAAAGTAGCATTTTTTAAACACATTTTTGGATGAAGGAGTGGTAACTATATATTTAAACAATGTGTCTTTCGATATTAAAAGGGAAAATTTCTTGAGCAACAGCTTGCCATGTGAAATTTATCATTTAAAGTATATTCACTTGTACTATTTCTGTGCTTCATTGAAAAATTCAACCTCAACACAATTTAAACAAGATTACCAACAGGTAAAACACCCTGTTGTTATTTCAAGATTTAATATATAAAATAATTTTAATACTGTGCAAAACCTCCAAGAACCGCAAGTGCACAAACCTGAAGATGATGTTGACACAGCTGTTTTAACAGATGTTAAACAGGTAGCGATCCACAAATAGAATGAATATCCCCATCCTTGGCCGAGGGTCGATTGTCTGTTGATATGAGATTGGATTTGGCTGTCAGTGTCAAATGACCTCTGTTTATTCATGGAATCATTCTGTGATCTTCTGGTGTTTTTCGAGGTTTTGATTCTCTGCTGATCATGTGTAGCTTGAGTACTAGTTTTTTGATAGTCTGTCCAATCAAGACCATCTTCATCTGAGAAATATAAAATACAGAGTAGGAGAAAAAAGAACAAACATAAAATTAACATCTGAGAAATATAAAATACTGAGTAGGGTACAAGAGAACAAGCATAAAATTAATATTTGAGAAATATTACATACATAGCAGGAGACAGGAGAACAATGTGAAAATTAATTTTTTAGACATAAAAATGATCAATTAATCAAATTATTTGGTGCAATTGAAATTCCAAATTATATATTGCGTATTTTGGGGTAGAATCAGTTTGTGTTTATGAGTTACAGTTTGTTTTATGATATGAGTGCCTGGGAAGGTATTTGATGATACACACATCAGCAAGCTATTAAATTTAACGAGTGGACTCCCACTCTAAATAAAAATTATTTCTTTAGAAATGGAGAGTGTCAAAATCATGAGGAAGCTGACAAACATAGACACTAAACTCTATTGATTTATATTAGTCATATATGGCTTTGATCTTAGGATTATTTCCTTTTTTTTCACTACTGAAGTGAACTGGCTTGAGCCAGATCACCAAATTGGATTGGTATGTTGCCTTGTCTTAAGACAACAGCTTTCCCCTGGAGTATCTGGTTATCTATTCACAACCTTACTGAAATTACTTGATAATAATTCATAATTCCTTCTGGATCATAGCCACAGTCTACATTAAACAGATCACTATTGAAAGTCCTCCATAATATATATTATTTTATTATATAATTTTACCTGAGATTTCTTCATCATAATCCAAGCCTGGAAATAAAGTAAATAGAATCATTACAGTATAATCCATTAATTTACTTAAATGGGTTTTATTTTGATTTGGTAATAAGGTTAATACTGATGAAAGAATAATTTTCTATAGCGAGTCAAAAATAATATTAAACGAGAAAAAAATAGTAATATAGAAAACAGGATAATGCAGCCCTTTGATAAAACATAAAAGTATTTACACATAAAGCTACTGGACTGAGTAGGTAAAATTGTTAGGGCTCTTCTTTATGCTCTAACCTAACATGTCAATAAACATACTAACCATAGAGGTGTTGCAGTTTGTACTGACTCTTGGCCTGTCTGCTGCTTCTGAGAAAATCTCCTTTATCAATCTCAGTTCTGTTAAAATGAGATGTTACTTTCTCTGTCTGTGATTTGTCACTTTGATCATGCCCTTTTTCTTCTTTCCACATGGCTGTGCTATGCCCCAACTTCTCAGTGTGAAAATGGTTCAATGGATTGTCATGTTTCTCTGTCTGTTTTTGATCAAGTCTAAGCTTTTTCTCACTGGCCTCTTCAGATGCAAGAGCTTTTTGATTTTCTTCATATGTGGTGGTAGTTGTGGTTGTAATAGTGGTCACCAAGTTACGGGCGTTCATACGCTGGGATCTTGTATCAACATCCAAGCTGGTAAGACCAGATGCATATAATCCTGGATGGCTTGGGCTGTCAAAAGAATGTCTTTGATTTCTGTTTCTTCGAGTTACTGCTGTGTTCAAATGATCTTTGGAGTCTTTGGTTTTATCCCTTTCCTTCATGACATGAGCCTCTTTTTCATTTAAGTAACTTTGGACACCTTTGATGTGACTCCCAGATCTAAGCAACATTCCACTGTAGTAGTGATCATGGGCTGAAATTAAAGCGAAAATTTGTGAACGGACCATAGAAATATTATTTCCATTAAGTCAAAGCTCAATTACAATTGCGAGTCAGGTGGTTGAATAAGAAGGAATAAATATGATAAAGAAACTAAGTTTGCACTAAGTGACAGTCTAACCAACAAAACAAAAAAAACAATGATACAAGGCTTGAAGATATCCAAGCTTGAATTTATTTCCTGTGATATTGTTAAGTCATAACCATTGATAACTCATTGTAAAGTTACTTTAAAATTATCAGTGATCATGTGATCTTATTTTTTTAGGACAATAAATTGAAATGAATAAATTTAGTTTAAAAACCATACTGGCCGAAAATGGCTAGAGAAGTATGGTTTGAATTCATGCATACTTAAAATGAAGCTCAGTGTAAAAAATAATATTAGGAACTAGTAGAAAAAAAAAGTTTATGAAATCAGATACACTTATCAAAAATTGATGAAACCAGGTTTCAGTAAAAGGTTGAAATTTTTATTATTGGGAAAGTTAAGAATGTCAATGATGTGCATCCATATTTAACTTGACCTTACAGCATCCCATACTCATTCATATTCTATGTGTTAAAGCCAGGTGTTGACATTGAGACACCATACCCACCTGATATCTGGTTCACGTGTGGTGTTCTTGGGGTGGATGTCACAATAGTTCGTCTTCTCCCTCTGGTACTTTTACTTTTTGTTGAGCCAGATTCAGATGGTTCTCGCTCAGGCTGAGGAGAGAAAATTATGCAAATTATACAAAAAATGAACCACCTTATTTTGGAAAGTTCACATTTATTAAAACTTTCTATAAATTGTATTCATAATTCATATAAAAATATCTCCCCTCACTCTAAATTGATTCAGACAGATTTTTGACCAGCATTTCTTCTTTGTAAACTTAGCTGCTACAGAATAGAGTCTTATTTCAAATCATTAATTAGACACTGCTATTGAGATATCCAACATAAATTATTTGATAACTAGTTAAAACTTCCTTGTGATGCTGCTATGCTGCAAGCCTTTTTCTGAATATCCACCTTAATTATACTTTACATGCCTAAGATCAAAGTTAGTCAGCTTATACAAATTACTATTGATGCTAATAACATTTCTATATGTGTGAATGACAAGGAATGTTACCTTACTTAACTAGATAAACTAGTCTCGATAAGTTCAGAATGTTCAAATTAATTTTATATTATACTGTACACATATTCAACAATTTAAAACTTAAAAAATATATACTTTACAGACAGCATTTTCTTGATCTCTCCAAATCAGAGGTTTTCTGCATGGGTTAGTCTTCAATTTAACCAGCTATAAAATGCAGAGAAAATCTTTTTCTCGTCTTCAACAGTGTCTGTTTGATATTTAAATGTAAAGTTACTCACTTCTTCATTCATCTTGTATACTTTGGAATCTGGAACAATGTTTAGACCAGGCGTCTCCTCTGTGAAGTCATCTTCATCATCACTCAAAAACACAGGTTGAGATCCATGAATTCTTCGTCGAGACATGTTGGGACTAATGTACTTAGTATCCCTTGAGTACTTTGGGCTGTACGAAGCTCTGGAACAAGGAAAAGCTGCACATTTATCTAAGAGCATGGAAACTCTCTTATCTTTTATTGTGGCAGGCCAGATTTTTATACGACCTATATAAATATTCAAGTAATTTTAATGTCATTTTTTTGTTCATGAAAAAAATTACCAACTTAAGATAGTAAGGTTTTTGACTTACGTTCTTACATAAGTATAGTCAGTTTTGGGTAGGCTGAAATAAAAATACATAAATTAAAACATAATTTTGCACAATAAAAATTAGTAATTTCAGAGTTGTGGCTTCTGCATTGTAGGCAGTTTATTTACAGGTGGTTGGTGAGCGTAAGGTCTGGTAAAGTATTCATGTATTACAGTTTGTAAACTGTAGCTGACAGGTTACTGTGAACCAATAAATATTTTAAAAATAACTTTACATTTTTTTGTCTTTTAAATATTAAATTTAAAAAAAAACATAATAAAACTCACACGTCATCTATTTCATCACAAACAATCTCCTCAATGCTAAGATTGGTTCTCCTATTGGAGGAGAAGGAAGCATGAAGGTTATGACTGAAATCTCTTTTATCTTTTGATGTGAAACTCACTGATCCAGGAGAACTGCAAACAAAAAATATAACTTCAATTTTGATTGACAAGACTGATAAATGGTGACACAAATTTCTCACAAACACAATGAGTTTTCCTTACACATGACTGTTAATTAAATTTTTATATGGTTCTCAGTAAGGATTATACTTTTATGATTTTTTTAGCAGGCCTTTATTCAAATGTCTAATCTTCCTTTTTCTTTGATTGGTTAACATTTTAAGTATGTTTTGAAAACAGAAATGTAGTATGAAAAATAACAATATGTACTTTACAACAGATCTGATGAAAAGTCTTGAGTTCAATTTACCAATAACCATTAAACACTGTACAAAAATTAATTAAAGGTTCCCATTCTCAATTGACTCCACTATTGTAACATTTGGCTTTTAAAAAAATTATAGAGGTATAAATATTGCAACTTTTGTTCCTAATTTTTTGAAAACCACAGGAAGTTATGAAGGAGAGCTCATCTTAACCTTAATATGGTTGTATACTCCTTTACAAAAAAAATAATAATTAAGAAATGAAACAATAATGAATTCAAGAGCCCAAATTTGTTTAAATTCTTCATAGCTGGCCTCAAAAGCTGCTGAAAGTTTTAAAAAACTATGACTTGTCATGAAAAGAGGCAAAGACTTACTTCCATGGCTACAGCAAGATAAAAAGTGAGTGTCAAAATTGTATGAAAACAAATCTCAACAAACACAGTGGCTCCAGTTAGTGAAGTTCAAATTATTAATATAAAATTAGTGTATAGATTAAACTTAAACTTAGAACAATAGTTTATTTTTTTTAAAAGCATATTTTATATATTTTTTATTAGGAAAAAAATTAAAACATTAGGTGAGTATAAAAGTTCATCAGAGTATGTGAGCTTTAGATAGAGAGCTTTTGAAGCAAAATCAAGTTAAGTTCATTTTCTCTACATCAATCTCAGTAGATAGACATTTGCAGACAACCTTTATAATATTAAATAAGTGGCACCATTCAATAAATTTACGTAACTATTTCAGTAGTGTAAATTATATTGATATAATCTGATCAATTATCATGCAAGATAGAAACAGCCTAAGCAAAGAAGCCCTGTTATTAGTCTTAATACTTAATATTACTAAGCCTTTTTTTTTTTTTTTTTTTTTTTTTTTTTTGAAAAATAGAAAATTTTTTTTTTTTTTTTTTTTTAGTTATTATGAGAAATAGTAAATCTTTTTCAGTATGTGCTTCCAAAATAAATGTAAATATTTTCTAAGCAAGTTAATTGCACCTGTTAAGATGAATGTTATCTCATGAGTGAAGCATAAAATTATTTAGTTACCATTCAAAATAAAGTGGACAATATACATTGCTTGGTGTAGCATAGAAGCGGTGGAATTCTATTCAAAGTTCATTAGAAGCAACTTTAATTAAACATTCAAAAATCCAATAACAGAACTAAAGCTGGCTGCAATATTTCAGTTGATGTGATGGCAATGCACTTGGAAACATATCAATTTCCAAAACATTTCAAGATGTAAAGTTTATTATTTATTTACATGTTGATCTATGAGAAATAATGTGTTATTCAAATTCTTTGAAATATTATAGGAAAGATATTTTGCTGCAAGAACATGATATTAAATTTGAATATCACTGTGAATTATATCTGCATATTATGATTACTGATATTACTGACATGCAGATTAACAGTATATAAATTAATGTAATGAGAACTTTAAAGTTGTAGTAAAAATAATAACAAGCCAAACTATAAGTGTGAAAACTTACTTGATCATGAAAATTAGGCTAAGCTGCAAAGAAAAGTTTCTTATTTATACTAATGATTAAGTACTTAAGTGCTAAGGTTTATGGTAAGGAATTTAGTTAAATTTGAACATACTAGACATTCAAAATGGCAGTTTATCAAAATGAGTAGAATATCTTGGTATTAATAAAATCATACAAATCTTTAAATACATACAATTTTATAAACCTGACTAAAAGTAAATAGTTTACAATGAGGAATTTTGATTGAGGAATACTGATTTCTTCTTTTATTTGAAATAATGGGTATGTCAAAAAGATGCAACAAACCTCAAGTTATCAATAATAATCTTTTTAGCTACATAGCATTTTGCACTGCCAGAGAAATCACATCAGCCTATTGCATTAATAAACATGCTTGGAAGTAATCAGGCTTACATAGAAATGGATAGAGTTATTTGCAGAGGTGAAGTGGAATCCTGGCTTACAATAAATGTTAAAAAGTGTACATACTGAACTGGTGCTTTGTTAAAGCTATATATATTGTATGTATAAATGAACATGTTTTAATATATGATCTAATCTATTTAATTTGTAAATATCCATCCATCCCCCCCCCCCATCTATCCATTATCAATTATAATGTATTTAAAATTAGAGACCGACCGAAAGTGATTTTCTGATTTCGGCCGAAGCCGAAAATAGGCCGAAAGTTTAAAATGACTTTCGGCCGAAACCGAAAAAATACCGAAAGTTTAAAAATGACTTTCGGCCGAAACCGAAAAAAGGCCGAAAGTTAAAAATGAATTTCGGCCGAAACCGAAGCCGAAAATGAAATGTTAAGATATTTTGAAATTCGTTGCCGCATACATTCTGCATATATAGAAAATGATGGGGAAAGTATAAATATTTACATTCTTTTTATAAAAAATGAGATAATCGTGAATATTAATAAATAAACATCTATTATAAGGGTCTCAAACTCGCGGCCCGCGAGCCATTTATGACCCCCAAGACGATATGTTGCGGCACGCTACATGACAGAAAAGTTTAGTGTAAATGCGCCGGCCCGTTTCCCCCATTCTCATATCTATAACGTGACTCTCCGCGACAGTTTCAGTCGAATCTCACCGACTAGTCTAATTCTGATTATTTTTTAAAACGTTTCTATATATTTTTGTATTCAACAGTGAATAGGTGGATGAAAGTGAATCCTAGTTCTTGAGAACCCTTAATGATTTTATTGTTATTTATAAAAGTTGAGCAGATTGTAACAGTTGTAATCGCTTTTTTGTGGATTACTTGATGCGACCCACTCTCATTCAGACACTACCTCCCCCCCCCCCCCCCTGGTATTTGAGTTTGAGACCCTTGATCTACTAAATATTTTGGATTTTACTTTTTTAAAATTAAAGTAATTTAAATTGCTTTCAAATTTTTTAAAAATTGTTAGGGGGGGGAAAAATTGGGAAAAATTGGGGGGGTGGGGGNAAGATCGCTTAGTTTGTTCTAAAATATCGCTAAGTTTAATCTTAAAGATCGCTTAATTTGTTCTTAAAGATCGCTTAGTTTGTTATTAAAGATCGCTTAGTTTGTTGTTAAAGATCGTTTAGTTTGTTCTTAAAGATCGTTTAGTTTGTTGTCAAAGATCGTTTAGTTTGTTGTTAAAGATCGTTTAGTTTGTTCTTAAAGATCGTTTAGTTTGTTCTTAAAGATCGCTTAGTTTGTTGTTAAAGATCACCCAGTTTGTTAATGATCGCTTTATTTGTTCTTAAAGATCGTTTAGTTTGTTCATAAAGATCGCTTAGTTTGTTGTTAAAGATCGCTTAGTTTGTTGTTAAAGATAATTGATTTTGTTCCTTAAGATCGTTTAGTTTGTTCCTAAAGAACATTTAGTTTTCTGGTAAAGATCGCTTATTTTATTCTTATAAATCAATTAGTTTAATATTAAAGATCATTTGTTTTGTTCTTAAAGATCATTTAGTTCGGTCTTAAAAATCGTTTAGTTTGTTCTTTAAAAACGTTTAGTTTGTTTTTAAAGATCGCTTAGATAGTTCTTAAAGATCGCTTAGTTTGTTTTAAAGATCGTTTAGTGTGTTCTCAAAGATAGCTTAATTTGTTCTTAAATGTCGCTTAGTTTGTTGTTAAATATCGCTTTCGCTGAGTATTAATTGACCGAAAACTTGAGTCACTTTCGGCCGGATGGCCGAAAGTCTAAGTCAATTTCGGCCGAAACCGAAGAAAAACCGAAAGTTAACTTTTCTCTTTCAGCCGAAACCGAAATTAAGCCGAAATTTAACTTTTAAGTTTCGTCCGAAATCGAAACTTGGCCGAAAGTGATAAAACGGCCACTTTCGGCGCCGAAACCGAAGCCGAAATTCGGTCGGCCTCTATTTAAAATATACTTTCAAATAAATGCAAACCCAGATTTCATACCAAGAGGACTCAATATTTAGAGATGGAAATTGATGCAAATATATGCATGCTTATATGTTGTGTTTGAATATTTAATCAGATGAGGTATTTCTAACACATACTTTAAGTTTAAAAAATGTGAATAATATCTGTTAATTTATAATAAAAAAGGGCTTCAAGTAAGAGAATTTTTATTTATTGTAGCACTTGTAGCAAGATTATATATATATATATATATATATATANCCACAGGGGGCAGGGGATCGATAGAAAATCTATTTTGGGAGGGACAGGATCCAAATGGGGGATTTTCTGGCGTTAGCTCGCCTTTCAACAGGGTTTATTACCAAACACCGTATGTCGCACTATCTCTCTCTGTCTAAGACACAATCATTCTTTGTCTCTCTCTGTCGGTCTGTCTGTCTCTCTCTCTCTCTCTGTCTCTCTACCTCTCTTTCTCTTTCGTTCTCTACACCTCTCTTTCTCTTTCTTTCACCCTCTTTCTCTCTCTCATTCTCTCTCTAAACCTCTTTCTCTCTCTCTCTATTACTCTCTCTCTCTCTATTTCTCTCTCTCTTTCTCTATATCCCCCTGTCTCTCTCTCTTTACATATATATATATATATATATATATATATATATATATATATTTATATTTATTTTTTTTTGGGTGTGTGTGAGTTAAATAAAACTAGGCATTATTTATCAAGTTAATCCTATTGAAACAGAATCTGTTCATTTGGAAAAAAAAAGCTATAATTTGCAACTTATTATATATTTTTACACAGTATGCCGATGTAGGCATTATAATTACAGACTTCTTTTTTCATACTCAAGAAAAAAAACACTTTAGCCATATATTAATTTGTTTCAAAATGTTATGTCTAGATAGAAAAAAATTTAACCAACCAATTGTGAAAGTGCCTATAGCACACTGTACATAACATATTAATGTATAACTATGCTCCAAACTTTTCAGTGTTAATGTCAATCCCAGAAATTAAATTTATATTTCATATGTAATTCATATATAATATAAAATTCAATGATATTAGTAACTATTGTATTTTTTTTTACTTGCTTGGCATTGAATTTCGATGTACTTTTAGTTCCTTGTTAAATGAAAGAAACGAATTAATAACAGAAATAAAAGAAAGAATATCAGCCGGAAACAGGGCATACTTCAGTAGTCAGAAAATACTCAAAAGTAAAAACATTACAAGAGAAAAAAGAAAACTATTTATAAAACTGTAATCAGACCAGTTGTAACATACGCAAGTGAAACCTGGACCCTAACAAAAACAGCAGAAAACCTATTAAACACATGGGAGAGGAAAGTTCTCAGGAAAATATATGAGCCAAAGAAGGATGAATATGGATGGAGAATACGAACCAACCCTGAATTTTACAGTCTATATCAGGATCCCACGATAGTAGCAGAAATAAAAAGAGGCAGGCTACGCTGGGCAGGATACCTAGAGAGAATGCCAAATGACAGAGGAACGAAGAGGGTGCATCACCAATACCCCAGAGGAAACAGGCTCAAAGGCAGACCTAGGCTTAGGTGGATAGATGATGTGGAAAATGATCTACAGCAGTTGAAAGTCCAAGCATGGAAAAGAAAGCCATTAGTTAGGTCTGAGTGGAAGGAAGTGGTGAGGCAGGCCAAAGCCCTACATGGGCTGTAGCGCCACAGGGATGGATGGATAATTAGGCATGAAATAGCTTTCAAATATAAAATTAGCTAATAAATGATAATTGCAGATAAAAGAAAAATTTAAAAGTGGACCAATAAGAACCTGTGTTTTATTGAAAATGTATGGTTTAGAGCAGCGGTTCTCAACCTTCCTAATGCCGCGACCCTTTAATACAACTCTTTGTGTTGTGGCAACCCCCAATCACAAAATTATTTTCGTTGCTACTTCATAACCTTAGAGTAAATGTGTTTTCCGTTAGTCACCCCCGTGAAAGGTTCATTTGACCCCCAAAGGGGTCGCGGCCCACAGATTGAGAACCACTGGTTTAGAGGATCAAAGAGTTCCTTCAAGGCTTATTTTAGTGGGCCATACCATTAAAAAATACATAGGCGAATCTTTCAATCAATATCAAATATTTCTACGTATCATTGTAATTATATTATAAAAGAAAAGGGCACCCAAGGGTCTATTTTGCATGAATTTGCCCCCCACTCAAAATTTTCTCTTACCCTACTAAATAAAAAATTTTTAACGGCTTTAAATTACCGTACATTTTAATTCAAATGGTAAAAGCCAAAGTATTCAATAGATGTTTATCAATTAAAATTTACGATAATCTCATTTTTGATAAAAATAATATAAATATTGATCCTTCCCCATAATTTTTCAACATAGGCAGAATGTATGCACTAACGAGTTTCAAAATATTTAATAAATCTAAATTTTTTGGTTTCAGCCTAAAGTCTCATTAAGCTTTTGGTTTCGGTTTCTGCCTAAAGTCATTTTTAACTTTTGGTTTCAGTCGAAATAAGAAAATCACATTCGGTCGGTCTCTAGATATTATTTTACTGTTTCTAAAATTATTTATAGCAGGAGTATTTTTAAAATATGCATCTTTTTTTATTCCACATATCTAAAATTGTCAAAGGTGATAGCAAGTGTTTATAAATAGCACATATTTGCCTGAGTACAATTAGGATTAACTCATAAAATGCATTCAAGATTATATTAAATTCCTCTGAATTAACATCTTGGTAAAATGTTCTATCATCACAAAGCAGTTTTACAGATTGATTAGTCCAAAATTAGCTTGAAGTAATTATCAGCAAATTGATTACAGAATATCTGCAGATTAATCGGTGTAAGCCTAATTTACATCGTAGACAACAAGGTAAATTATCAATATGAATAAAAGCTATATGTAAACCATAAAGTAAATAAAGCTTAAGTTCAGGTTTATGGTAACATTTAAGTTGACAAATATTCTATACATTGGCATAAAAATTATACTTTTATTCAGTGCTTTTTTTTGTAAAAAAATAGGTGCCAGTACTCAGTGATGGATTGCCTAACTTTTAACTACCAGTTCGCACCTCAATGCAAGCTAAATCACAACTGCAAAGATACTAAATGTCTAAAACAATTTTATTTTATAATTAACCAAATTAAATTGTTTTATTATTACTTTATTAGTATACCGTATTATTTGTTATGATTTGTAAAATTTAACTAACAACTTATTCAAGTTATTCTTGATTTACTTTTAAAAAATTGTGTTAAGTTCTCTTGTGTTTTATAGGAAAGAACCCTGTTAAAAATGAAAATGAAATATAAATGTTGAATAAATTATTCATCATAAATTCCAAATGACGTAACATTACGAGTGTGTGCGGAAAGCAGTTTCGCATTTTATATTTTAATTCTTATTGTGAGCAATTTTAAAATAATTCAAGTTTAACAAATTAATAATATTATAAATTAATAATAAATGTTAAAATACAAGAAAAGTAATAATTTTTTCCCCACATTGAAAAAGGTGCCGGTATGCCGTACCGGTGCGTACGGCACAAAAAAAGCACTACTTTTATTTAAACCTTTAATAGAATAAAATAAATTACATCTAATGTAAAAAAAAATATTAACATAAAGCTGTCCAATCTTTTAAAGATTGTCAATTTTTGCAATTCATAGAATTTAAACGAGTACGATACAAAAAAACCAAGGATTGCAAGTAACTTGGTATGTGAGTATTAGTATTTTGCAAGACACACACATTGTGTGTGCCAAGTACTGTGTGTGCCTAGTGACAGTGTCAAATAAAAATAACTGAGCCAAGGGGTACAGTGTCAAATAAAAATAACTGAGCCAAGGGGTAAGTATTCTATCACAGTTAATAGTATTGTAATATTGTTTGGATGGGAGTATCATATTTACCTTGACCATAGTTATAGTGTTGTGACCATGGCATGTGTTTCCAGGTATAGTGAAAATGATTGTTTTTAGCAGATCTGTTTACTCTTACGATTTTGGCGTACAATGTACGATTTTAAGGTGTGTACATGTTTTATACCGCATGTTTATTTTTTTTACAATTAAGATTTTTGAAACAATTTTGTGATGATATTGTACGATTTGAAGAGTTTGAGGGTAAACAGGTCTGTTTTATTACTAACTACACTGCAACAAAAATAATCACGCAAATGACGTCATGGCATCCTTTCTTTCATACTTTCAATCTTTGCATTAACCAAATTTTCTTTTCCGAGGGGTGAAGGAATCATTATTTGCAAAAAGTGCGATAAACTATACATAGGAGAGACAGGTCGTCGCCTTGGGGACCGTTTCAGAGAGCACCTCTATAACATAAATAAACACGCTCTCTGTCCGGTCTCCAAACATTTCAATAGCCCTAACCATAATGGTATCTCAGATATTGTAGTTACTGGTATACTCTATACTAGTAATACTGCAGATAGAATCTATATGGAGAACAAATTAATAACTAGTTTTGGTACGTTGTCTCCATATGGATTGAACCAAATCCATAGTTTTACTTAGCTGCCATGTCTTTTTCCTGTTTGGTTTTTCCAATTATGTTAAAATCACTTCCTTTCTACTTCTCTTTTCTTTGTTTTTGTCTGGTTTTAGCACCCTTTCCTATATTTTTTCTGTTTTAGATAGGATATGTATATTGATATTATGTAAATTTAATTTATACTTATTTTAATGTGTTTTGTTTGTTTGTACTGATGAAGGCATGTGCCGAAACGTTTAATTGTGTATGATGTATAATTATTATTACGAAGTGGATGCGTACACCGCGGCGGTGTACCTAGCGAAACCATCGGCTTTGGCCTGCGTAAACCGCGGCGGTGTACCTAGTGAAATCATGGGCTTTGGCCTGGGTAGTTTAAAAAAAATTTACCATTGGTCTGGTTTTAAGATATACTTGTAGGAGAAGATCTTGTGTGGTCAAGTGGTAGAGTGGACGCTTGGCGATAATATAGTTTGAGATCAATTCTCAGTAGGGGATCGAGTTTTTTTCCTCCCATTTTAGTTTTAAAATATTTTGTAGCAATTGAAACAATTTAAATATATGTTTAAATATTATATTAAATACACATTATATATTTATTTATTTATATAAGTGTTTCAACAAGTTGTGCCGGCCTTTGACTTTGAAAATACCGGTAACTTTAGTAATAAGACTTTAGACATTTGAAAACAAACTTAAAGTTTCTGAAAGCGCATGTAATACATGATGATCATGTATAACAGAAACATTATGAATACTAAGTGACTGATATTCTATTGTATTTCAACATTCTTCGTATAGTTGAATATTTACATTTTACTTTTACGAACAACCAAAGAAAATACCAGTATGAATAATATTCATGCATATGAATATTAATGTGCATGGTCGTATTTCAACCTTGAACCATCTTGCTTTCACTATGCCTTATGCATTGGCAAAATGTACATACGATATCAAAGGTTCATTCACAACACTCAGTCTCACAGCAAATCTTTTGAAAACACCTCGATTTTAGAAACTTGCGGAGTGGTAGCAAACTGTATAGCAAAGCCATAGGTCTGCGTTTACCCTTTTCATGACGTAATTTGTTTCCAGAATGGCATGGCATGTGCTATTCTCAGGGTAAAACACGACGTTTTCTCACAGAAACCATTGCACAATGCGCCTGGGACAGGATTTGCACTATGTCAAAGTTTTTGTATTTGTTGTTTTTTTTTTTTTTTAAGAAATCGATCCTTGCCGGGGAGTGGGGGGTGGTGGTGAGTTATGGGCAGAGGCTTAACCAAAAAGAGGGCATTCACAAATCACGGCTCAGGATAGGGGTTGTCCACAAAGGACGTCCGCACAACCAACTTACCTTTTGCATCCCCCCTCCCTCTGCCTGCATTTTTTTTACTAATGTGTAATGCCAATGTAAAACTAAATCAATGATTTTTAATTATTGTTAAAAGACTTTCAAATAACTGCAGTGTTTCGTATTGATCATCTTACTGCTGTTTTGTGTTGACACATGCTTGGTGTCACAATGACAATGCCTCGGACTACTTTAACTTCACGACTTCATGATCAATGTATGAGTATGTGATTCTCTTCCCGTATTGTATTTGTGGCGTAATTATATCATGGTGCTAACAAAATAGATACACTGTCTTCCCATTCATTTTTACACCATGCCCCGAGGGATCACATACAATGTTATATTTATAAGGCACCCCCCCAAAAAAAAAAAAAAAAAACAAACCCAAAACAAAACAACTAACAACTGGGTGGGGGTGGGCATGAGAGAATAATTTCAAATTAAGATTCACAATCATATGATAAAACTTACAATTAATAAATATATTTGTATTTCAAGATATTGGGGGAGGGGGGAATAAAGTGGTTAACTTTAAAAATAAATCATGGTTTAACATTACACCCCCCCCAGCCCCTTCCCTTCCAAAAATAATAAGAAATGCTTTACATGCACTTTGCCACATACGCGTGGACCTTACTCAATATCTTCCCAAGGTAATAAACGAATTTTTAATAGTTTTCAGTTTTAACACGAGTATAACATTAAATCTACAAGTACCGGTTAGGCCAAAAAGTTAAAGACTCGCAAAGACCATAGTTTGGCTACTGAAGGCTACTGTAAATCGCTGCGGTGTACGCAGGCCACAGACCATGATTTAGCTAGGTACACCGCCGTGGTGTACGCAGGCCAAATTCAATTCAATAGTTTCGCTAGGTACACCGCCGCGGTGTACGTAGTGCCGGCCTTATTATTAAAGCTAACTCATACATAATGTTCTATTGACACAATTTGTTTGTGTCTTATTAATCATGTTTTGAAACCAGGGTAGTCAATCTGATGGAGGTGTGGGAAATGTTTTGAAATCAAGAGGGGGTCCGGTTAAGAACCCAGAACTAATAATAACATTGTTTACCAAATTAGTAATTAATAATCATAAGAATTTTAAAGAATGATGGGACTGTGGGTGGGCTACCTTGCCTTAGCCTAAGAATCTTTGGCAGCAGACCAACTTCCTACCTTTGACTTTGGCTTTGATGAATAGTTTGCAGAAGCTGAGAATATTGTCGATACGAGTCGTCGAATTCAGCCCTATTAGCTGATAATGCAGACTTGTTGCTTTCACGGGATGTAGACGTTGAAGTGAAACTGGGTGTCGAGTTTCGGGAAAACTGAGTTGAGTGATTCTGGAAGATGTGCGGTGACCGTGGCAGAGATCTTGCCATAATCATTTATATGTGACTTAATAACTCCATATAGCTATCCATAAAGAAATGGGTTATAACATAACAACGTCCAAATAGGCCGATTTAGTTATTAAAAAGTAATTTTTAAATAATTGAATTAAGGGCAAAATAGTCAATTCTATGAACCTCGGAAGTTAGTCTACTTTTTTGTTAAATTGTTATCGCACCTTACCGAAATCTGAGTATATCGGATGTAATTCCGTGATACACAATTTAGAATTTGAAATAGGCTACGGCTATGAAATATTACAATAATACATTAAAACGTGTTGAAAATTTCTATGTTATCTAAAAACTAGGAAACTTTTTTCGCTAATTCATTAATTTTCATAATATTCCCATAAAGGGCGATTCCCTTTCAATAAAACTTAGATGGCTATTCTGTTTATTCTTTGTATAATGGATTCTAATAATAATAATAATAAAGTTTATTTGAAAAACACGCTTCATCCCCAAAAGCTCGAAGCGCGGTACAAAGTCAACCATATTAAAAAGAGAAATGAAAACAATATAAAATTTACCACATTTAAAAACAGACGCAACAATATAAAGCTACATAGGAGCATACCCAGTCAAAGCCTTTCATCACGTTTCAACCATAAGCAACACAAGCCAATATACATTAACTGAAAAAGATGGCAGATAGCGTCACCCCAGAAGGTGTTTGCGAAATAGATGTGTTTTAAAATCGGTTTTAAAGGACTCAAGTGTCTGGCTGTTTCTGAGAGCGACTGGAAGTGCGTTCCAAATTGCTGGGCCGGCAAATGCAAAAGTGCGCTTTCCGTAAGTCTCAAGGCGAACACACGGTATCGATATTTTGCCACTATTGGATGAGCGGAGCTCTCTAGTGGGTACATAAGGCGTCATGAGTGCTTTGAGATAAGATCTAGGCACATCATGTTGCCCACGTGTCACATTGTTAATGAATATGAAAGAGAATTTGGAAATTTAATTTGGTTCAAAAGTGGCATTGAGGAATTTAAACATTGAGGCATTGTGGCATTGGGACATTGTGTTATTTTTGCATTGTGGTACTGAGGAATTGGGGCATTGTAGCATTAATATATTGTGGCAAAATGCATTGTGGCATTGCCACTTTAAGCTTTTTGCCTTGAGACATCGTGGCATTTAGGCATTGAGGCTTTGGGACATTGAGACATAACGCTTTTTGGCATATGGCATTGTTGCATTGAGGCTTGAGTCATTGTAGTTGAAGCTTAAAGCTTTGTGGAAATGTGCAATTGTGGCATTGAGGCTTGAGGTTTTGTAGCTTTCTAGCCTTATATCATTGTGATCTTGTGACATTGTGCCTTAATGCATTTTGATATTGTGACATTGAAGCATTTTGGCATTGAGTCTTGTGACTTAGTCACATTGATGCTTGATGCTTTATGGCATTGTGGTATTCAGGCTTGTTGCTTTGTGGCATTGTGGCTTTGTTGCATTGAAGCTCTGTGATAGTGGCATTGTAGTATTTGGCATTTATCCATTGTGCCATTATAACATTAATGCATTGTGACTTTGAGACATGGCATTGTTACATTAATGAATTTTAGCATTGGGGCATTGAAGTGATGTGTCATTGTGGCACTGTGGAATTGTGGCATTGTCACACTGAAGCATTGAGGCATTATGCATTGATACTTGAGATTTTGTGGCATTGTAGCATTGTGACATTGTGGTACTGAGGTATTGTGGCATTGAAGCACTATGCATTGACACTTGGGGCTTTGTGGCATTGTCACACAGAGGCATTGTGGCATTAAGGAATTGTGACATTATGGCATTGATGCATTGTGACATTGAGGCACTGTGGCATGAAGGCATTATGCATTGACACTTGAGGCTTTGTGGCATTGAGGCTTTGTGGCATTGTGACATAAGATAAGTAATCCTCCCTTTCCCATTCTCTATGTCCTTTTGGTAGTGGTTTGTTCGTTAAGGAAAGTTTCAGCAAGAAGCAACGTTCCTTATTTTTAATCTTTCCATGTTTTCCCCTTTTCTGTGGTTTACTTTTTATATTGCTTCAACTTGATAACAATCCTCCACTTATTTTTTTGTATTGTAGAGCGCGCCTTCAAAAAGGAATTACTTAATCAATCAAATCAAGAAACACTATGTGCGAATTCTGTTCAGTATAATTCAGTCTGAATCATATTGTATAGTACTAGTGTGTTTATATCAACATTAAACTATAGAACTTTGTTTCCAAATTATATTGGATAAACGAAACACGCTTTAATTATGTGTCTACATAAAAAAGTCTCAAATATATATTGGCATTGAAACTAGCATATTTAATGTTCAAATAAGCTGAATTAATGTTTATTCTGAAATTTGTATTAAACGCGTTATTTCTCCATTAAACGTAAATAGTGATTTATATCTACAGTGTTACCTAGGGGTACGAACGCCTGAGGTCACGAAAAAATCAGATTACGAACAACAACTTCAAAAATTTTTTTGTCTTGGGTAACAAACAGTGCCTCAGGTTACGAACAAAGGCTAGTGAGAGAGAGGGGGGGGAGAGGGGGAGAGAGAGGGGAAGAGAGATAGGGGGGGGGAGAGAGAGGAAGGTTTAACGTTTAAGACAAACGATTGCTTACAGTATAAACGAGGAGGAGCTAATTGAGGACCAAAGTGAAGAGGTCACTACAGATGAGCTTGTGGATCTTCAGATTAAAACTCTAAAGACATTAAAGGAGGAGCAGATGTTGAGGAGCCAGTTACCATTTCAACTGCCAGGATTAAAGAAATTTGCAGCAAGTGGGCAGACGTCCAAGATTTCATTATGAACCATCATCTAAACAAATGTGTTGCTAAACCTGATGAATGATAACACAGTGGCCCATTTCAGAAGCATTCTCCTGCAAAGGAAGCGACAAAGTTCCCTTGATAGTTTCTTGGTGCAGAAAGATTCCTAGTTGGCTGCCAAGAAACAGTGACAAGAACCTAATGATTCAGAATAGCAAAGAAACTGACACATTTCGCATTAACGTTTTCTTGATAAGAAACAGAGACTAAATCTTTACATGTAGCTAAAATTATCGCGTTTGACTGCGTCTGCATCACAGTTGAGTAAATGGGCGGGATGAGTTGGTGAGCTCAGCTCTCCTTTTTAAAAATAATTTTGAACTGGGATATTTGTAAGCATTCGATGTTTAAAAAGTAAATATTTTTCTTTTGTCGATTATTTAACAATTAAAAGTTTAATTATCGGTAAAAAATAATTAAATTTAAAAAATTTCATTACGCAAAAAAAAGTCTGAGCATAAATATTTTCAATTTTTTTTTTTTAAATTTAAGTTTTGTCTACCTTCAATTCAGACGAATCCTTTGACTACATGAGTCTGCAAAGTCTTTTTTTGCGTTATGCATTTTAAGAAATTTTGGTTTCTTTTATACTTTTTAGTGCGTTTTAAAATAAAAATATTTTTAAAACAAACTTTCTGTCAAATACGAGTTTGTCTTTGATAGAAAGTCTGTTAACAAAATGTATTTATATTTTTTTATTATGCATTCAAACTCTGAGTGTAATGTGCACATTTTCACAAATTTTTGTAGAATATCTCGGTAAAGAGATTGACCATAATTTCAAAATTTAATTGCTGTCTGAGCAAGAAGTAAACTCAATTGAGCATAAACGTGTTAATTCGGAAGAGGGTACATTTGATTTTAAAATTTAAGCTAATGAAATAAATCTAAAAATGTCAAATGCTCTAGTGGCTTAAGTTGTTAGTAATGTTAATACTTGGATATCTACGGGGCCGTGCAAATGTTTTATTATATAACACAAAAATATGACACTTTGACCCACCCCATTTACCCGGTAACTTTGTTTAACCTTTCCATTGAGATTATTGATTAGTATTAATATTATAATTATATGATTGGGATTGGGGGGGGGGTGTCATTTGTAATAATACTAAATGATAATGATTAATGTCTCATTTTTAATATTAACCAAATGTTTATTTTACATACAGTACAGTCCTGTAGGACTTTAGTTTAGGCAGGCACTTTAGGAAAGCTGTAAAAAGACTAATACTTAATAATAAGTAGGCCAATTTAAAATAAATTTACCTTTCATCAATGTTCATTAATTTCTTTTTAAAAATCGTTATATGGGTGTTCTAGGTATAAAAAAAGTAACATAGCTCTCTTACACCCCCTTCCCTTTTTAACACAATGTAACAAAATGATAAACCAAGCCCTTTATAGGTACAGTATAATATGTGCTCTGTCATAATACTCTGTCAGGTCTATAATATTCTTCAAATGAAAAATATAAATGAATGGATAAAATTAGAAGATTAAAAACATACATTAAATAGAATTTAATAAATACACTTATTTAGTGTATTATAGTAACATTTTAATATTTGCTTTTAAAATATGTTTGCAGTTGCAGTCATTCAAACTCAAAGCAGTCAAAGTGACACTGACCTTTAACTCACTCATTACTCAGTACCGGGGAACTGGTTTACTTCGCAGTTAAAATTGCTTTGATTTGAGAGAGATGACTAGTTCCCATCGTGGCCAGGTGCTTTCTCTGTATAAACAAATACTGCGAATCTCCAAACTTTGGAAGTCAAATACTGGTCAACACGAGGATACCAAAGTTGAGAGATATTACATAAAACATGAATGTCAAAGACTTTTCAGGAGAAATAAATCTGTAAGTTAACCTCAAAATTTGAGTTTCCCAGTCACAAATGACATTTAATTGTTGTACCACGTATCTATAAATTATGAGTATTTGCCAAGTATAACACATAAATAAATATTTTGTTCGATTATTGTCAATGGCAGTGTTTCCCAAATTCAATTCATCAGCCTCACTATCTCCTCCTTGTCTATTTGAACCAATGGCAAGGGTTAGTCAAACAACTGAAAAGAGACCAGCATGCAGTAGATGGCCAGCAAATTTTTTGTTTTACTGTGCTCTTTATGCATTCATGTTGCAGGAGTTGTCCAAATTTTCATTGTGTCAATGTCATACCGCCTTCGGGACTCTTATGTCCTCGTTTGATTTCTCTTAGATGAGTTGCCATCCAAGGCATCTTTTACCACGAAATGTTAGTTGTTTACATTTTTTTTTTTTTTTTTTTTTTTTTTAAAAAAAGATATATCATTTTTTTAAAACATATTTATACCATAATAATTTTAGGGAATGTAAAAGTAAAAAATGTCAAAAGAAAAAATTTTTTTTTTTTTTTTTTTGTTTTTTTTTTTTTTTTTTTTTTTTTTTTTATTTTTTTTTTTTTTTTTTTTTTTTTTTTTTTTTTTTTTTTTTTTTAAAAAAAGATATATCAATTTTTTAAAACATATTTATACCATAAGTAATTTAGGGAATGTAAAAGTAAAAGATGTCAAAAGAAAAAAATCATTGGATTATGAAAAGGTGGATGTCATGTTGTATGCTCAAGACAATCTTGTTTTTTGAAGATGGCTCTGAAACAAGGCACTAAATAAGAAAAATTTAATGTGTAATAAGTCTTATGTTTCCAGTCTACACAACTTGAGTCAAGAAAAAATATTAATTCTTTTTCGGAAATACTGATTAGGGGGCTAAACCTAAAAAATAAAGCCATTTTTCTGTTTATTGATAAGAAAAATATTGATATGTAAAGTGGATTCTTTTCAGGAAACGTCAAATGAAAAAGTCCATGAGTACATTAAAGAAGCTGAGACCAGGATAGCACTAGGTATAATTTCATTTATAGTAAAAATAAATAACAATAATTGTGTGATCCATTAATAATCTTTTATCTTTAATACTGGTAACACAATAAAAATAACATTGTAAATTTAGAACAAAAACTGTAAGCACAATTATGAAAACACCATAATTAAGAAGTAAAGTTGAACCAATTATATGATTGCAAACTTTTGTGTTCACAGTTTTTTGTTGTCTAATAATAATAATATAGTAATGAGTTTTCCTGTCTTTAGCACTTAAATATTTAATTTTATGTCCTTGTCACACACAGCTCAGCATTACGGTATCCCATATCCTCGATTGGTAAGTTTCATTATTAGTCAGGGTTACAGTTATAAGTTGCTCAATAATGATTTTGAAGTTAAATAGAAAACAATAATTTTTAAATATGGTATTTTTAAATGGAGACAGAAACTACACGTTTGATACAGAAATGGGTTCCTATAAAGATGTAGATACACATATCTTTTAGTTTTAGGGTTTTTCAAGTTCCATTAGTAAGAATCAAAAGTTTATTTATAAAGGGGTTTAACTATGGTACTAAAAGATATTAAATCAAATTGACATTATAAATTGTATTGATTAATCCACAGATGAACGTGCCTCATAATGTACTTTCTCCAAACAAAGCCTCTCAGTTTAAAAGAGATCAGAGAATCCTTCAACAGGCTACTCCTATTTATCTCAAATCTTATGAAAATAATAGAAAATCATCAGGATGATACTGACATACTGTATTTATTGGAGTATAACACACCCCCGCTTATAACGCGCACCTCAATTTAAGAAGGAAATTTCAGGAAAAAAGACTAAACATTACATCACGTATAACACGCACACATCATTTTCCCCCTATTTTCAGGGAGAAAAAGTGTGTGTTATACGCCAATAAAAAAGTATACCAATGTCACATTTTCTTAAAAAGACAAGTAGGCTACATTTCAAGAAAGTTTCTTTTTCTTCTAATAATCAAATTATTAATGTCCATTTTTATCTTATGACAAAATTAATTTGCATCATAAAAATTTCTGCACAAACAAAATAAAATAACCAAGAACTCATTAACTAAATTATTTTTAAGGCCTTTGATAAAATACTAGCCCACAGTTAAGTAACTCAGTGAATATCAGTATGAGTTTAAATACCTGTATAATAATTATATCGATTCAATATTGTGTTTATAGGTTTGGTATATTTTGTATCCTTTTTTGCTTTATTTTGGCTCTTGGCCATTATACATAATACAGGTCTCTAAAAAATATATTGTTTTTCTTTAAAATTTAAAGTTTTAATTTGAGATTTATACTGGGAATGAATAGTATGACAATAATTCAGAATATTTATCAAATTTAGCCTATCATTTGTTTCTTGTATCCATGTAATTTCTTGTATTATTGTGCTTAATTAATGGCAAAATATTACAAGTTAAGAATATTCCTCTACCTGATATTTTTTTTAAAAATATTTATTTTATTGAGGATTTCTTTTTTTTTTATTTGAAGATTTTCTTGTAAATCTCAATTCTAATTCAGGACTTGTAGATGTAAAGTTATTGTAAATAAATGCTCAGTTACTATGTATATCCACAAAGATAATGAGATTTGGTTTTGTTGAAAACAATTTTATTTTGTTCTTTATATATACTTGTTTAACATTTCAATCATCTCATGTTTTTCTCAGGCAAACACATTTCATATTAATTCTTACATTAAATTAAATCTCACTTTGAACTAAGAATTCAAATCAGACAAATAACAAGAATTTTGTAGTAAACAAATAAAAGATGTAAGCAGAAGAATGCACATTATATTAAAAAAAGTTTTTAATAAGTTTGGTAACATATCTTATCCACAGAGGCACATATCGATCTCTCCGCTGAAAAGTTGATTCTGTTACAAGTTGAGATGATGAAAACATTCGCACATGCTCCTTAAAAAAAGACAAATAATGATGGCTGAATAGATAAAAACATTAACTTCGGTTTAGTTTATATGTTTGTCAAAGCATAAGTAGTTTGAAAATCTAACCGGTTCAAATAGTGGATTATTAAATGTTATGTCTTTACATTCTTAATCATACTGCGTGGACAGACCTAGATCGTAAAGCATCCTTTTCCTTAAATATTTTGCAGAAGTTTTATGACAAAATTAGTATTTTCAGGGAAAGTTGAATGCTGTATTTTTATATCGAAGTTGGTTCGATTACATGAAAACTTTATTAAAAAAATTAAAATGCACAATGCCACAATTTCTACTTTGGTCATTCATAATTAAATAACTATACCTCTCTAAGCTGTTCTTGCAAATGCTTGTTTTCTGTCACTATTGCAATCTGGCATTCTAAATCCCTGTATACTGATCTGTAACCTGTACGAAATAAAATAACATGATTTATTTCCTTCTCTTAAAATTGTGTATGTTTTCCCAAGGAACTTAAAAGAAAAAAAGATGATGAAGAAGCATCATAAATATTTGTTTTATAAACCTTGCAACATTTAAAGATAATTTAAATAAAGAAATGTCTTTTTATGCACATAAAATGAACACAATTTGTCACATATAAACTTACCAAAGTTTGGTGAACCAACCAGTGTAAATGTGGGGAGGGGTTGGCTTGGAAGATAATACCACAGTCCTTTCCCATGAAATGTCCAGCCATCCCTTACATATTCCATCATGTGGATACGTTTGGTCTGTTTTCTCTTGCAAACTTGTTTGTAAAACTGATGGGCCAAGTAGATGTATGAATATGGGATTGCACCAGCTATGCCCTTAGCTCCCAGGAAGCCATTTGCCTTAATAATGGGATCAAAAGTTTTAAAAAAAGCTAAATTAAAAAATCCTTTATATGTCTCTAAGATTAGGAGATGTTATTCTTACACTTGACCTTTGTTTTTTTTTTAGACTGTTCTTAACCTTGCAGCAAATGACCGATTGCCAGTAACTATTATTACAGCTAAAGGTTCTATTTGGTCAAACATGCAAAATATTGACACAAAAATTAATAATAAAAGTAGGGTACCAGTCACAGTTATGTGCTCCGATTTGTGAAAATTTAGTAAAAATAATTTTAAATTGTTTGTTAAATGTTTCTCAAAGTACTGAAATTATATAATTTTTTAATTAATACATTTAATATTTTGTGCCTTTTCTAATTAAAATGTGAAATGGCGTTTAAACAATAAATTTCTAATCAGTAATCAAATCAATTTTTTTTAATATGCTTCCTTTTATAAACAAATATAAAAATAATTGAAAGAATTTTGTAGTAAGCTCATGCTGCTAGTACTCATTGGCAAAATTTGTGTGGACAACAGTGTGACATAAAGGATTAACTTAAATAAATGTGACTCTATGTCAAAATTCCAGATGTGAAACTCTTTTTACCTGTGGTGATGCCATAAGAATGCTGAACTTTCCTAAAGACTGGTCCAATATCACTGACATGTAGTGTTCAGTCAGATTAAAGTATCCAGATGCCAAAAGAATATGATCCTGGGGTTTTGAAGACCTCAGTAAGCCCAACATTGCTTGTTCATCATGGGTTACATTAAAAGACCCCATCTGAACCAATGGATATACAACAGTGTCTGTGCTCCCCTTTCCGTGACTGAATTTATCATCTGGCCTATCAACTTTACGTCTGGAATTTGTATTCTCATTTCCATTCTTTTCACCTAAATGCAAGCAGGCATGTATCTTTTTCCTGGCAGCTTGTTTAAACTGAAGACCACCATCAGAACCTGAAGTAAATAATAGCATTAAGTTATATCAGTCAATGATGTCCAAATAGTCCTGTCACAGAAGAGATATGAGTATGGAATTTCCTGGGCATATAGACTTACAAATTTAATGTAATAGTGATATAAGGCTTGAATTATGTAAGATATATGTTAATTTAAGGTTGAAACCTATTTAAAAATAAAAATAGCCTATAAGTGAATATAAGTAAAATGACCCATACTGATAAGGGGGTTTATTTTCTTCATTAACAAAAACATGTTGTATGTGGGTACAATAAACTTTGCTACCGGTATATCTATATTAAAGTCTACAGAAACGGTACATTCTTTTTAAATCTAATTCTGCCCTAAAAATATCAATTTTTTATGTAAGCAGCATGCCAAAACTTTGGAATATAAGCCATAAGTTTTAAAAAGTATAACTGTACACTTATTCCCCACTACAAAAAGATTCCCATTCACTATAATTCACAAGGTAATTTAGAAATCTAATTTATTTCTATTTTATTTTAGACAATTTTGACGAAAAGAAAAAACTAAACTTGAATGAGTTGGTAGAGCAGAATGTTAAACATTTTAAAATTTCCTGATGCTGATCAGCTGAATTTTTCAATATCCACATATAACAGCAAAATATAATATTAAAGAAGGTTAACTCAAGTTGCGCTGCACGTACACCTAGTACATTACAATATTTTTTTTTTTAGAAAACATCAAATTTATTTCAAAGCTATTTAGACCCAATATTCTTACAATTCTTAGCATCTTTCATCCCCTGAAATGAATAGTGGGCAGAGTTCTTTAACATATAGAAAATAATTATCAATATTGATATTATAATATTTCTAAAAGTAAACTGTACCTTTATATGGATGAATATTCCAGTTAGGCGAAAGATAAAGAGAGTTGTCAGGAGAAAGGCTAAATGAGAATGACATGATTCCTTTCACAAGTTCATTGAAAAATTCTGCAATCTCAGGACAGTCATTAAAAAGGATGTATCGATCTTGTCTATTGGTGAAGTAGTCATGGCTTAGGTTTGCCCTAATTTATAAATATCATTGTTAATAAATAATGAAACGATTTTTTTAATATGTAAACAATTTATTTGAGGTGAGGGAATTTAAGTCGCTGAATTATTGCAATTATTTTTTTTATGAATGGTTTTGATTTCAAAATAAAAAAATACCATTTGATCTAAAAGCATTTTTGGTGTGTTGAACACAAGTTATGGTAAGCTTTTCATGTACCCTACCTTATCTCAACACCACACTATTTAACAATGCTTACCCACTGATGACAAAACTGTCATCAAATAAATAAACTTTGACATGTGTTAGTCCAATTGTCTCATTGAACCGATCTGGCATAATTTTTTTAAGGAAGCCCCGTAAATCTGGAGTGTGAAAAAGTGAAACTTTAACGCTGCTGAATTCTGCCATCAAAGGCCGCAGCATGGACCGAGAGTTAACTTTTCCCCTGGACCCACGTGTGTAGTCAAGGAGAATGTTAACTTCAAAGTTGGAATTCCCAGATAAAACAGCTGCCAGACATGCCTCCCTGATACTGGAAACCTGCAGGAATAATAATTTAATAATTATTAATAAAATATAAAAATGTATTTTTTGTGTGATTTAAATTGCCTTGAGTGAGTCAAAATTTCTAATAACATTATTCATAAAGCTCCAAAGTACAAAACTGATTTTGATTCTGAGTAAACGATATGATAGGTTAAATAGGTTATCTAAATAAAACTGGTTGCTCACCAAATCTTTTTCCAAAGATCCATTACCTAAATACAAAGAGGCAAAGGTGATTCTTCTTTTTGCTCTTCTTGTCTTCAACTTAATAAAAAATATTAACAATTACACAAAATAAATTATAAAGAAATAGTGTAAAAACCTGATAAAAAAAATAATGATATTTATACCATCATAATCTGAAGCTAAAATAAATATGGAAAACATGACAATATTTTGTTAGAATTCAATTCAATTAAAAATGTTAATTACTTGCAGTGTAAAAAGAACAATTTATATTTAAAAAAAGGTCTGTTCCAAAATTTTTGCTTGCCTTCAAGATTTCATAAAACTGTGCAGGTTCTGTGATAACCTGAACTTGATCGCCACGGATTTGAAATTGAGGCCCATGCTGTGACAGCCAGCTAAAGCTTTCTATTCTCTCACGGGGTCCTGCCAAATTATGAACATCAGTTTTAAATTTAATGCCAGTCGTGGGAAGTGCTTCATGGGCTGGTGGCTTAGTGCAAAGACCTCTATAGAATTTAAAAAAAGGAAAATTAATGTAATAAGTACCGGTACTTCTTTTTAGCTCATTACTAAAGAAATAAGTAAATACTAATTTTATAATCACCAAATGGGGCCTACTCAAAGACATATCATACTCCATTATTTTTCAGTTTATTGCATTTATTTTAAATAAAAATCATAAATAAGCTTGTATGAAGTGAACTTCTTAATGGTTCTAGTATATGATTAGGAGGGTGGGCACAGGTTCTTCTAACCAAGCAAATAACTTTACTACGTCGAAGCATCAACATCATCTATGCTAGCAGTATCATGATGCACTGTGCCTTAATAACATTAACATATCATTATGTTGATGTCTTTGAATGGTAATATTGAAAAAAAATGGCCAACTTTTAATCATTTGATATCCAGACGTAGTAGTAAAGTGTAATATTTCATTTACAAGTAAGCTAGGGTTAATATTCAACATAAATACAATGAAAGCAATTTTATGATTTAAAATATATTTAGGCCTTATAATGGGTCTTAATAAAATTATTACATTTTTTGCTAACTTTCAATAAATAATTTATTTATGATTAAAAGGCCTTCTTTATTTAATTTTGTACACCTGACACTAATCATGTTGTTTCATTTGTAACATTATGAAAATTGTATGAATTGGTGTCAGGAAAAACTTTAACTTTCAAAATATGGATATGGTTTGTCAATGAAGGCTCTTTAGCAAACAAACATAGCAAGGCAAAATGATTGAAAATTTCCAGTGACTTATGCAGATTTTTCAGAGTATATCATAAAGGCTGACCTGGTTACACTAGACTCTCAGAATAGTACTTTACCATCTCAAAACCATAGAATACTATATTGTAATAGTAAATAAGCATACAGTATTAAGTATAATGTATACAATAACTATTCGTATTGCATGTCTATTAAAGGTCACTTCTTAAAGTATATGACTGCGGTTTATATATTTATATACAGAGCATTATCACAAATTAAAATATGCCCATCATTTGCAACTTTGATAGGCATATCAACCTGGGCACAGCTGTGAGACAGCACTGCTCCATGTTATGAATGATGTTCTTTGTAGTGCTGACCATGGCGATCTAACAATATTGGTCCTGTTGGATCTCATTGCTCCTTTCGTTGTTTTAACCATGAGCTTCTTCTGTCAAGACTTCTGAATGAGGCAGGCATATCTGGAACTGCACTTCGCTGGTTTTCTTCTTATCTGACTGACAGGACTCAGCGTATTGTAGTGAAGCAGGCATCTTCCATGAACACTTCCATTACCTGCGGCGTGCCACAGGGCTCAGTTTTATGACCTATTCTGTTCTCCATGTACACTAGCCAGCTCTGCAAAATTATTGAAAGTCATGGTATTTCCCGCAAAATATTTGCAGATGACACAGAACTATACAAGTGTTTCCGTCCTGAAACCTTGGAGTGTGCTGCTGCTGTTCAGGCTGTCGAGGACTGCTATCTTGCTGTGAAAGAATGGATGTCATCAAACAGACTAAAATTAAATGACGATAAGACTGAGGCAATTATTTGTGGTTCAGACGCCAATCTTCGGAAAGTTGCGATCTCATCAATAAAAGTTGGTGAATCAGAGATCTCATTGTCCTCCACTGTCAGAGACTTTGGCTTATATATTGACAGTAAACTAAGAATGATTCCCCATATCATTTCTATGGTCAGGGCATGCTTCTGTCATATGCTTCTGTCATAATCCAGTCAAGATAAGTTTACTGTAACAGTTGTTTATGGGGTTCACCTCAGAACCAAATTCTGAGACTCCAGGAGGTACAAAATACTGCAGCACGCATTGTATCGTGGATAAAGAAATCTGATCACATCACACCAGTTCTACGAGATCTCCATTGGGTTCCTGTGAGTGAGCGCATTAACTACAAAATTCTGTCCCTGGCGTACAGCTGCATAGAAGGCTCTGCATCAGAATATCTTAAGCAACTGATTCATATACACATATCCTTAAAGAACCTGCGGTCTTCAACACAGTCCTTACTAAAAATTCCCAGTGTGGATGAACACAGAAAAAAGTCTTACGGAGTGCGCTCTTTTGAAGCGATAGCGTCAAAATTATGGAACAGTTTGCCTCAATCTTTAAGGGGAAATGAAAATGATAAAAATCATTTAAGAAACATTTACAAACATTTTTGTTTCAATAGATTTAAGAAAACCAGAGCGCAGTGAGCATGCTAAAGTAGCATGGATACCAGTGCTATATAAATAAAATCCAATCCAATAAGATATGGTGGGGAAGCCGAAATTGAGGATGCCCGCCGAAGTCACCCAAGCTAAAGTGCTACGTGCTACGTGCAATGAGCTTTCGACAGCACCTCCCTTCGAACTCCATCTCCAATAAAATCAAATGATATTTATACATATGACATATCAGTAAATAAAATATGTCACGTTTTCAGACTGTATGGTGAGACAAGTGGTTCCCAGAATATGCTCCACATTGCCCTGGGTGCAACGTTTCTCTCCGGCAGGCCATGAGAATGGGGCGAAAAGCAACAAGCGCCAAAATCAGGGAGCGCCAAAATCATCTTTAGATAGGACCTTAATAGTGAATTAAACAATAAAATCAAATAGACTTCACAAAGACAAGGGCTGCTAAAAATCGTATTATTACTAGTCCACTACCCTAAATGGGTTGCTGCGTCTTTTTTGCAGGGCGCTTGCGAAATAGTACAAAATTTTCATTATTTTATTTCCACTGTTAATCCAATGGGACATCTAGGGGTCATGGTGCAAATAGTAACTCACTTGAGTAACTACTGTTTGCATTGTATCCGATTGTTCGAAGTGCTATTTTAACAATTAGTCTTCCAAACGATGGAAATGTTTTTTATGACATTATAATACTATACATATTCATATCTTCTTCTTCTTATACTTGAGTGGCCCACGATCAATTTGTTGATCATTCTGGCTCCTGGTTTAAATTCAGAGTTTGCCTTCTCTTAGATGGGTTGCTGTCCAGGGCTAACGAGTCACATTCACCCGGGGTGCTTGGGATGTTGGCTTTGGTGGGGATCGGATTGAACCCCAGACCACCAGCTATTTGGTTTGAGACAGTACTGAAGACAGTGGAGAGAGGGTCATGGAGTTTAAGGAAGCGCAGAGAGTGAGCGTTGTTTTCTAATCGAAGTGCCAGAGCGACATGCGATGACATTACAAGACGGATGGGCAGCTTGTGCCAATATAAACCAAATCTGTAAATGAATATAATATAATAATATTATACTATATACAAACACTCAGTTGTGGTGCAGCAACAAATTTTGGTAAAAGTGTATTCAGGTGGGTATATTATTTCTTAGCGCATGTAAACTTACGTATATTGTTTATAAAAAGTATTTTAAAAGTAAAATATCATCTTTTTATCTTTGGACTTATATATAAAGAGCACGGAACATGACATCAAGAACCTCTCTTTACCTCCACTCCGGAAATCCAATCTTTCTAAAAGAGAATCACTCGCACTCTCTAAGCTGCGCAGTCGGAAAGATATCGTCATCAAACCAGCTGATAAGGGGGGAGCTGTTGTGGTGTGGGACAGAGATCTGTACATCAAGGAGGCTCATAGGCAACTAGAAGACAGCCAGTTCTACCAACCGAGGACCAACAACCCTATCACCAAACATAACGACATGGTGAAAGGGACTATCAAGAAAATGATTGCAGAATCAGCGCTCCCCAAATCGGTCTCTGCCCTACACATCTTCGATAGTGACCTCGGTAAGCCATGCTTCTACCTACTTCCCAAAATTCATAAGTATGGTAACCCTGGCAGACCCATTGTCTCAGCATGCTCTTGCCCCACCGAACATATCTCGGAATTCCTTGATGGAGTTTTTCAACCCATCGTTGCCTCACTGCCTACTTACATTAAGGACACCAACCATGCTCTTCAAACCTTTGAATCCATCATAATCCCTCCTGAAAAGAAACATCATCTATTTCTTCTTGATGTATGTTCTCTATACACTTCCATCCCCCACACTGACGGTCTCTTAGCTCTCAAATTCTTTCTCGAGACTAGACCCCACCCATCTATACCCACCAACACCCTCCTCAGATTGGCTGAACTAGTCCTCACCCTCAATTCGTTTGAGTTTGGTGGCCAATTCTTTGACCAAATCAGTGGTGTTGCTATGGGGACTAAAATGGGACCCAGCTATGCTTGCTTGTTCATGGGGCATTTCGAACACTTGGTCGAAAGCAGCTATACTGGACGCCTCCCTGAATTCTATAAGAGGTACATAGATGATGGTATAGGGGTCACCACTATGGAGAGGAGTGAACTTGACCTGTTCATTAACTTTGTAGGCTCCTTTCACCCCTCCATTAAATTCACATCTCTTATCTCTGAGACCTCAGTCAATTTCTTAGACATTACAGTCACTCTTCACAAAGACACCCTACACACCTCTGCCTACTTTAAGCCCACTGACAGCCATAGCTATCTACTCTACTCTTCATCCCACCCTAAATCCTGTAAGGACTCTATTCCTTTCTCTCAATTACTTCGTCTTCGTCGACTTTGTCGGTCGGATGAGGACTTTTGGGACAAGGCACTTGAAATGATAGACTTTTTCCGGTGTAGGTCTTACCCGGAGACAGTACTTTCATCAGCCCTCCAAAGGGTTAAGAATATTACACGTGCTGATGCCTTCAGACCACGTCTGAGCGACAATGTTGACAGGACTAAACTCATTTTAACTTATCACCCTCACAATCTGATTGCTAAACGTGTTTTCCTTAAACATCGATCTATACTACTCGCAGACACCGACACACGAGAAATTTTCTCTTCCCCACCTCTCATTGTTTTCAGACGGGATAAAAATCTGAGAGACCTGCTTGTACGCAGTCGTATCAATGCTCCCCCCTCCCACTTTGGGACCAAGCCGTGTGGACGCAGTCGTTGCAACACGTGCCCTTTTGTCGTCCAGACTGAACGCATACGTTTCCCCAAGGGCAGTTTTCAGATACGCGACGGTTTCCTCTGTACAAGCCGCAACGTTATCTACGCCATTGTCTGCACCCGCTGTCAGATGACATACATAGGGGAGACTGGACGCCGTCTCTCGGACAGGTGTACCGAACACCTCCGAAACATTACACAAGATAAACAGTGTCCCGTCTCCAAACACTTCAATAGTAGCGACCACCGGGGCAAGGCGGACTTTTCAATAAGTGCGATTGTGGCTAGCACTAACACCGCCAGCCGGGTCAATTTGGAACACAGACTTATCCTGACTTACGGCACTTTGACGCCAGATGGGATTAATGTTATGTCTCTGTTCACAGCTTGACCCTAGCTCCGCCCCTCCACGTTCTGACCTATCACAGTGAACTTTTTTCTCCCCCCTTTTTTTCGCCACTGCTTATTTAAACTCTCACTCATTTTCCTTCTGCCACACTTCTATTGCTGCCCACAGATACTACTTACCAGCTAAGTGCTATTTCTTATTTTTATAAAGTTTTTTCTGTTGTTTTGTTCGCTGACGAAGGCTTTCTGCCGACACGTTCGCTGTTTCGTTGCGTTTAATTTTTCAGGTTTAACCATACTCTGTTTTACTCATTTTATTTTATACGCACCTGAACTGCACTTTTACCCAAATTTTGTTGATCCAAATGACGCTGATGTCCACACACAGTTTGCCACCAGAAATATAATTTATTGCGCTAAAATAAGGGATTACCATAGATCTTAATAGATGTAATGTAATAATAATAAGCCTGATGATACTGATAGTTGATACGCCTCCCTTTTTTTTTTTTTATGTCTATCCCTGATAGTACACTGCACCAACCGAGAGAACAGTCGAGAATAAATTTATAAAAATACAATTCAGGAGTCATACATTTTCTCCATGAGCCAGTACATTTATAAATACTACAAATTTACCTTTTATTTCGTAAAATATTGCCCTTGGCTTTAAATTTGGTTACAAATCGTCCTAATGTAGTAGCCATATTTGTTAAATTAATTCTTAGAGTGCTCTACCTTAATTGTTTGAGTTAGACAGGGGAAAAAGTCCTAATTAAAAATGTATTAATGTTTAATACAAAAAAAAAAAAGTTTTTGAACAACTGCATTATATTAATTAATTTTAAAATTATTAAAATTGTAAGATTCTATTGTAGATTTCTAAATATATATCTTTCTTGTGAGTATATTTTGATAGGGTTGCTATGCAGTACATATTGTCCGCTCATTATTTCTACAATAATTGTGCATTTAATAATACATGTAAGTGTAAAAATTCATTCAAATGATAATTTTCAACGAAAAAGTAATTCATATCATTTTTTTTCAAGGAAAAATACTTTTAATTACCCGAAATCTGTAAATACCCGAAATCATCACTTAAATCTATCAAAATTATTGTTTAAATATCAAGTAAATATCTTAACAACGCTCCATAGCAACAAGAGCTTGACCGGGCACTTAGCGCTCTTAGTTCCTTCCAGACAAGACCATAGAATGTCGACAAATCTCAAAATTGTGAAGAAATGACATGTATTTGTTCTTTGATTCGCGAATTTTGTAATTTTAATTTTCGTTGTGAATGAATTTTTAAATAGCTGTAAAGAACCGCAATAAAAACTCATTTATAATCTTAAAATTGTAACATGGCGAGCGAATTAGAGATAGGGGATTCTAGGGTGGAATTCATGGCAGACTATGTTCTCAAAACTTTAAAGCTGAAACCAGACAAATGGACCAAGATGTACAGTCTAGATGAGAACAAACAGTTGTTTATGGACTTTTTTGAAAAAGCAGACTTGAACACTATCATAGTCATAGCAACAGCTGCTGGAGGACTCAATGTTCAATATGAATGGCCTCCCAATCCTAAAGCAAAAGCTTGTTATTTTGTAAAACGTTCAAGGGATCCAATTCTTAAAGATACAGTATTAAGGAATGCATTAATTTATGGAGATTTGTCGACATCTCCATTGGATCAGTTGTCCGCATTTGTGGATGAGGTATTATTTTTATGTAATCATTTAACTAAACAGATGAATAATTATGTTATTTTTAAGTGGATACATTGGCATCTCTGAATTAAGAAATAATTTTAGTTTTAATCTATAGGAAAAAACAGAAAAAAAAGTTTCTGGAAAACATGTTTTAACACAACTACTTTGCCAACTTTTGACAGGTCCTTGTGCCATTACTCTCCAATGAGCGGAATCATGACCAGTGGCCAAAGGTTGTATCTCAGGATGTCACTCGCCATGTACATAACCTGAAAAGTAATGTATATGTAGTGTCTGGCCAAGCAAAAGGGAAAACACTATTACCACTACCAGTTGGCGCAGACAGAGTGGAAGATGCAGGAGATGGAGAAAAGTAAGATCCCATCACAAATCATATAACTACAACTTAGTTTTTTTAAATTTAATGTTTAATTTTATCATGGACTTCAGTGGCATATATGTCCTTAGTTAAACTTTAACATTTGTACCTCTTTTATTAAATTGGAAGAAATATCACAGATTGCTAAGATGCTATGCCTAGCCATTAGAAAAGTGGCTTGCTTCCTCTAGAACATTTTAGTTCAAATGACAATTTTTTTAGCTCGAAGTTCCCCATAATATTTATAATTTTAAATCCTGTATTTGCAACTGATTAGATCTATTATTAACATGCCTCAACATTCAAGTGCAATTTTGTATTTTTTCTTTCCTCTTTTCAAACTGAAATTCATTAATGCATGTAACATAATGGTCTAGTAATATGTCCTCAGAGAGACATATGATCGCAGCCTTGTGCATGCCATTGAATCAGTTATTATTGAGTGGACACATCAGATTCGAGATGTTCTGAAAAGAGATTCTGTGCAACCTCTGCTGGAAGGATTGAACCCTTCACCATTTGTTGAGATTAAGTTCTGGGAAAATAAAGCACAAAATTTAGAGTGCATATATGAACAAGTAAGTTAGGCCCTATACCTTTTAATTTATTATATTTATAACATGGATTGGAGCCAACTTTTGTGACTGAGCTCCACTCTACCTCTATACCCACAAATTTTTGACAGCTCCACTCCAGTTCCACTCTGAGCTCCTGTTAAGGGCGCTTAACAGGTGGTAGTGGGTGCTAAGTTTTCAAAGAACTTTGTTTATTATTGTCATTTACCATCTTATTAACTAGGCATTAGAAATGCATGTACCAGCAACATAACAGGTAGAAGAGTAGGGCAACATAGCTGGTAGAAGAGTGGGGCAGTATAGCTTGTAGAAGAGTGCGCAACAGCTAGTGAGAGTAGGGAATCATAGCTGGTAGAAAAGAGGGGCAACATAACTGATAAAAGAGTGGGGAAACACAATTTTTTCCTTTCAAAATATATTCAAATGATTTACAATAATTTTTTCATCAGCTCCGAGATCCAAAAGTGAGAAAAATGGCTGAACTACTAGAAAGAGCCAACAGCAGCTATTTCCCATCATACAAAAACATTTTTCGAGATGTAGTTGCAGGTGACAATTAAAAATGTTATTTTTTAAATGACATTGTACAAGACTTTTTTGAAGCACGACTAATAAGAATAAAGTATGAATAAATTTTACAAGAAAAAATATTGAAATATTTATATTGACTGTTAAATATTACTATTTTTATAATGCAGCTTTAACCGAGGCTCAAGATATCAACATGCATTTGAAGCCACTTCGCCTTCAACTTGAGGATCTTGAACAAGCTGAATTTGATGAATCTGGAAAATATATGGGCCCATTGATACATACTGTCTGCCTTATTTGGGCCAACTCTGATTACTATAACACACCAGCTCGCATAATTGTTTTGCTTCAAGAGATGTGTAATATGATAATTGACATGGTACACTAACAACTCATAAAATAATCTTTATATTGTGTTAATTAAACTGTAAATAAAACAAAAAACTAATAATAAAAGTAGCTAAATGCAAATTTTCATGTAGTTAATCAATGGATGCCTTTTTTATGTGCCTAGGATGGTTGTTTCTAAGATGGTTCAGCAACAGAAAAAAATGAAACACTTTGAAAATTACAATTCAAACTTCTAACTAAAACCAAAGCCTTTTTTAAATGCAGGGTATTTAATATGAAAAAAAAAAAGAAAGAACAAATATGTATTTTGTTCAGTAAACTATATTTTTTAAAAAATATATAGCCTACATACATAGGAGCCAGAATGATCAATACATTGATTGTGACCCTTAATATATAGAAGAAGAAGCTTAGCAATCAGTTATTCATATTATTGTAAATATCAAAACTCTCAATAACAAGAGCATTTAATTTGACCTGAAAATGTTAAAATGTATTCAGATGTTGGCATAGAATATTTTTTTGTTTTTAACAGGCCAGAAATTTCTTGGCACCTGAGGAGATATTTAAAGGTGAAGTGGAGGAGGTGTTTGGAAAAGTAACCAAGGCACGAGAAGTTCTTGCCAAGTTTCAATTGGCATATGATGAGCACAAAGCCAAGCTAGCCTCATATTTTAAGAATGGCAAGGATCCACTTGAATGGGAGTTTACTCCTGAACTTGTATTTGCCAGATACACAAAATTCCAAGAGCGAGTGGATACAGTGAAGGTATATTAAGAAAATTTGCTATTAAAATATTGATAATTAAAATAATTCATTTGACAATTTGAATGACTGCTTTGAATGTTTCAGCTTAACAAATTTTCAATATAAATTTAACATTATATATGCAAGGTCTATTTTTTTTGTAAATGTTTCAATAGCATATTAATTAGTTTCATTAATAATAAACAGTTTTTTCAATTTCAAATTAAGTTTTGGTATTAACAAAGGGACCAAATTATGAAAATAAACTGCCATTAAAATTTATGCCTGAATAAATAATGAACATTGGAGGTACAGATTCTTCTATAATAATCATTTAAAATTTTAAAGGAACTGATGGAAACAGCATTGGAGTTTTATAAGTTGGAAAAGATAGAACTTGGAGGTATTCAGGGCAAACAGCTGAGTGCCCAAGTCCTGAGCATCCATAGTGAATTTAATGAGCAGTACAAAGTTTTCTCTGAAAGAACTTATGACTGCTTGGACACTAAAAGTGATGTAAGTTTTGTCAACATTAGTATTAAAAAGTATATTTTTAAAGGCTAATTTCAGCAATTTTCAATTTTTGTTTATCAATTCAAAATGTCAACTTTGTCAAAAAACTATATTTATGTAGGAATTTATTGTGGACTACCAAAGCTTTCTTGAGAAAATTGCTGACTTTGATCGTCGAATTGCCACAATTATTTGCCAAGGATTTGATGACTGTTGCAGTTTAGAGTCCACATTTAAGGTAAAAGTTGTTTTCTTAGTATTTTAGCAAACTGTCTCTTTTAGGAAACTGTCTCATTCATTAGTAACAATATTATATTTAAATATTTATGTAGCCCTGTGTTGACGTGGCTTACAGTTTAAAAATCCCAATAAAACAATCAGGTCTGAGGACTATAGCTTTTTAGGTACAATCCGTTGACAGAGCCGACAGAAAAATCTCTTACACATGCAGCCAACCCGACGTATCAGTCCTCACACAAAAATCTCAAAATGTACACACTCCAAGTCCCAGTTTGCCCCCCTTCTGGGTTAAATTTAAAGCCCCTGCCTTATATAACACACAGTCACGGGGAAACCGCGCCACGAGCTGATCATGGGTCAACCCCGGGGCAGGGATGATTATTCCCGCGGGTAAATAACCAACATAAAATTTAAGGTCAGTACACAGCTGTGTGTTACTTTAAATGACCATGGATATGTACGTGCTTGTGGTTACCCACAGCAGTCACACTATGACTATGAGAGTGAATTCTCTTATTCTTATTCTTCCTATCTGTGGCATACTGCCGCATATAAAATGTTACCTAAATGCAGTTGCAAATAGTGGCACATTGCCACATTTAAAAGATTTATTTCAATTATTTTAAAGGCCACCTTATCTAAACTTATTTACATGTGGTGGCATGAAGGTTTGAATTATTTATTTTAGATGTTCACTTATTGTAGACAAGAATCATGGCTGTAGTGATTCATGAATTTTTCATGTCATGTTGGTTTTACCATCATAGCTTATTGACATTATGGGCACATTGCTGGATAGACCAATGGTAAAAAAAGACTTTGATGAGAAATACCCCTGTGTTGTGGACATGATGCACCAAATGTTGGATGAGGCTAAACTGATGTATGACAAGCAGGTTGGTAAAACTCCTCTGTTGTCCTAAAAGAGACATTTAAAGTGGTTTATTTTATTTAATGGTAAAACTTACAATGCTATTCAATTTGTAATGAAAACAATTACATATGTTTTACAAACCAAATAACCAATTACACTGATCTTCATATTGATTTATTTCTGTCATATTTAACAATTATTAAAGAAAAGAAGAGCTAGGACATAGTTATAACAGATTTGAATTTTAAATTCAAATTACATTTATTTCAAATTTTTAAAATAAAGGAAGGATTCTAAAGTAAGACATTTTTTTTTGGTTCTTTTTAAAAATGTATTACAGATTGCCATAAAAGCTGAAACAGGGAAAGCACCAATCCACAAAAATATGCCAAATATGACAGGCTCCTTGAAATGGTCACAGGAAATGGGTGACAGAATCACAGCTCCAATGGCCAGTTATAAAAGAATGGAGCATCCGTAAGTGACTTAAATCAAGTATCATCAGTCATGAAGCTGCACATTTTAAAAAAATAATTTGACAATTATAAATCAAAATTTTAATTTTAATCATGATGTTATTAAATACTTGAGATGCAAAGAGTTTTTCTTTAAAATTTAAAAAATAACTTGTTAAAATGATATGTTTTAAATTAAATGTGCCAGAATTGCTAATCAAAAATGTAGGTATAACATATTTTAATAACTACTCATCTAGTGCAGTGCTCCACAATTTTACTCTCACGGCACACCTAGGCCCTCCGCAAAATTTTGTAGCACACCACTAATAGTAACATATACATTTTGGAACATTTTGAAATTTTTTGCAGAACATATAAATGTTTCATATTTAATTCAATATCTGATGAAGCTCACTATCATTCTAAAAAGTATTACTGCTTATCATTTTTTCCTTCAGAGAAGTTAAATTTCAGAGTACCACCATTCCTTATTTACAGAAATCCATTTTAAACTTGAAGGGAAAATGGCTCTGCATAATTTTCTGCAGATAATTGTTATGTACCATTATATGGTTTTACAAATTTAATTTGTTTTAAGATTTTTTTCCTTAGATGAATGAAAAGGACTGAAAACCAAAAAAAAAAGAAAAAATATACCAAAGCTAGTGATATTAACAATATTCAATTAAATTATACTATTAGGTTGATATAAAATACAAAAACAAATATACAGAAATAAAATTACATTAACCTATAGCACTCTCCTATATAGTAAAACAAAATAATGCGTTCTTAAAGAAATTTGAAGCAAAATTTTAACGTGTGAACTAAAAAAAATATGCAACCAAATTTCCGTTCCATCAAATTTCCGTCGATCACTTCTCCATTGATGAAATTTCTTTCGATAAAATTTCAGGATACGATTTAATATATATCATCCCATTTAAAAAATCATCCCAATTAGTTGCTTTTTCTAATTATTTCTCATTATTAAACCCAAGCTTTAATCAAATGATTGCCATACAAGCTGGTTAAAAAAAATTTCACAATGTTTTTCCCACCAGTACAATGAATATACAATCAAAATTTAATTCAAAATCTTACACAGTAGCAAGAATGAGCGAGTCAGTTTCTAAGGCTATATAATCATTTTTCTCAAGCCTTAGAAACTGACTTACTCATTCTTGATACTGTGTCCATCCTTGTTATCTCAGTTTTTGTTGTTTTTTTAATGTAGGGACAAATTTACTTGCCGAGTTTATATTTTCCCATGTGATGGTTGACTTAAAATTTTAAACATCCCAGTTTTGGTAATAAGCTAATCACTGTTCTATTTTAGCATCACAATTTTATTACATTTTTGAGTTCACCATAATAATATGAATTGGTAACTTCTCAAGTTGGAGCTAAAATGCTGTGGCACACAAAGCAGCATCTTGCGGCTCCTAGTGTGCCATGGCATACTGGTTTCAGATCTATGATCTAGTTTACTGAATATCCTCAAAGTGATTATCTCTTGTCCTCAGTGTTATGGAAACTGAACATGCTAAGCTTGTAATAACCAAATATGAAGAAATGATGAGCTTGCTGGGACAGTAAGTAATATTTAATATATAAACCTTTAAACTCAGTCAACCATTCCTTAAAAGAAATGAGAAGATAAAGCCAATATCTATTAACTTTGACTCTAAGGGAAGACCATAAACTATAATTCTTGTTCTAACAAGTTAAAAAGCTGTGTCCAGAATTATATTTTAAAATGTATATTGCTAGCAGTTTTTTTAAAGGGCTAAATAGTATAAATTACACAACGAAAAAAAAATGACATGTTTGTTTAGTGTTTATCAACATGAAAAAAAAAGTTAAATTTATCATTTATTTTTTTAAAATGTTAAGAACGTCATTTAGTACATGATGCTGCCAAATAAAATAAATCATTATGAATAAAAAAATGTTAGAGCCAGTTTGAATCTTTGAAAATTTTCAGGTGGGATAAAGATATTTACAAAGATTGGACAGAAGGTGTGGATGAGGCCTGCAGCTTTAACCTCAGTCAGCCATTACTTACAAGACATGAGGAGACAAAACTTATATCTGTCAACTTTGACCCTAAGGTAGCCCCATATTTAAATGTTAAATTCAATAATATTTTTTAGCCTGTGTATGAAACTGATTAAATTTGATAAATGTTAGTTTCTTATTTTCAGTTTGTAACATGTGTGAAGCTGAAAGAAATTATATCCAATAAATTTAGAATCTCATATTTTAATATGTTTATATCAGTTAGTTGCTGTCTTGCGTGAAGTAAAGTACTTGGAAATTAGACAGAAGGAGGCTGTACCAGGGAGTGCCAGTTCTATGTACTCAAAGAATGACACTTTCAGAAAATTTGTTGCCAACCTTGACCTTACAGTACAGTGGTATAACAAGGTAAAATATTGATATTCTCCACTTTACTCAGTGGATTTTAAGGTTTTTCTGTTTCTCAGGGCAAAATCTTTTCAACTGATTTTTACTGGTGTTAAAAAGTTGTTACAGAGGTGTTAACAAAGGGGCCATGTCTGTGGCATTGAGATAATCAATCCAACATTCATTTTTGTCCAGATTCGTAGGACAGTGCTGGAAGTTGAGTACCCTCTTATAGAGGAACAGCTGGAAGAGATTGACCGACAGCTGAGTCAGGCTGAGGGGACACTAAACTGGGAAAAAGAGAGTATGTGGAAATTCTTTCATTAAAAAAAAAAGATATTGAGTTGAATTCATTTAAGTTTTTTTGCATGAAAAATAAGTGTAATTTTCAACACACATATGAATAGAAATGCTTTTTACGTTTTTACACATTTTTTATATCATTATACATTAGAGACTTTAGAAAATAAAATGTGGTTCAAAATTTTTGCATCACATAGTCTGGGATTACATTGAGAAGACAAGAGATATGGTCCATGATTTGGAGACCAGAATTCAGAAATCCAAAGACAATGTTGACGAGATCAAAAAAATTATGACCACATGGTCAAAGACCCCATTGTTTGAACGTAAAGAGGACAAGCATGACACATTGCTCCAGCAGGATGACAGGGAGGACAGAATCAACAAGAGATATGCAGAGATCAGGGCTGCGGGTGATAACATTCATGGTCTAGTTAAGGTAATAAATATTTAAGGTTTCACTTTCTACATACATCTGTACAGTAAAAACTATTTTAAAATACTCTTTATTCCGATTCAATGTTATTCTATTAGATCCCTGAACTTTTTTCAGATTTCTTAAAAGCTTCTAAAATAATAACAGTAAATTGAAGAGTGTTTTAATTTTTATTGAAGGATTTAATCACATGGGGGTGTTGGCCACAGATAGTTAGTTCCCAAGTCATTATAAACTCCTGGCAATGACATGCATTTGCTACTGTCTGCTAACTTTCCCAAAGGCATTGCTTTTATAAAAAGAAATGTATTTATATAACAATAAGGATCCTGATCCATTTTTTAAATTTAATTAATTCAAGAAATTTTGGATGACTACTAAAATATCCAAATAAAAGTTGTGTTAAAAAGTGAGCTATGCATTTAGGTCTGTTCAAGATTAATAGCAAGAATATAAAAGAGGAGGACATATGACTTCTTCATTGTTATACATTATATGCAAATTTCTTCTGAGGGAAATAAGCAAAGTTTATCCAGACATCAGCTTTATATTATAAAGAAACAACCAGAAACAGTATTAAAATTTTCTAAATTTGGATAGACAATAAGTTTAAATTTATAAAGGCTAAAGGCAGAGTATTTGATCATTTTTTAACACCACAAAACACATTATTGCCCAAACTGATATCCACATTTGCTAATGTATAAATGTTCTAAACAGCAAAATTTAGAGCACTTCAAAGCTGATCCAAGCAAGGACACCTGGAAGGCTTATGTGGATTATATTGATGAAATGGTTGTGGATGGTTTCTTCAACACCATACGCTGCAGCTTACAGTTTATGCTAAACAATACAGGTAGGCTATAATAATTATAAGTTTTTAAATAGAGTCTATATGCACCTACAATTGTGGAGTTGCTTAGAATTTTATAAAATATTCCTTTCTTTCTGAGCAGATTCAAAATTAAATCCTGGCCCCTTGTTTGAGGCAAAATTAGAGCTACAAGTTCCAGAAATGGTCTTCATTCCATCACTTGACTTTGGTGTTGCTGATGGATTTGATGATTTAGTTGATGGTTTGGTTGGGGATATTTTTAAGCAATCATCTCTAATTCCTCGTCTTGCAGAGCATTCAGGTCAAGAACATTACCAGGTTTGGTCCTCTGCTACTTTTTTAAAACTATTATTTTTTATTAACTTTAACAGCTGTTGGTTAAGATGTTGAAATACATTAAAGATTCCAAAGTAAACACATCAATGAACAATTAGATTTTTAAAATTAAACAGTAAGCTTAGTTTTTATGAGCATAGAAATTATATTTTTCTAATCATATAGTTTGTGACATGATTCCCAATGATTAATGGATTAGCTTAAGCTCTGCAAAAATAAATATATCTATTTAATATTTATCTGTCATACCAGCCTGACCTTGAAGAAATGGAAGAATTAAGCGAAATGAGACAAGAACTTATGGACAGGGTACATAATGCTATGAACAAAGCCTGTGAATACAGAAACTCATTTGACAATTATGCCTATCTGTGGGTGGATGACCGCAATGAATTCATGCGTCAGTTCCTGCTATACAATCATGTCCTCACAACAGAGGAAATTGAAGCCCATGCAGATGAGGGTGTCCCTGAAAGTCCACCAACACTGTCCCAGTTTAAAGAACAGGTCCGTTAAAACGTGCTCAAAATCTTGATGGTTGATCCTTTAAATGTTATAAAAATAACTAAAATATAAATTGTTTGACTGTGCAAATGATGAAAGCAAAAATAATCACAAATGTTTTAGTCTGGTGGCTATAAATTTGGCGCATTATTGCTAAAAAAAAATACCAGTTAAATGTAATTACATTATTATAGGATACACATTTATTGTTTGATTCAATAAAGAAATCTTATGTACCTTTTACCAATTTTTAAAAATACATTATATTGACTTCGCTTTTGTGCGTGGGTTGGTGACTAGCTGACTGGCAAAGTTTGGACTGCTAATTGATCCACTTCCCATGAACCTATCAAGCTGAAACTTGGCACATAGATTTATTGCCAATGACAACACATGTTGTCAAATTTTCAGCCCCAATCCTCAAATATCAGTTTTTCAGATAAAATAACATTCCCCAAAACTGCGGTAAATGAGATTCTCTTTAAAAAAAATATCACAAATGTGTTTGGTGCGTAATATATTCTTTTGTTTTTATGAAACTGTTGATGAAATAAATCTGTAGTGTAAAAGCGGCTGGGTCATTAGAATATTAATATAGTTGAGGTTAGTGAAAAAAATGTGGTTGCAAGCCTTGAAGGGGTGGGGATGAAAGCACTAACTGGGATTCTTTAAAGTGCGTTACTTGTATGCATGTTTTGTCAAATTTTCAGGCCCCCCCCCCCCCCCCCCCCCCCCCCCCCCCACACACACCCTAGCTCAATATTTTATTTATAAAGGATTTATACATAACACGTTGTTTTCAGGGGTTGTTTAATTGAAATGTTACTCTTACTTAATTTTCAATTTTGGTTTTAGATTGACACATATGAAAAAATATATGAAGATGCAGTCCGCATAGAAGACTTGGAATTTTTTGAGTTCTGGTTCCGTGTTGATGCCAAACCTTTCAAACTGTCATTATTAAACATCATCAAGCGATGGAGCTTCATGTTTAAACAGCATCTAATTGATCATGTTACCAACAGGCAAGTGGATTCTGTAACCGCAAAAACTATATTTACATTACATTTGTTTTAAATTTCTACACCTTTGAATATTTATTTTGCATAAAATTATTTCCTTATTAAATTCAAAATGGATTTTTTAAAAACAAAACTTGATAAAATAATCTGATTGTCTTGGCTAAGGGCATTAATTAATACTGGAATAATTGTATAATATTTTTTTTAAGTTTGAAGAATTTGGCCCAGTTCATCAAGACCACAGATGCTGGATTACAAAAACCAGTCCCAGAAGGAGATTATGGTGGTTTGGTTGAGGTCATGGGTCACCTGTTTGCTGTGAGAGAGAGGCAGCAGGCAACTGATGAAATGTTTGAGCCACTAAAACAAACTATTGAACTTCTGAAAACATATGATCAAGAGATGCCCGATGAAGTTCATGTTCAACTTCAGGTAATAAAAGATGGTGTGCTTGATCCTTGAAATATTGCTTGTTGTATGTCAGCATGTTTATATGAAAATTTCCTTTATGGGTTGTAATCTATATATATAATTCGCCAGCGAAGGTCAAACACCACCACCACGCAGGCTATATATAGATAATGAGTTCACTAGCGCACAAAATATAATTCCCGATAACTACGCTAAATCATTTATATTTTTTTAATAACGCAACTTCGTTTGGTGCGTAATATTTTTTGTTAAATGAAATCATCTCAATCTTAGTATGGTGTAAAAAAAAATTTAGTTTTCGACATCAGAATATTTAATATAGTTCATGGGGGTGAAAAAAAAAAGTTTGCAGTGACGTATCATTTTGGGGGGGGTTATAGCAAAATTTGGAATTCATAAACGTGCGATACTTGAGTTCATGTTTTGTCAAGTAACTTTAGTAGATGGGAAGTTAACGCATTGCCGTCGCCAATGTTTGGCGGGCTATAACTAGTTAATAATAATTAAATCAGACTTGAGTTTGGAAAACCCAATAATAAGTGACTTTGCACATTATTTAATATGAAGGGGAAAGGGGGTTGTTTATCATTGTGTTATATTGTGTTATATGGGGTGGGGGTTAGGGAATAATGTTATATAACAATTCTTTTCATTTGTTATTATTTATTTATTCTTATTCTTATTTTATCAAAATTTCTGCTTTTCAAATTTACAAAATTAGCCTAGATTATTAAAAACTGAAATGTATTATTTACCTTCAATGCTTAGAAAATTTTTGTAAAAAGTACTTTCTGACTTTTTGCTTGATATATGCTTGTTTTGAATTGTTTCTGGGTGAGGGAGTTAGTTGCTAGAAATGTTAAAATAATATCGGGGAGGATGATCATTTGGAATGTTATATAATGTTGTAAGGGTTAAGGTGGTGGGTCAAAAATGTCATATTTTAGTGTTACATATCATGTGCATGACCCTCAAGTATCACAAGCAACAATTAATATAATTGTTATTTTCATATTTGTCTTGAATTTATTTTTAAAATAATCCTTTCTTTTATTTTCTTGAATCCTTGCTATGTTGGATTTTAAATATAAACTTTGCACTCGGTTTGTTTTGTAATTTCAATACTTATTCCAAATAATGTTGTTTAGTAATGAGTTTTTAAACAAATTGACAATAGATTTTTCATTGATTGGGACACGTTATTGACTGACTGTACCATCTTTAAGTGATCTGCTCTTGTGCTTGTACTTGTACATTTATTTTAGAACGATTTTTCAAAATTTTCCTTCAGGAACTTCCTGAACAGTGGAACAACACCAAGAAAATAGCTATCACAGTAAAGCAACAGGTTGCACCGCTGCAGGCTAATGAAGTTACCAACATTCGTAGAAAGACTGCTTCATTTGATATTGGTCAATTCAAGTTTAGGGAAAGGTTCAGGGTCATTCCACCATACAGATATGACTGTGATAAACCATATGAGCATCTGGATAAGGTGAGTTTACACAAATAAATGCTCTAGTCATATTAAACATATTTAGTTTCTTCTCTGAAAGTTTTTTTATTTATAAGTTTAGCCGAGTGGTGAAGAAAGCTGACAGTTTGAGAGATGTGAGGGCTAACATAAAGTTTTAGAAATCACTATTGTACTGTTGACCATGTATTGTGTCTATGTAAGATGCACTCATAGCAGGGCAGTTACTACAATCAGTTTGATACACATTGTAGCAATCAATCGCTATGTCTTTTTAAGACAAACGTGAATTGCAGAATGTTTAATTATTTAATACAGCTGGTAATATTATCCTAACACATGCACCATTTCTAATGTGAGAATTTAGCACAGGACAGGACAGTTAGCCTGCTACACATATTTGAATTATATTTGCTGGTTGGATACTGTTGTATTAAAAGCTTATAATCTCATTGCAGTATGTGTAACCAAAACTATATAATGGTTGGTGTTATGCTCATGAACACACTGGTATCTAATTCCATTTAAGAATTTATTGGCCGACTGTAACTTTAACCATCACAATATCATTGTTACACGTTAAATTGACAGAGCTAACAAGTGATAAAAACACTGCCTAATATTAGTAATGATGAGAAATGTTCCATTTCTAACATCTAAAAATTACATTTTACAAACACGAAAATATAAAGGCAAATTTGCTCTTATTTACAAAGCGTCCAAATGGGCCGGTAAACAATGGCGCAATTTAGGGACATAATTCAAACTTTGATTTAAAAACTCATTAGCACATGCACTATAAATAGAGTTGTGCAAACAGACGAGAGAGCATTTACGCCACATATCGAAAGGATGGCCTATTACTTCTGGCAGGTATCCTGTGGTATATTGACAGTCCCTTGAGACTCCAACCAGAATAAAAGTCAAAATCCCTCACTAAAACCTTGAAGACTTAAATGTGTCTGTTCATGTTTTGTCTCAGCTACCTAAGATACACTTTTATATTTATAAAATTTAAATGGTCTTTGAGATATTTTAAATAGAAGGGGTTGGGAGCCCAATGGATGAATGTAAAAACTCCCTTAATTACTTAATATCACAATATCCTCCAAAGATGTAGACTTGCAATTATCATCATGTATAGAAAATAAAATCCCCTTTCCAACAAGATATAATTTATAGCATAATGCAGTAGGGTTACAGAGAAATAACTTATGGAACTTATACCAAAAGCACACATTGTGGTTTCCTATATGGTATTTTAGTAGTCGCAGTGGTGGAGGAGACAATGTTGTTTTAACCTAACCCAAGATGACATTCCACAACAGTGTAGGTAGTTGAAGTGAACGCTCTGTTTTTGTGAAAGCGTGGCCTACAATGGCACATAAGTGTATGAGCAATTGTGAATTTACCTCCATGATAATTGATTCAAAAAGCTCATTTAATTAATTTGTCATGTTGAAAACATTATACTTTCTTTTTTGCTATTTTCTAGTCCTACAAAATTGACTTTGTTTGCTACAATCTCTAATTCAATTTTTATGCTATGTATGTTATAACTGAAGTGTATCCTTTCATAAGAGCTACATATTTAATTCACAGAACCATGAAGAAATTAGGGCGATGGAACAGGAGATGGCCAGTCTCATGGAGTCAGCAGGTTTGTTTGAAGTCAGCATTCCTGACTTCAAACAGCTCAAACAATGCCGTAAGGAGATCAAACTGCTGAAGACTTTATGGGACTACATCATCATTGTGCGCAGCAGTGTTGATGACTGGAAGACCACACCATGGAAAGAAATCAATGTTGAACAGATGGACTTAGACTGCAAGAAATTTGCCAAAGACACCCGGACACTTGACAAGGAGATGAGAGCATGGGATGCATATACTGGACTTGAAAATGTTGTTAAGAACATGTTGACATCTTTAAGAGCTGTCAGTGAGCTGCAGAACCCAGCTATCAGAGACAGGCATTGGCAACAACTTATGTCTGCAACTAAAGTAAGATGATAAAACAAATGTGTTAAATCATATATGTAAATGGAGGAAATATGTGATTGACCAAAAGTCAGCGACACAGTTTATTAACTTGTGTAATTAACAATTTTTGGTAGAATGTTATAATGCCCCAGTTTTACAATCAACAAATTTGACCCATATAATTTATTGTGTATTTTTTTTTAAAATTGTCTTTCATATTCTGTAGGTCAAGTTTGTTATGGATGAAAACACAACCCTTGCTGACCTCTTGAACCTTAATCTCCATAACTATGAAGACGAGGTCAGGAATATTGTGGACAAGGCTGTGAAAGAGATGAGTATGGAGAAAGTCCTTAAGGAGCTGGACAGTACATGGTCAACCATGGAGTTTGAGCATGAGAAGCACCCACGCACTAGCATCACCATGTTGAAGACATCAGAGGAGCTTATTGAAACACTTGAGGACAACCAAGTACAGCTGCAGAACATGATGACATCCAAATACATTGCCCACTTCCTTCAGGAGGTCTCCATGTGGCAAAAAAAATTGTCCACTGCTGACCAGGTCATTTCCATCTACATGGAGGTGCAGAGGACCTGGTCACATCTGGAGTCCATTTTCATTGGTTCAGAGGACATCAGAAAACAGCTACCTGAGGATTCTAACAGATTTGATAGCATTGACACAGACTTTAAGGCAAGACTTTCTATAGAGCTGCCTAACCTCATAAATATCTTGTTTACTAAAATATTCACTTTAATAATAATTAACAGTTCTCAATCATCTTTCAATGCATTACAGATTTAACAGTTTTTAAACAGTTTTTATTTGTTATAGGATTTTGATATGAAGTAGAATAAAAAGTTAGTTTTCTCATTTTATTCATCATAGATTTAAGTCTCATTAAAATTATCTGTACAATAACAATTTGATTGAGTAATTTACATCCATAGGAGTTGGTTAACAAAGTTGAAAAAACCAAGAATGTTGTAGACTCAACCAACCAGCCAAATCTCTATGAGAAATTGGAATCACTTCAAGGCCAACTGGCACTTTGTGAGAAAGCTCTGGCAGAGTACCTTGAAACCAAACGTCTGGCATTCCCCAGATTTTACTTTGTCTCATCTGCTGATCTTCTTGATATCTTGTCCAATGGAAATGATCCAGTTACAGTAAGTTACTGTTTTACTATTATTCTTTTTTACTTTTGAAACTTTAACATATTTTTTTTATGTGCGAGTTAATTACTTTTGTTTATCTTTAAACCAGAATATATTTTTACTTTGTTTTAATTAAAATATGATATTATACAAACAATAACTTTTGTTTTGTGCAGGTCGCAAGACACTTAACTAAACTATTTGACTCCTTGGCAAAACTGAAGTTTGAGTTAGATAGTGAAAACAAACCAATCAAAAATGCCCTTGGCATGTTCAGCAAGGATAGCGAGTATGTAGACCTGAACAATCCCTGTGACTTAAATGGACAGGTGGAGACCTGGTTAAACCGCCTTTTGGAAGCCATGAAGGCAACTGTTCGACATGAAATGACTGAAGCTGTAGCTGGATATGAAGAGAAGCCCAGAGATCAATGGCTTTTTGATTACCCAGCCCAAGTTAGTCTTTATTAATTCCTTAATTTATTTTTTTTAAAATAATAATGATGAACAATTTCTAGTATTTATATATTTCCAATGGCAGTAGGATAAGACAGATGAAAAATACTTGCAAGGAATTACATGTTTTGATAATTAAATCCAAATTTATGGGTGTTCTGGCATGTGTGTTAACCTAATTTTATTCTCAACGTAGTGTCCACTCTTTCTCTTCCCCCCCCTTTTTTGTTTTTATGTTGACATCACCAATTAAATGTACCACACCCTCCCCTCCCTTGCATGGGAAAAGGTTGTTTACATTCTAATTTGTGCTAAAGAATCTCCCTCCCTATAATTAGCACACAGCTTTCCCAGCTGGTAGAGATTTTTGCTACATTTCCTCAACATATTACGAGATGCAATAAACTTATAGTAGCCTTAAAAGACTGTACTCCTTGTGTGGGTGTATATTAATATTTGTATCTTTCAAAAATTATATTTTTTTACTGGCTGTGCTGTAAATTAATTTAGTTTTTATTTCTGTTTTTTTTAAATTTGCAATTTTATATAAACTTAAAAGTATAATTATATTGAATATTATTAATATCACTAGCTTTGGTATCGTTTTTCTTAGTATGATGGTTTTCAGTCCTTTGTTACGTATTGCTCATTTAACAAGCCAAAGCTAAGACAGATTAAATATTCAAAAACCATTTAATGGTACATAACAATGGGAGACCATTTTTTATAGTTGTGATTAACATAAAATCTAGATAAACTTATTTATGGCATTTAGCTTTTTACAAAAATTAATTTGTATCCATAGTTAAAATTATCAGTGTATGTATGAACTTCCATAATGCTAATTTTGTCAACTTTTGACAAAACTAGGTTGCACTATGTGGAACACAGATATGGTGGACCACTGAGGTCAACATAGCATTTGGTAGACTGGAGGAAGGCTATGAGAATGCTCTGAAGGATTACAACAAGAAGCAGATAGCACAGCTGAATGCTCTAATCACTATGCTGCTAGGCGACCTTTCCAGTGGAGACCGCCAGAAAATCATGACCATTTGTACAATTGATGTACATGCTCGAGATGTTGTTGGAAAGATGATTACTCAGAAGGTGAGCGGCAAGTCTTCTTTGAATCAAGCAATTAATTAAAATATAATCATTGAAAGTACAGACTTGACTGTTTTGCCAATAAGTTGTGCTGCTTGCTCTCTCTCTCTTTTTATTTTTTAACAAAGTAAAGCTGTTTTTTTGTGTGGCTATGTTTTGGAAATGTCCAGATGTGGCATATGCGGTAGCACTGGCTATGGTTAGACCTAAAATTGCTATTGTTAGAAGGCTGAATTATAATTCCAATGCAAAATTAGATTTATTAATTTTAAATCAAATTAAATGTATTAAACTAAAATGACAATTAACTTTGCTTGTTCCTTTTACACAACAGGTTGACAGCTCTCAAGCTTTCTTATGGCTGTCACAGCTCAGACATCGTTGGGATGACAATGAAAGAGATTGTTTTGCCAACATCTGTGATGCACAGTTTCGCTACTCACATGAATACCTTGGCAACACCCCTCGTCTTGTCATCACACCTCTCACAGACAGGTCAGATCTTTTGAAAAGCTGTTTGAAAAACATTTAAAATTCTTTTACATTACCATTCTGGAAAAAAAAAAACACTTGGGTCTTGATATTTATTCATCTGTAGAGACATATTGTGAAAAATTGATATTTGATAGCATAACAGCAACTTTATATTTATACCAAATGTGAAAATAATTTATTTTGTAGATGTTACATCACCCTGACCCAGTCACTTCATCTCATTATGTCTGGAGCCCCAGCAGGACCTGCAGGTACTGGAAAAACAGAAACCACCAAAGATTTGGGCCGTGCCCTTGGCATTATGGTCTATGTGTTTAACTGTTCTGAGCAGATGGACTACAAGGTAAAATTAACCTATATGTAATAAGATATCCTTTGGATAGATTTTCTGATTCAGTCATTCTATACAAAAATAACTTACGACAGTTTCAGATGTGTGATTTAATTTTTATTTGTGATTTAAAAGTTGATATTTAAAAAAGCATTGAAATATAAGTTGCCATTTGGTAACTGAGTTTCTTTCATTTCTTGAATAATAAAGTATCAAAAGATAAACATGATGAAATAAAATCCTGATATTATAAATGTAGAAAATCTCATGAGCACAATTTACTTAAATATCTTTTCCCTCTCCAGTCTATTGGTAACATCTACAAAGGTCTGGCACAATCAGGTTCCTGGGGATGTTTTGATGAATTCAATCGCATTGCTGTTGAAGTGTTGTCTGTTGTTGCTGTACAGGTATTATCACTTTATATTTTAGTCTGCATTATAACACATTTTTGTAAAAAGACATAGTAAATCATGTTTTCAAGTATTACTATTCATTGTGGCAAAGTCAACGTTGATCAATACATACATGAACAGGTGAAAACCATTCAAGATGCCATCAAGGACAAGAAAAAAAGATTCAATTTCCTTGGAGAAGAGATTTCGCTGATTCCGTCAGTGGGAATCTTCATCACAATGAATCCTGGCTATGCTGGTCGTACAGAGTTGCCAGAAAATCTCAAAGCTCTTTTTAGGTTGGTATTTAACAAAAATTGATTTGCTAGGTATAGACATCATTTAATTTTGAATTGTTTGCATCTATATTCGAAATAAAATTATTTAGATGGGATATCATGTTGAGAAGTTTTCATATCTTTAAGTATATGATTTAGGCAGTTAGTTTTTTTCTATTAAAGTTTTTTTTTTTTTTTTTTGAAAAAAGCCATTTAACTTTTCATGTTAATTTTTAGACCCTGCGCAATGGTGGTCCCTGACTTTGAGTTTTCATATCTTTAAGTATATGATTTTGGCAGTTAGTTTTTTTCTATTAAAGTTTTTTTTTTTTTTTTTGAAAACAGCCATATAACTTTTCATGTTAATTTTTAGACCCTGCGCAATGGTGGTCCCTGACTTTGAGTTGATCTGTGAGATCATGTTGGTGGCTGAGGGTTTCATTGATGCCCGTCTCCTAGCCAGGAAATTTATCACCCTCTATAGTCTCTGTAAGGAGCTGCTCTCAAAACAGGTGTGTAAAATTCTTTGTAGAAGAGTTATTGCCATACACTGTTGTCATATTCAGTTTTATACAGTTTAATTACAACATGAGCTATATAAAAATGTTTAATATTCACTATGGCCTTCTGCTTTAAAACACAAACCAGTAAGGTCTATAATTCTGGTTATTGTATGGAATAAAATGGACAAATCAGAACTGAATCTATGATTTTCTTATTTAAAAATATTGTTGTCATTATTTTATTAATTCCTCAAGTTGTTATTTTTTTTTATCCTTAGGACCACTATGATTGGGGTCTCCGTGCAATCAAATCTGTGCTTGTGGTTGCTGGTGCACTCAAGAGAAGTGACCGTGGCCGTCCAGAAGATCAGGTTAAACTTAATTAAATTAAAGTTTTTTTCTTCACATAATACTTTGTACAGAGTCTTTTCATTTTAATTGACTCTGTCTCTTCTAACCATACAGCTAACATAAAGTTACTTTTTATTTGTTTATTTACTTATTATTATTAATATTACTATTATGGTTATGCACATTAACAGCCAATTCTATCAAAGATGAACAGCCTGAATTGTAACTATATCTTTATTACTTAAATGGTATGTCATTTAAGGTGTTGATGAGAGCCTTACGAGACTTCAACATTCCCAAGATAGTCATGGATGACATGCCAGTCTTTATGGGTCTCATTGGTGACCTTTTCCCTGCCCTTGATGTGCCTAGGAAGAGAAACTTAGAATTTGAGAAACAAATTCGCCAGGCAACCATTGACCAGAAACTGCAACCAGAGGAAAACTTCATCCTCAAGGTATTTTACAGATTAAATTATTTAAATTCTTATGAAAAAAAGTTGTGAATTGTAATTTTTGTCAAATGACATTTTTTAAATTAAAGGAAGAAAGTGTATTTCAGGTTGAAGGTGGAATTTCAGACAATTATTTTTAAATTCCTTACACTGAAAGGCCAAGCCATGACTCATTTAATGTTGAACTATCTTCTGCTTGTTACAATTGATCATTCACCCATTACCTGGTAGTATCCCTCATAATCATGAAGCGCTGACTTACATTCAACCAACAGGCAGTGCAACTGGAAGAACTGTTTGAGGTGCGACATTCTGTGTTTATGCTTGGAAATGCTGGGACAGGAAAGAGCAAGGTTTGGAACACTCTGCAGCGGACATACAAAAACATGAACAGAAAACCTATTGCAATTGACCTTGACCCAAAGGCAGTGACAAATGATGAGCTATTTGGTGTTATCAACCCAGCCACAAGAGAATGGAAAGATGGTTAGAATTTTTGCTTAAAGAATGTTTAATTTAATTCCTTCTGTAATATTTTAACACAATCAAAACTTGATTTTATATATTTTTATGAGACTATTTTCTATATTCTTTTTTTTTCCTTGACCCTAAGAAATTTAAAATAATAAATTTAGCTTAACTATGCTATATTATAAAGCGTTTTATTTATTGTTTTTACATGTATATTAGGGTGTGAAAATGAGTTTAAAAAATAACTCTTATTCTGTTTACTGACAAAATTTAACCCTATATTAAGAAGATAGAAGAAATTATAGAAAAATAGTTTTTTTATTAATTGTAAAAATATAATTCCTATATTATTTAAAGATTTTAATTTACAGAGGTAAAACTTTTAATGTTTAAATATCTGTCTCAGTCTGATATATTTATCTTTGTCCCTTACAGGACTCTTCTCAGTGATAATGAGAGATCTAGCCAACATGTCAGGAGATGGCCCTAAGTGGATTGTCCTGGATGGTGACATTGATCCAATGTGGATTGAGTCACTCAACACTGTGATGGATGACAATAAGGTTTGTCATAATGCATAGCCTATATTTGACATGTCATAATATATAGCCTATATTTGTTATGTCATAATACATAGCCTATATTTGTTATGTCATAATATATAGCCTATATTTGTTATGTCATAATACATAGCCTATATTTGTTATGTCATAATACATAGCCTATATTTGTTATGTCATAATATATAGCCTATATTTGTTATGTCATAATACATAGCCTATAATTAGATGCTCAAATCCCCAAACTGATTTTTTTAGCTTAACATGTGGATTTAAACTTATGACCAAAGTTGGAGGTAGAGAATATTCATTCCAAATAAAACTTAATGAAACATCCTCATATGCACACAACACTAAGTTTTATAAGATCACATGTGTGATATCTAACAAAGGAAGGACATGAAGGCCTATTGGAAATAATGGAAACACTTTTTTTTTTTAAACACGCAAATTATTTTTCCGATAAAAATACTAATAGTTTAAAGTTGAGAGAACAAAGAGAACTGCTCTAAACCATTGACACTTTTAACCATTGACACCCTAAATCATTGACACCCTAAATCATTTACACCCAAAATCATTGACACCCTAAATCACTGACACTCTAAACCATTGACACACTAAACCTTTGACACCCTAAATCATTGACACTCTAAACCATTGACACTCTAAACCATTGACACTCTAAACCATTGATACCCTAAGCCAGTAGTCAGTAAATGTTTAGTCTAAAGAGCCAAAAATCAGCAGCAGGACGAATAAAAAATTTTTGAGAGCCAAATTTCTTTTCAAGGACATGTCAAGAATCATGTTTTTTGGAATCAAAACCACTTTGTGGCCGACTGGCCGAGCCAGACTCAGGTCGCTAAAGAGCATCATGCAGCTTGATATTCCGACCACTGCCCTAAACCATTAACACTATAAACCATTTACACTCTAAGCCATTGACATGCAAAACCATTAACACCTTAAACCATTTGCATTCTAAAACACTGACACTCTTTAATTGATCCAGCAGAATTGACTCCTTTAAACTCATTTATGCTAGTCTTTCGTTTTAAAATAAAAAAAAAGTTGTCAATTTATTTAACTTGAAATAATACCTAAAATTTCTTTGTAAGATGCTAGCATGCGGCAGTAATGAACATATGTTAAATTTCTTTGTAAGGTGCTAACATTGGCCAGTAATGAACGTATCCCACTGACTCCATCCATGAGACTACTCTTTGAGATTAGCCATCTGAGAACTGCCACACCTGCTACTGTGTCCAGAGCTGGTATCTTGTATGTCAATCCACAGGACCTTGGCTGGAATCCGTAAGCCCACTCATATCTTTTGTTTTATTAGAGCTAAACAGCAGATTTAGATTGCATTTCTAAATAATTTGGAAAACAGGAAAATGTGTATTTAATAATAACTAAATAAACGTTATTGTTGGGGGGGGGGGGGCTGTGTTCAAGCCATGTGAAGTAAATAAATTGTTCAACAAGATAAGTTATGATTTGAAAAAAAAAGACAGGACACTGAAACTTTACTTTTTGCTTTAAAAACATTAGGACCTTAAAAATGTATGTGTAAAACTTCCATTCTCTTTGTAGGTATGTCCAGAGCTGGATTGACACCCGAGAAGTCCAGTCAGAGCGTGCTAACCTGACCATCCTATTTGACAAATATGTACCTGTGTGCCTAGAGCAGCTGAGAACCAGATTCAAGAAGATCACACCAATTGCTGAGATTGCTCATGTTCAGATGCTCTGCTACCTACTAGAAGTTTCCCTGACACCAGAAAACACCCCCCCAGACTGCCCCAAGGAACTATATGAGCTTTACTTTGTGTTTGCTTGTGTCTGGGCTTTTGGTGGAGCCATGTTCCAGGATCAGGTCAATAATTTAAATGATTATAATCACCTTATCTCTGTAAAAGTGTTACAAAAACTGAAGAACATGTAACCAAAATGTGACGCTCTGTAACTAAACTTTATTTATATAAGGGGATTTTATTCCCCCCCCCTCATAAACAATTATTAATACATTAAAATGAATACCTACATAGATGTAGCATTTTTAAGGTACTTGTATAATCCTACACTAAAAAGAACAACAGAAAAAGGAGCTCTAATTGATAAGTTTTGTTTTCTTTTTTTTATAGCTTGTGGATCACAGAGTGGAATTCACCAAGTGGTGGGTAACAGATTTTAAGACAATCAAATTCCCATCAGCTGGCACTGTGTTTGATTACTATATTGACCCAGAGACCAAAAAGTTTGAGCCATGGACAAAGAAAGTCCCAAAATTTGAGTATGACCCAGAGATCCCATTGCAGGTACGCAACTTATTTAATTATATTAAATAGCCTTCAAATAGTTTTTGGGATGGTGGGGGTTTGTTTGACATATTTATTGATTTCTTTAATTGTTTAAATAGCTTTAAAAGTATGTACCATTTTGAATTCGTTAAAATAAACACTTGACTAATTCTTGTTTAAAATTTCTTCAGGCCACCCTGGTCCATACTTCCGAGTCTATTCGTGTCAAGTACTTCCTGGATCTGTTGGTTGAGACTCGTCGCCCAGTCATGTTGGTAGGCAATGCTGGAACAGGCAAAACTGTCCTCATGCAAGACAAACTCAACAACTTGAGTGAGGACTTCATGGTTACTAATGTCCCCTTCAACTTCTACACAACCAGTGAAATGCTCCAGGTAAGAGATGATACGTTCTTTGTTAGGATTTAATGTTTGGTAAAGATTTCAGAAAATTGCAACTGACCAGATTAACCCTTGATCTGTAGTATAGAATCATGCTGTAGTGTGGGAGCTTTTGAGAGCTTTTTGAGTGACTTTGAAATAGCATTAAATGACTTTAGAAATATTGATACAAGACCCCAATAAGTAAATATTTTTAGAAAGGAAAATGGATGGGGATAAAGTTGGCTATTTTGCCCACCACGTAAAAAAAAATTGTTCAGTGGCCTTGACCTTGGAGTGCTCAAGAAAAAAAAAATCGACAAAATGTCTTGCTTTCAAGTGCTCATAACATCATTAATTTTTATAGATTCCATTCAAATACCTATAAAATATGGTAGCCAAATCATTTATCTCTCAGAAAATGTATAGTTGCTAAGGTTTCTAATACAAATAAGCCTCTGAAAGCAATTTTAGTAATTTTAGGTCAACAATTTTTATTACTGAAAAAAATAACAAATTGCGACCAGAGCTAAAACAAAGTACAACATACAAAATCTCAGGTAAAAAAGTTTTTATTGATAAGTAAAAAATTTTTTTGCTGATCTGATTTGGGTTGTCTAACTATAAAATTTATTAGTTCTGATCTATAATCTGTAGCTTCTGTGACTAAAATCCAGTTATTAGCATCTGCTTGTGCACCTTGTCCAACCAATGCATCTAGTTCGAAGTCTAACAGTACTGTAGGCCTACTTCAGAATCACTAGGACTAGTATCAGATTCACCAGAAGAAGAATCCGAACTAAGATTGTCATGGGGAATGTTAAAATTATCATCAGTATCACTTAAATCCTCTCCTAAAACGCTTTCAAAAATATTTCTATTAGCTCTTGTACTTTTACCTGAAGGCCCAGCTATAGCTTCATCCATTTTAGGTATAAAAAAAAAAGGGACAAAGAACTGTGTAATAATACTCTGATTAAAAAGCACTTATTATTACGTTATCAATAAACAGCTTGACCCGGAAGATGATTTAATTATTAATAAAAAGAAGTGGCTATAATTCTGGGAAAATATTGAATTGGAAGTTGCTATCTAACCGTGTTTTTTTATCTGTCAATTTTTTCGGCCAACCACAGTGGGTTAAAAAAAGCATTTATTTACTAGTAGCTTTGAAAACTTTTAATTTTATCCTTACTCTATGATAACCATGCTCTCAATTAATAGTAAAGTTATGAAATATTAAGCTCATGCTTATTCCTGCTAAAGTTGCAGTGACAGAATATGCTTAACTTTGTTTTGGTTTTTTTAAATCACAGAGAATTCTTGAGAAACCATTGGAGAAAAAAGCTGGCAGAAACTTTGGCCCACCTGGTGCTAGACGTTTGATCTACTTTGTAGATGACATGAATATGCCTGAGGTAGAATAATTTTTATTTTAAGTCATGTTAATAAGCACTGAAAAATAAATGCATGAATTATTCTTAATTTTAATATTCTCAGAAAATATTATTTTTCTTTTACGGTTCATAACTGAAAAGTAATATTCCTCTATCCAGGTTGACAAATACTACACAGTGCAGCCACACACTCTGATAAGACAACACATTGATCATGGTCATTGGTACGACAGGTCCAAGCTGACTCTCAAAGACATTCATAACACCCAGTATGTCTCCTGTATGAACCCCACAGCTGGTAGCTTTACCATTGACTCCCGTCTACAGGTGAATTATTAAAAATGGAAGATTCAAATATTTTTTTCTTGCAGTTTATCTTACAAGCATCTATTAAGTCTGATACTATTTAATCAAATCTTTTTTTTTCCACACATGTACCTACAATATACACAGTAGTTTTGCCTGACTTAATAAATGTTATCTTGTTGTCATGGTAAAATTTTTATATAAAATTATGCTTGTGTTTTATTTATTGTAATTTACCCTTAATGCCAGGTAGTTTGCAAGTAGAGTTGTTTTTAATAATATGATTTACACCATATCTTCTGTATCCTATAATTTAAAATCTCCCTTCCTATTCTAAACTTTCCATGAATAGATAAAGGTTGGTGTTGAATCAGAAAAATAGGAGTGTATCAGGATCCCAAAATAACCAAACTAAAAATTTGCATGGGGTTGGTGGATAATGAGAGAATTGAAACCTGAATATGACTCAATTATTTTGATGAATCAAAGAATATTGAGATGGGAAAAACATATAGGCCATAAAATGTTAAAAACCTAGATTAAAAATTGTTGACAAATTAAAGGACATTAAAATGGGAAAGGAATATTGGCCACAAAATGTTAGAAACCTTGGTTTAAAAAAATGACTTTAATGTTGTGGCTAGGTAAATTTTAAATTAACTAATACTGTTAGATTGCTGATTTTTTAATGATATTTTCTCCATATTAGCGACACTTCTGTGTGTTTGCCATGAGTTTCCCAAGCCAGGATGCCCTGTTCACCATTTACACCAGCATTTTGTCTCAACACTTGGCCCTGTGCAATTTCCTGGGTCCTGTTCAGAAATATACCACAAACTTGGTCAATGGAGCTCTCAGCATGCAGGCCAAGATCACCACAACCTTCCTTCCCACTGCCATCAAGTTCCACTATGTGTTCAACCTCAGAGACATGTCCAATATTTTCCAGGTAAGCCATAGTTTTGCTAACATTGATTTAAAGTTGCTTTGTATCTATAATATCAAGAGCTGACACAATTTGTGATGTATGAGATAACATTATTAAAGAATCCTGGGGGTGGTTAGATACATGACCTTCAGGACCCTCAACAAGTAATCCAAATTTTCAAAAAGAAATGAATATTTCTTGACAAGTGATTTTTATGTGTTTTTGCCAATATTTTTTTCACATGTTCTTTTAATGGATATTTTAAATACTTATTCTATTTTAAGTTTAACTGTTAACTGTATAGTATGTAATTTTTTCATAAACATACGTCTGCTTGCAATATTGTTTTTGTGTAAATGTATTCATAAAAGGAGGTTCTCTCTATGTGTGTTAAATGTATTCCATCTATAGGGATTACTGTTTTCTCAAAATGAATGCTGCAAAGTTCCTTCTGACCTGGTTCGCTTGTGGCTTCATGAGGCTGATCGTGTGTACAAGGACAAACTTATTGATGAAAAGGATCTGGAGACTTTTGACAAGCTGAAGAGGGACATCGTCAAGAAATCTTTTGAAGTAAACATTACATTTCTTATCTTACGTAAAAGTTATTTCTATAAATCCTCATTAAATAAAAAAAACATATGAATAGGAATAGTTTCCTTCACTCAAATGAAATTAAAATGTTGCGTTATTTTAAAATAATTTGTGGCTTTTAGAAATACCCTTTTTAGTAAATGTGTAGAAAATAGTTTTCAAGTGACTAATGAGCTTGGTATAACCATTTCTTCATCAATTTCTAAGATAATAATGAGGTTGTGAAACATCCAAAATTCACATTCCCTTGCCTGGCCCTTATTGAATTACGCTATCAATCCATTTAATTTTTGTGTGATGCAGGACTTGCCAGAGGATGTGGTCTTTAAGCAGCCACTGATTTACTGTCACTTTGCCAGTGGTATTGGCGAGCCCAAATACCTGCCTGTGGAAACCTGGCAGGGTGTCAACAAAGTTCTTGTTGAGGCTCTAGACAACTACAATGAATTAAATGCTGCCATGAACCTGGTGCTTTTTGAGGATGCCATGTCACACATCTGTCGCATCAACCGCATTTTGGAGTCACCCCGTGGCAATGCTCTTCTCATTGGTGTAGGTGGCAGTGGCAAACAGTCCCTATCAAGACTGGCAGCCTCCATCAGTGGACTTGAAGTTTTCCAGGTGATTTTTTAATGGATTTTATCTTCTAGAGCAAAATAATTTTTTTTTAATGAGTTTGAAATTTAATTGATTTATTAGAAATAAATTTAATTCCATTAAAGAAAACTTTGTCAACAATACTTGCAAAATATTTTTTCTAAAAATGATAATCTATAATTAATGTCAGATCACACTGAGGAAAGGCTATGCCATTGCAGATCTGAAACTTGATCTGGCTGGACTCTATCGCAAAGCAGGTGTTAAAGGTAAGCTCAAAGTTAATTAATCATCATTATTATAAGTACTACATTGAGACACACTATTATATTACATTTATTCACAAAGCTCTATTGAGTAATTTTAATTAAAGTTGATCAAAACAATAAATAGTAGAACATCAAAGAACAAAGAATAATGTTGGCCTTGTTGCCACTGGTACAATGACTGCCTCTCAACCAAGTGTAACTGTAATGTGAATTCTTACAGGTTTGGCCCTAGGGAAATGTAAATAGTACATTTGAGGGAGTCATTAGATGCCTATGCAACATTGGCTGTAGTCTTAGTCAAGTTACAGCTGCCAGAATAAATCAGAAATGAAAAATAAATGATTGAAAAATACAAAATAGCTTCATGCACTGTCCAGAGTAATTGCAAGTCTTTAAAATAAAAAAAACTTTTCTCTTCTGTCTTTCAGGTGTTGGGATCATGTTCTTGATGACTGATGCTCAAGTATCTGAGGAGAGATTCTTAGTGTTAATCAATGACCTGCTGGCATCAGGTGAGATCCCTGATCTGTTTGCTGATGATGAGGTGGAAGAAATTATTTCTGGTGTGAGGAATGAGGTCAAAGGTCTTGGTATGGAGGATACAAGAGAAAACTGCTGGAGGTTTTTCATTGAACGTGTCAGACGTGTGCTGAAGGTGTGTAATTATTAAGTAATCATATATTATGTTTCATGATTTTAAATGTATAATAATTCAAATCTAAATTTATGTGATTTAAGCCTCTTACTTATTCTATTATAAATTTTATATCACTAATCATGTTTGTCAATTAATCATTAATTAATAGTGTCAATATAATTTTGAGAACAAAGGGAAAAAAATATTTAAATTTTTCATTTTAAAATCGTATAAAATTAAACATAATGTATGAACTTTCACTTCAAAGTTTTTAAAAAAAAGTTAGGTCTGTCTGCTTTCTGATGTGCCATCAACTATGTGAGAATATTAAATATTGTTTCTGGTTATACACATGCTATTTAAATAAGCTGAAGTGCCATGAAAAGTATGTTATATTTATGTTTGTATGGCACAGGTTGTACTTTGTTTCTCACCTGTGGGCGCAACATTGCGTGTGCGCAGCAGAAAGTTTCCAGCTATAACCAACTGCACATCTATCGACTGGTTCCATGAGTGGCCAGAAGAGGCTCTAAAATCTGTCAGTGCCAGGTTTCTGGAAGATGTTGAACTTTTACAGGTAATTTTATAAGTTTAAAAAAAATTTCAAGGCATAGTAAAGCTTCTTGGGAGAAAAAAAAAAGCAATGAACACTCTTCATCAGTAGTCAAATTTTAAGAGAAACAAAAAATGAGAAATACTTCTTTAAAAAAAGCTGTCATTAGGTGGATTCCACTGGTACCAAGCGTTTAAAAAACATTTGTTCTAGCCTGATTGGTCGGATTCATCCATTGATTAATAATAATTCCTTACATTAGCATTAGCATGAGCAGCATTCATGTGAATAACACTATTAATTTTATAGCAAGAACTAGATAAATAAGATTTTTTTTTTTCTGTAAATTTTTACATTAGTCTGAGGTTTGTACCTTTTTGAATAGTTTTTAATGAATTTGATTAAAAGTTGTTTTGATTTAGTTTTTAAAAAAAATACAAGGAACAATTTACATGTTTTTTTTGTTTAAAAACTCACATGTTTTATATCAAATTACAGCTGCCAGAATATTAAGCCAATATCATAAATTATTATTAACTAAATGAGTGATATGGTGAATTAGTACATATAAATCAGGGAAACAGGTCAATTCAGTGTTTTAAGATCCTGTAATTTTTCATTCTCCTAATCTATGAGTTATTAAAAACATTGAATTATAAGATTTATATTTTATTAAAGATGTTAGTTTATAAACATTCTCAAAAACTCATATTTTGTCATTTTTGTTACCAATCTTGACAGCGTGTCCTATTATGTCAAATATTTTCTATTGATGCTTATTCCACAGCCTGAAATGCGTGAGTCCATTTCTCTCTTCATGTCATATGTTCACAAATCAGTAAATGAAGTGTCCCATCAGTTCTTGGCCAATGAACGCCGCTACAACTACACAACACCAAAGTCTTTCCTGGAACAGATCACACTTTATCAAAACTTACTAACCAAGAAAAACCAAGACCTGCAAGCCAGCATTATTCGTTTGGAAAATGGTCTTGAGAAACTCCGTAGCACAGCATCTCAGGTTAGAAGCTTCAATTTCAACTTTTAAGAATTTAGGATCAATTTTATTCAAATATGCACTTGTAAAAGTTATATTAATAATAAATCCTCACCTCTATCTCTTTAAAACCTAATATATATCATACACATTAAAACTCTACTTTCATTTATTATTTTTACTGGAGTTTTACTTATGAAATTTTTTAAATATCATTAAGAACTTGTGAAAGGGCCATAGGTGCCAACAGGATTTTTTGCATTTATTATAATATCTTTTTTTTTCCTTAACAAACATTGAAAGAAAAGTTTTTACAAATCCATTGTTTAGGTTGATGATTTGAAAGCCAAGCTGGCATCTCAAGAAGTGGAACTTGCCATTAAGAATGAGGATGCTAACAAACTGATTCAAATTGTTGGAGCTGAAACAGAAAAGGTCACGCGTGAGAAAACCATTGCTGATGAGGAGGAGAAGAAGGTCACAGTGATTACGGCTGAAGTAGAAATTAAAGCCAGGGATTGTGAGAATGATCTCGCCAAGGCAGAGCCTGCACTTCTAGCTGCTAAAGATGCTTTAAACACTTTGAACAAGGTACATTAAAACTGAATGAAAGCAAATCTTTTTGAAAAGGGAACTTTGTTTCAAATGTATGCAGATTGTCAGTGTATTTATGAAACATTATTTTGATAACTCTTGGATAATTGCTTCAAACTGAAAGCTTTTCCACATTAGAATATTAAAAGATATTTTTATTTCTTTTGAATTGATTAAGGTCTCAGACATGTTAATTCTGCAACATCATAACTTATTCATACATTTTTTCCTGAAATACCTGCTGCTTTGAAAATGGCAGAGTTAAAATAAAATGTAAAACATATTCTAACATACAATTTTCTTTACTCCTCAGAACAACTTGACAGAGTTAAAGTCCTTTGGTAGTCCCCCAGGTGCTGTCACAAATGTCACAGCTGCTGTCATGTGCTTACTTGCACCAGGTGGAAAAGTCCCTAAAGACAGATCATGGAAGGCTGCTAAAGCTAGCATCATGGCAAAGGTAATTATAATGAAAAGAAAGAAGGGTTGCTTTCCATAGTGATACTTTATTTATATTTATTGAAGTCTTTATTTATCCAGGAAAGTATACTTATTAATGGTCATATATACAAATGTGACAATAAGAAATGAATCTCGAGAAGGAAAATAAAATAAAAATAATTTTTATAATTGAAATAAAATTTTATTGCATAAGTTCATATACAAATGCAGTTTGAGAATAGTGATTCATTTAAGTTTACAATGCAATAAATGAATACAGCACTCCTTCAAGTTTATTGATTTGTTTCTTTTATTTTTATTACTTTGGTGCATAATATAATTTCAAAAAAGGACCAATTCAAAAATCTTTCCAGGGTTATCAGTGTACTTTTTAAAACTTCTATAAATATAAACAAAGGAAACTTAAGTTCAATTTAGAATAATTAAACAATTTGCACAACTTTTTTTCCTTTCTTTTTTTGAAAAGGTTGATCAATTCTTGGACAATTTGATTAATTATGACAAAGACAACATTCATGAAAACTGTCTGAAAGCCATCCAGCCATACATGAACGACCCAGAATTTGAGCCAGAGTTCATCAAAGCCAAGTCTGTTGCTGCTGCAGGTCTGAGAACATAATAATCATCATAAAACAATTAGTTTTATAATTTTTATTTTATTAATTATTCAATCCTTTATGTTATAACAAAGTAATGATGGTTAATTGCAACACATTCTAAAATGGGTTATATTATATGACTATAAGTTTTTTGAATATACTGATATTTTTTCATGCTCTCTTGGTAAGGTCTCTGCTCTTGGGCTGTCAACATTGTGAGGTACTACGAAGTCTACTGCACTGTAGAGCCAAAGCGTATTGCCCTCAACCAAGCCAACGCTGAGTTGTCAGCCGCCAGGGAGAAGCTGAGAGTCATTAAGAACAAGGTTGCAGAGCTGGAGGAGACTCTGGCCAAATGCCAAGCTGAGTTCGAAGAGGCCACAGCTGAAAAACTCCGCTGCCAACAGGAAGCTGAAACCACAGCAAAAACAATTCAGCTGGCTAATAGGCTTGTTGGAGGTCTGGCCTCAGAAAATGTCAGGTGGGCAGATGCTATTGCTAACTTCCGCATCAATGAAAAGACACTGCCAGGAGATGTGTTGATGATTACAGCCTTTGTGTCTTATGTTGGGTCATTCACCAAGGTTAGCAAAAAGTGTAAATGTGTCTGCCCGATCCACATACAATTATGCACACCTTTAGTCAAAAAACACTTGTTACATGCTGTTACATTTTATATGTTATATGTTGTTATATGTACTCAGCTAAATTGTCCTTTAGGAAATGAAATGCAGATTCATCCTTTGGCAGTTTGCAAGTTTATTTTCTTCCCCACGTTCTACCGTTATAAACATCTTTTACTTTATTATAAAATGGAATTAATATATGCAGAGCCATACAGAGTGCGAGGCAAGAAAACCATGGGCTGTGGGCTCCACTTGAAAAAAAAAAAAGGGGGGGGGGAGTGCAAAAATCAGCAACAAAGAATGTTTAGATTTTAAAAGCAATAATTTGATTTTGTATCTCCGTGAATAAGTTCTGTGCTGCTTACTCTTCTGTCCTTGTATACTATATGATATATCTTCATTATATAAAAATAGACTTCTCAAGCTTGCTAGGGGTGCAAATTTAGAACTTACTATAGCCTCCATATGTCCTCTGTAAGCATCTGAATAGATAATGTAAATGTCTTGAGATATTTGTTTTAGCCTTTAATTTCATCCCAATTATATGTTGAAGCTTCTAAATTTCTTCTGTTACAGACATACAGGACTGACCTATTGGACAACCACTGGCTACCATTCCTGAAGGGACTTAAGAGTCCTATCCCTGTATCAGAAGGCCTTGACCCATTGACTTTACTTATTGATGATGCCGTGGTAGCCTCCTGGAACAATGAAGGTTTACCTGGCGATCGTATGTCTACTGAGAATGCGACAATCTTGACCAACTGTGAGAGATGGCCTCTAATGATTGACCCCCAGTTACAGGGAGTCAAATGGATCAAGACCAAATATGGTGCTGATCTCAAGGTCAGAATGGCAAACTTTTGTTCAGACTTAAAACAATATTCAATAACATTTCATTACATAAAACATTTTTAAGGAAATCTCACAAAGTATAATCATTGGGGAAACTAAAAGAAAAAAAATTGTTAAAATTTACGTTTTGTTTTGATTTTTAAAAAAAAATTCCAATTGATTTAATGCAGGTCATCCGTCTGGGCGTGAAAGGATATTTAGAAGCCATTGAAAGAGCTGTGCAAGCTGGAGATACTGTACTCTTGGAGAACATTGAAGAAAATGTTGACCCAGTCCTTGACCCACTTCTTGGCCGTAACACAATAAAAAAAGGCCGTTACATTAAGGTGATTTTAATGTGCAAAAAAGATAAATTAAATATTTAAATTTACGTATTTAAATTTAATGTCATAGTATTTGTTTCTATGTTGTTTTTTTTAATCTGCATTTTCAATACTTACTAATTGATAAATTTAAAATTGCTTTTTATCAAAGGAAAAAGTTATTGAAATAAATTAGAGTCTCATACATACACAATTGTTTTCTTGATAGATGGGTGACAAAGAAGTTGAATATCATAAGGACTTCAAGCTTATCCTGCAAACAAAACTAGCCAATCCTCACTACAAACCTGAGATGCAAGCTCAGACAACTCTCATTAATTTCACTGTAACAAGGTTTGTAAGATAGTTTTACTTCTCTCTGTGGCTCAAAATATTGTGTTTAGCTAAAATTCCATTTTTCTTACATACATTATTAATCACAGTTTACTTCCTTTATGCTATTAAGTTCTGTTTAATTAAACTTTTCTCTGACATAGAGATGGCCTTGAGGACCAACTTCTCGGAGCAGTAGTTTCCAAGGAGAGACCTGATCTGGAGAAACTGAAGTCTGATCTTACCAGACAACAGAATGAGTTCAAGATCACTTTGAAAGGCAAGGAATTACTCTCTTTTGTATAATTATTTCATTACATATGTCCTTAAAAAAATTAATTGGATTTAAATAATGATGTAGTTAATTTTTTTTGCATAATCTTCCAACAGGTCTAGAAGACAACCTTCTGGCACGTCTGTCAGCTGCAGAGGGAAATTTCCTTGGAGACTATGCTTTGGTGGAGAACTTGGAGACCACAAAGAGAACAGCTGCTGAGATTGAAGTTAAGGCTGCCGAAGCTAAAGTTACAGAAGTGGAGATTAACAATGCCCGAGAAAATTATCGAACTGCAGCTGCCAGAGCTTCATTGCTCTACTTCATCATGAATGACTTGCACAAGATTAACCCGATGTATCAGTTCTCCCTGAAAGTAAGTTTAAAAAAATTCAATTTATAATTTCTGTAAATAAAAGTATTCAATAACTTCTTGAGATTATCTACAAGCAGAGTAATTCATACCAAGAATTAAAAAAAAAAAAAAACAACTACGTATCAGTCTTTACATATTTACAATTTCAGGCTTTCAGTGTTGTGTTTGACAAAGCCATTGACAGGGCTGAGCCAGCTGAGGAACTTAAACAAAGAGTCATTAATCTCATTGACTGCATCACATACTCTGTCTATGTTTATACAACAAGAGGGCTCTTTGAAAAAGACAAACTCATTTTCAGCACTCAGATGACTTTCTTGGTGAGGAGGAAAGAAAACACTTAAATAGCATACATTTATTACAAGTATAAAGTGTTTCAATGAAAGGAACAGGGAATTACAAAATATAGATTTTTTAAAAAATTTTTAATTGAACTGGTTTAGGAGTATAAAGATGATTCAGAAAATAATTGTTAGCAATTAGTTAAAACAACGACTGAAAGTGCAACAAATTGAAAAAAAACAAACATCTTTACTGTTGAAAGGTAATGTGCGGGAAGTTTTAAAAACGATTTAAACTGTAAAAACTCATTTTCTGAAATTGAATTTAAATAGTATTGTAGGATAAATTGGAGATATCATCAACACTATGAATTTTAACAACACAAAATTCTATATTGTTATTCATCAGATTCTGTTGAAAGGGAAACAACTCAATCCAGTTGAGTTGGACTTCTTGTTACGTTTCCCATTTGTTCCTAACCTTACTACACCTGTGGATTTCTTGAGTAATAATTCATGGGGAGGTATAAAGGTAACTATAAGCAATTCCAGAAAAAATTTGACTGCATTCAAAAATTTTTTAATTATTTTTCTTCAATCTTATTTTTAAAAATCTACTATACAGCTAAAGAGCTTGATTCATATAGAAAAATAATTTTCTATTAACATTTAAGTACTGAACATTCTTTAAAGGCAATATTTTGAGAATTGATTAATTTTTTTTCCAAGGCCCTTGCTGCCATGGAGGAGTTCCGGAATCTTGACAGAGACATTGAGGGCTCAGCTAAACGTTGGAAGAAGTTTGTTGAAAGTGAGTGCCCAGAGAAAGAAAAATTCCCCCAGGAATGGAAAAATAAAACCTCATTGCAGAAACTGTGTATGATGAGAGCTCTTAGACCTGATAGGATGACATATGCTATCACGTAAGTTTTTATGGTATCATCCCCCTCTTTCTCAGATTTGATAAAAAACACAACAAATAAGAAGAAAAAATTATCAGACTTAAAAAAAAATATATATTGCATATGTCTCAACAAATCTAAATGTTTCTGTTTTTCCTACTTGAAATTTTCTATAAAAGATTATTTTAGTTAAAACAGATTCTTAAAATTATAATTTGATTTTAAATAATTTATTATTATATATATCTGTGAATCTTTTGAACATAGCAACTTCATTGAAGAAATGTTGGGAACTAAATATGTGGAAGGACGTGCCATGGAGTTCGCCAAATCATTTGAAGAGTCTGGACCAGCAACACCAATCTTCTTCATCTTGTCACCCGGTGTGGACCCCCTTAAGGATGTTGAAAGCCTTGGCAAGAAACTGGGCTTCGCCACTGACAGTAATAACTTCCACAATATTTCATTAGGTCAAGGTCAGGAAGTAGTGGCTGAACAGGCCATGGACCTGGCAGCTAAAGAGGGACATTGGGTTGTACTTCAGGTCAGTTTTCATATATCCTCTCAAATTTCCCCTCTGCCAATGTTTTTGAAAGAAATTATCATTGTCACAGAAATATTTATATTGATCAAAAATAATTTGAACAAATGAAAATTCTTCCAATGCTATAATAATGACCTGAGATAAAAGAATACAATTTTTCCATCTTCTAAGTCTAAATGAGGTAACTATTTTTTTAAAGACTATATTTCTGAACTGAACTAAATTCTTCAAAACCTAGTAACCTTTTTGATCAACAGAAAAATTATTTGACATCAATGATGATATTGTATTATTGGCATCTTTACATCTTCGTAACACCATGGTGCAGCTGCTTTATTCTTGGCACTATGTTTAGTGGCTTATGATGCCAATGAGAAGTGGCCAGAATTGTTTGGTTTACCGCTTATGTGAAAAAAAAATTGTGTCCCTGCAGAATGTCCATCTAGTTGCCAAATGGCTGTCCCAACTTGAGAAGAAGATTGAAGAGTTCTCAGCTGATGGCCATGAAAAGTATCGTCTGTTCATCAGTGCTGAGCCGGCTGGAAGCCCAGATTCTCACATCATCCCACAAGGTATCTTAGAATCTGCCATCAAGATAACCAATGAACCACCCACTGGCATGTATGCCAACCTCCACAAAGCTCTTGACAACTTTAATCAGGTAAAATGTTAAAAGATAACCCCTGTATGAAATTGTGCATTCAATTAAATATTTTGAATATAAATTAGCCTTAAAAAAAAGGAAATGTACATTTTTAAACATTATAATTTTTTAGAATTAATTATTCCTTGCCCATATGTCGGATTTATTTAATTTAAAAAAAAACATGCCATCACAATGAGATATCCAGTTTCATGCATTAACATTTCAAGCATATATAGAACTTAGACATAAATTTGTTGTTATGGAACATAACTTTCTTAATGAGTTTATCTTTACCTATTTTAACATTGCCCTCCTCTCCTAGGACACTCTTGAGATGTGTGCCAGAGAGAGTGAGTTCAAGGCCATCCTGTTTGCACTTTGCTACTTCCATGCTGTTGTTTGTGAACGGCGAAAATTTGGACCCCAGGGCTGGAACAGAGTGTACCCGTACAACACTGGTGATCTGACCATAAGTGTCAATGTTCTCTACAACTACTTGGAAGCCAATGTCAAGGTAATATTTCAGTCAAACTTTAAAAAGGAAACGTTTTTTTTTAAACTTTCTGACACAGTGTCGACTTAAGCTGATTGTAATTTCTATTATATCACAACTGATAGGAACTAACAAATGATAAGAATAAAATTCAGTAATACAAACAATATTCTTGACTTGTTCCAAGTTGTTTGACAATGAGATAAAATCTTATGCAGGACATTTTGCACTACTCATTGATTGTATAACTATAGATTGTAATTTTTTTATTTGTTGTGGAAATGACTTCACATTTGTGTTACTGTTTATCAGGTTCCTTGGGAAGATTTACGTTACCTGTTTGGAGAAATTATGTACGGTGGTCACATTACTGATGACTGGGATAGAAGATTGTGTAGGACATACTTGGAAGTCTACATGCACTCAGACATGGTAAATGACATAAAGGCAACTTTAAAATGTTTTTCTATGAAAAGCTCAATAGTGATGAGCACAAATATTTTTTTAATGAAAATAATAAATCAGTTTTCTCTAATATTTTTGTGAAAACTGGCTTCATTTCATTTCTTGAATGGTGCAAGCAAGGGTAAGACTACAGGAGAAAACCAAAACTGTAAAATCCAGAGATAGAGTCCAGAATTTCTGACACTGATACCAATGTTATTTCGGAAATCCTGTGATGCAGTGAGTGCCAAGTTGTATTGACATTTGTCATTCCCTTGGATCTACTGGCTGCATGGAGAGTGGGGATCTGCTGCCTTGAGAAACAGCTGGTCTCCATAAAACACTGCCCAGGCTAAGTAGCTCTATTGATGTTGATACTTCATGAGTAGCATAACTCATTTGAAAAGCAAGAAAGTTAAATAGAATGAAGACTCCACCATTTCGCTTTGCAGCATGGAATGTAAAAACCATCTGTCCTGGATGTGACACTGATCTATTAGGGAGTCAGAGAGGCAGAAGATGTGTGAAACAAAGCCCTTGCAACAAAAGAGCACTATAGAAGGCCAAAGTTAACCAGAAGTCAAGATTCTTCTGCCCATACTGCCATTCCAGAATCTGCCTCAAAAGCCATTTGATGAAGTGTCAACAAGCTACTCCGTCATTTCATGAAGACAGAAGGGTGCCATATAAGGACAAACTTTAATTACCTCAGCATCTGATTGCCTGCAATCATCAGGGATCTTAGATGTACTTTTGGCTTTAATCATTAGAAGTGTTATAAAACTATGTTAAAAGAAATATAATGTACAATTTTGTCACTCTTCGTTTATACAATATTTTCTGTGAAACCTTTTTCAGCTGGATGCTGAGCTTTTCCTAGCTCCTAACTTTCCCATCCCACCCAACTCTGATTACAAGGGTTATCATGCCTACATTGATGAGTGCTTACCACCTGAGAGTCCCTACTTGTATGGCCTTCACCCCAATGCTGAGATCGAGTTCCTGACAACAACATCTGAGAACCTCTTCAGGACTGTCTTTGAGATGCAGCCCAGGGATGCTGGAGCAGGTGCCGGTGCTGGAGTCAGTCGTGAGGAGAAGGTCTGTGTTAAAAAATCCTGAATTTCTCAAAAGCAATGAGATTTCCAGGTTGCTATTGTAAAATTTGTGTCAAATATTCATTTCTGGGGACATTTTTACAATATCACCCTGGCAATCTCCATCAAATGAAATTTGATAAATTTAATTTGATTATATTAGGTATATTATTATTCATGTGTTGCTAATTCAAGTTGAATTTTATCATAACTCACTTAATAGTGACTTGTTTTACTAGTTTTAAATAATTGTTTAAAAGTGTGTAGGCCATTTTTTAATAAAATGTCAAATTTAATCCACACAACTGTTCTTTCTTTTATTAAAAAACTCTTAGGTCAAGTCTATCTTAGATGAAATTGTTGAGAAACTTCCTGATGAGTTCAACATGCAGGAGATTATGGCTAAAGTGCCAGTAGAGGACAGAAGTCCTTATGTTGTTGTTGCCTTCCAGGAATGTGAGCGGATGAACATGCTTTTGAGTGAGATGCGCCGCTCCCTTAAGGAACTTGACTTGGGTTTGAAGGTAAAAATGACTGTCTATGCATTAAAATATTTTTCAAAATAAAAAATACTTAGATTTGCAGCCCTTCAATTACAAATTAAACTGCTTTAGAATACTTAAATGTGCACACATGTTTTGATAGTTGTTTTAATTCATAGTTATTTCATAATTGTTTTAATTCATAGTTATTTCATAATTGTTTTAATTCATAGTTATTTCAAATGTTTGTGTCCCAGAAAACTGACTATTCATCACTTGATATCATAACTCTACTTTTTTAAATACATTTTTAACAGGGTGAACTGACAATAACAGCAGACATGGAAGACCTCAGCAACAGTCTCTTCTTAGACAATGTTCCTGCAAACTGGGCTAAACGTGCCTATCCATCACTTTTCAATTTGGCAGCCTGGTATGCTGACCTCTTGCAGAGAATTAAAGAACTTGAGACGTGGACATCAGACTTCCAGCTCCCTGCAGCCGTTTGGCTTGGTGGCTTCTTTAACCCACAGAGTTTTCTCACTGCTATAATGCAACAAATGGCCAGAAAGGTGAGCAAGTTTGATGAAATGTAATAAAATTAAGAGCTTATCAGAGAGGCGAAATAATTTCATTGTTTCTTTAAAGCTATTTTTACCATGTTACCATAGCATCTCTTTGAATGCATCTTCTTAAGTTTGGAGATGAGTTGCCTAAAATGCTAAATAAGTTATTATATTTGTCTGTAACACCAATAAGACTATTTCACATATGGAATATTTTATTTTGTTAGTCCATTAAGCTAAATAAATACAATGGAAGACTGTTATGTTGCCAGCTTTGGGTTTGTCAAAAAGCATTGAGATAACCAATGATCGAGATAAACGAAAACCAATATTAATACTATTCTGGAAATTTCTTTATGTACACGTTGTGCATTTATAAATGAGAATGTACATGCACATGTTTTTGTAGTTTTTCTTTTTACACAACTGCATTACCGCGATTTGTTTGATGAAGCAATTGGCATGCTATAAAAATTTACATACATGTTTGCTAACAACACAAGGCATATGTGGGGTGCCACTTTTCCGGATTACCCCGAAATTCCGGATTCAAGAGGCAAAATATTTTTCAGCTCCGGATTCGTGAGTTTTTATTTTCTCTCGCTCCGGATTCGCCAGTTCAGTTTATTCAGATATGGATTCTGTTTTTTTTTAAAATTCAACGTGTCAGAACACATGAAAGTCTATTCATCAACAAGCGGGTTCGCTATAAATAGAACAGGTACTGCAACCTCTCTCTTTTGTTCGCAAGCCTCTTGCTCCTGGCTCCTTGCGAGTCAAGTTAATTGCGCGGGCAAAGATATTGTCATTTCATTTAAATTACTACAATTTGAAGTAGGTACGTGTCTGTTGTATATATATATGTATTTTTAAAAGCCGGTGATTGGTCATGGGGATCGAGATAACTGATGTTAAGTGGCAAATGTGGCCACCTTTGTGCTCGAGATATTAGGGTTTGGAGACATAAAAGAATCGACATAGCCGGTGAGAAAATGCTATGACAAAGAGTAAATTTGGCGGTTTCACTTTACAAACGTCAACCTTACAGTGTTTGCGAGTTAACCAAGATCGAGATAAGTGGGTTAGATTGTATTTCTATAAGTGTTGGTTGAAAGAAGAAATTAAATTTCTTTAAAATAATATATTTCAGTTTGAATTCGCTTGTGAAAGTGAGAAACTAAACATTATTTATTTTTTGAAATTCAGAATGAGTGGCCTCTGGATCGTATGTGCCTCCAGTGTGATGTCACTAAAAAGTCTCGTGAAGATATGGCTGGGCCCCCTCGAGAAGGTGCATATGTGCATGGTTTATTCATGGAGGGAGCTCGATGGGACATGCAGACTGGTATGATTGGTGAAGCTCGACTAAAGGAACTTGCACCACCTATGCCAGTCATCTTCATCAAAGCTATTCCTGTTGACCGTCAAGACCTGCGAAATGTGTATGAATGCCCCGTCTACAAGACTAAGGCAAGAGGTCCAACTTTTGTATGGACATTTAATCTGAAATCCAAAGAGAAACCAAGCAAATGGGTACTTGGAGGTGTGGCTCTGTTGTTGCAGGTCTAATTGTTTTAAATTTCTTTTGATTTATTTTAAATTACTGCATTAAAAAAACATTAACTTCAGTTTAATATTTACTGAGGCTTGTAAGATCATGACCATCAATTCAATTAATGTCAACGTATTGCAAAGTCTCAAAAGATCTACAAAAAAATCTCTTTCAACTATTAATGAAAAAGAAATTCTTAAATTTTATGTATCAAATGTTATCTAAATTATGAAAAACATTTCATGATACCGGTCCTGCTGAAATCCATCTGGAAATCCTACTTAGGTGTATGTCAACTTGTTCATGTACTTATAATATGTACAGCTGTTTTGAAGTTTTTATGTAAATTGTGAGTAATTTTCATGTTTCCCTGTAATGTGTTTCTCTTACTTTGATTTTTACACATTAGGATGAAGAAATCTGTGATAATAAATGAAGAGTATTGAATTTTATACACATAGATCAAAAGCTTGGATTTTAATATTTATTTATAAGAGCATGAGAGTTGTTCTTTTGTGTGTTTTATATTCCTTGAGCAATTATTGTGTGTGTTAATTATTCCTTTGCCTTTTCAGTTTAACTGGATCATAGCTAATGTAAATAGTTTTAAATTGCAATCAAAATATGAAGGCTAATATTTTTGTAAAAATGATTTCAAATTATATGAATTATAATATTTTGTTATCTTTTATTTAAAATTGTAATTAAAATGTATATGTCATTATTAATTACTAGCAAATATGACCCAGTGTTTATGGGCTAAAAATGGAAGGCATATTGGGCTACTTGCTACCTGCTATTGCAAAGTCTCAAAATCTACTAATTTTTAAGTACATCAGGTTTTAAGATAGTGTATACATACACTCACAAAATTACGAAAATTCTCGACCCCCTTGAAATGTATAATTAGTACATAGTAATTCCGACTTCCCCTTTTATTAAAAGAACTATCTATGTATAGAGGGCCTAGATGTTTACATTTCTAACATCACTGGGTTTTGAGAAATGTTTATCCTCTATATTATATAATATAGGCCCACCCAACCCTTTTTCATGCCCCTGAACTCCCAAGAAAATAATTATTATGTTAAATTTATTTATAATTTATAATAATTATACTTACATGTTACAGATTACTTATACTTGCATAAAAGCAGATATATTTTATCATATTTAAACTAATTTGATTTCTGTAAAATAACAAAAAAATTCACTATCATTGTTTTTAAGAACCCGATCATAATGCATCAACACTGGCTCATTCTTATATATAAAGATTGAATGAGCATACATTAACTTATTTATATTACAGATCTTTTTGACCATAAAAATCATATACTATAATTTATATTCCTACATGAGGTAACTGACTCATAACTATGATGATTTTATTTTAGTAAGCATTTTTTTTTTAAAAATAATTTTCTAAACCTTGAACTATTTTATCATTTAAAATAATGTATTGTAAGAAGTTTTTAAAACATTACGGTCAATCAAAATTCTTATCTGACATAAATTAACTCTACAAAAGTAGTATTATCCTTGATAAAATTTACGAAACCCAGAAAAAGGCAACTTTTATACAAACTGCCTGTTAGCAAATTTTATCCAACCTTAATAAAAACATTCCATGCATTCATTCATTTTGTATTTTCATTTTTAATATTTTTTGCCTGCAAACAATCTTGATTTAATTAATAAAAATAAACTAAGACAATCTTTATTTGCTGTGAGTTTTTGCAAAAATCTTAAAAGGTAAACAAATATATTAAAAGAAAATATTCCTTTCAAAACAAAACTAGGAGCAGGAAATTGGGTTTCTGGTGATCTTTATTGTAAGGTTTTGTCATTGTAACAAGTAACTAATAGGTGCAAAAAGTCATGAATATATTGTCATTTTCCCTGTAATGACCCAAACAGAAAGTCTTCACTCGGGATTATTTCCCCATGAACTATCCATAATGATAACCTGTTCCTAATTGTATCCCGCACTTTGGCTTCAAAGATTTTCCGCAAATTAAAATGAAGACCCTCAACCCTCCTCTTTAACCAACTGCTCCAAAAGCAGAAAATAAATGTATAAATATTAGGGATTTGAGTATTGATCTTGATTAAAAATGCAAATAATACTTGAGAAAATTAAAAGCTTCTCCCAGATCTAGTTGTTAAATTGTATTGGAGTCTTGTATAAGTAGATGAATATAATTACATAAGAATTAAAGACATCATGCAACAGTTGTGCACTGAGATTCATTATTAGGTCGAAATAATACGAAATGTGTTATCATTAAGCATTCTTATCATGGGGTTAAAGTTTGAAAAGCCATTGAATGAGCTTAAGGATAACAAACCGGATGCACTTCAATACAAAAAAAAAAAAAAAAAAAGAATTAAAAATTGTAACAAAAAAAAAATATTTAACAAAAAAAAAATAAAAATAAATATTTTAAAAAATTAAAAAAAAAAAAAAAAAAAAAAAAAAAATATAAAAAATGAAATAATACGAAATGTGTTATCATTAAGCATTCTTATCATGGGGTTAAAGTTTGAAAAGCCATTGAATGAGCTTAAGGAAAAAAAACCGGATGCACTTCAAAAAAAAAAAAAAAAAAAAAACAGCATTAAAAATTGTAACAAAAAAAAAATATTTAACTAAATTAACATTAAGTTACATATTTTGAACATTTATAACAGTCATGAGAATGACAAAAAATATAGAAAAAATTAAGCAAACACATTTATGGCTGAGAATGCTAATCAAGCCAAAACAAAATATGCCATAAGGCTGGAAGAAGGGAACCAGGTTATCTGAAATAGTTCAGTGAGTTTTCACATAGTTTATATGCCTAGATAAGGGTCAGAATCAAACACTTTTAAGACATTTAAGTGTTTTTATTTCTCCAATGCTCCTTTTGAGGAGGTATATGCAATGACTAAGTTAAATCGGTTTTTCAACCATATGCATTCAATTTGTTGGTTGTTTTTTTTTTCAATAAAGCTACACAATATTATAATCTTTATAATAGTGATTGCTAATATAGATAAAAAGTAGAGAAATAATAAACTTAAATAAAGATGACATGATATTTAAACTCAACCTCAACCTTAACAACTATGAAGGAAGAGGAATTTTGGTCAACTCTCCTTGGCTATTGCATGAAGAAATCCTCTTAACACATAATCTTCTAGCTTGATGATGGATTAAGCCTTATAAAAGACATGTAAGAAAGTGTTTTAAAAAAAATAAAACATATATAGTCATAAAATACTTAGTAACTCCAACCGGTAAAGAAAGCAAGGATATATAAATATATATATTTTTTAAAGGAAATTACAAAATTGTTACCTATACTTGTCTACTCCAGAGTGGTAAATGAGTATGTGAAAATTCAGTTTAAAAAAAAAGCAATATTAATGAAAAATATATTTAAAATTGATCATGAAAAAAAATGTTATTTCACTTTTAGAGTTCAAAAGCTAAATTGATAAACTATTATAAACTATAATGTAAATATTTTATATGACATATAAATGTACAGAATATGTGTGATTTGTTACAGACTAGATTTAGAGACATTAGGCAACTGTGTTAATACTATTAATTTCCTTAGAAATTAAACTTGTTATTCACAGAAAGTAGCCTATAACTTAATGACTGACGAGTCCGAAGTATTTGAAAGTGATACTTCGATGATCAATGGTACATTTAGTTAACTATTAATCTTTAAATAAACATTGTAATTATTTTTTTAAAAATCAATTTATTATTATGGTAAAAATTAAAGTTAAAAAAGTTGAAACAGCAGTGGAAAAAAAAAAAGGATTTCAATCATTTGATTATTAAATTGTTAAAATTACTATGCTGTTTACAGAATTTTGAGAAAAATAAATGTGGGTAATAAAAAGGATTAAAGAAGATGGGCTCTATAATGAATGCCATAAACCAAAACACACCCATTAAAGCCTGCTATTAGACCATTGATACCACTTCACAAATTTATAAAATTATACTTACTAATGAAATTGAAAAAAAAATCAAATTCAGGATTAAAAACAATATACTTAGTTTTAGAACCTGAAAATATTCTGCTAATACATTAAAAACTAAATTTCTTAGGCATAATTCCAATTTATATTTATTTTAAATTCTGCTATATATAGCCAAAATAAATAGGTTTATCCTTAGTTTTTTTTTTAAAATATGGCCTTAAAAACACTTTTTGTATGCTTTCCATTTGAACAAAAGTTTGAAAATTTCTTCAATGTAGGTTCTTTTTAAAATTTACAATCTGCTGATCAGTGATATACCCAAACACAACAAAATATAATTTCCAACCACTAACAAGACTATAAAATGTTATTGGAGTGAAAGAATGAAATATTAGTACAAATGACTAACCAGCTGTCAGCCCAACATAAAGGATTGGATTTACTTTAACACAAAAAAAAAAATGTTAAAAAACAATATTAAGTAGAGGGGTAAAAGATCTGGAAGTACTTTGTTTTTAAGTTGTTATTACTTCTTGCCATATATACTCCTAAAATACTCCAATTTTAGCATTACTTGGTATATTCTCTGATGAAAACTAATGCATAAATCCCTCTAATCCCATGACACTAATGGCTTATATAATTCAATCTCCTCATTAAAAGACAATCCAGTAAAAACATTTTTTCTTAAATTGATCCTATTTCTTTTTGTTGATCATTATGTGTATATATTTAAAAGGGTGGGCACACAGACATTCAGTTTGAATTATAATAATAATAAAAATGTGGTAAAAATATTAGACTATATATGCAGAGCTTATATCTTTGTGTTGTTCAACAATTGTATATTAAAAATAACATTAAAAGTAAGTCAAAAACTAAAGCAGCTAAAGATCTAGGCCTATATTTTTGTGATTTAAATAATTAAATCTTCACATAGATATTTTGTTATTCATAATCATCAAATGCATTTTATCCATAAAGAATTAGTTTGTCTTAAGTTTTTTCTAAATAGTAGCCTGAATTGTTTTTAATGGTTGACTTTTCATAGATTTGTGAAACATAACATATAAGTTAGAATAATTATTACTTAAAGATATCGATAGTTCAGGTTTGAGTCAATGTTCACAAAATGCATTAAGTTTTAAATTTTAGGGATTTTAGGGAATAATACTTGACTCGATTAAATTTAACAACACTGTCAAGATAAAGATTGCATTATAAAAACAAATCATAAGCAATATCTCTATGACAAAATGTTAATCTATTTCTGCAAACTAGATATTTTACTTTTACCATATTCTTATAAATCAGCTACCAGAACAGGAATATGTTAAGTTAAGTTAATTTGCTGTCTTAATTTCATTTTTCCAAAATATTAACTTGGATCATCTTGAAATACACTCAGTTTTCAAAGTTGGTTACATAAAAATGAAATTTAAGACTTTATTAACAAATACTTATTATTTTGAACTTGCATTTAAATCAAATAAGTTATTGTATAACTATTTCATTTGCTAATTATAAGAGAATGGTAGACTATATTTATTCAAAGATATGTATTAAATGTACCTTTAGCTAGAAAAATATATTTATTGTAAAATGGAATTTTCAAGGTTTTTCATTAAACATGATATTAATATAATTTTAGACAATTATAGGACATTAAAATTAAATGTAATTAAACATTAACATTTTGAAAAGTTTTGTTTTTTAAAATAACTTTTAACCTACTGATTCTTTTTTTAAAGTTTGAAATTAAACCAAAACAAAATTTTGGATATTAATGAATTTTATAATCCCAACAATGCAAAATATGTCAGAGGTGCAAAGCTTTGTTTTCCTAATAATTTTTAGCAAAAGTTGTTAAAAATAGTTGATTTTAAATTTTTGCTGTGCTTTTCAAAAGTTTCTTATTTTAATACCTTTTTTGCTTTTAATCAAACCATACATTTGTATGTTTTTTAATGACAACGTCCTCTTGACTATCAACATGAAACCTTAAAATATCTCTAACTAAAACTAATTGTATTGGAGGAAAATAACACAAGAAGTGGCTCTATTTATTTACATTTACAAGAAACTTGATTGCAATTTTAATTAACAAAATCATTTGGCAGCAAGTCACGAACTTGGTTAACACTAACTAATTATTGCATTAAGTCACATTTAGTATTACTGTCATATTAAATGAGATCATCACATAAGATCATGCAAATGTAAAATCCTACTTATGAATGTCATCGAGTTATTATTATAATTTATTACTGACCATTTACTATCACATTGTTTATGCAATGAATCTTCTCACAACTGAGCTAAAGCAAGACACACACACACAAATGGACATTAAACCTGCCATTTAACAGTGCCTTACATATCAAATGACTAGGTGTAACAAGATAGTAACTTATTAACATGTGTATAATATTGACAAATCCTCTAAATATTGCTTTAAAAAATTTGAAGTGCTTCCTAATAGCTAATGGATTATTAGTAGCAACAACAGATATGGGAATCTGAATTTGAAAATATACTAATATTCAAACCAGCAAAAAATTAAAATATTATAGGTCTGACATAAAACTGTTGAATTTTTATATTTAAATTACCATTGTTAGATAAAATGGAGACTATTTCACTTAAAATCTCTAACATAATAAACAAAAAATGTATCTTCATTTTGATAAATAATATTTGTTTAAACTGGGTTATCATAACACTATAATAAAAACAATTATTACAGTTATACACACACTTAATATGGATTTGATCAAGCTTATCTAATAAAAACAGTTATTTCAACAAATCACTTTTGCTTATTGAGCTCTTAGAGTAAGTATATTTTCAACTAATTGATATGGAAGTTATAAATATAATCAATGTGTCAAATAAGAGTTTGGAAATATCCCTCACATCCAGGCTGCTCATTCTCATATGAATTTCTTTTTGATTTTTTTGCTCTTAAAGATACATAGCAGAGTGGATTAAGAAAGGCAAGAATGTAAGTTCAATTATGAAATACACATTTTAGTCATAAACTTAAAGTGGCTATTGAGATTATTTTAAAAACTAAAGCAATTGTTTTTCAAGGAGCATTTACTGTAGTGTCATATGAAATATTTAGAGCCTGGTTAATATTTGATGATGAAAAAACTTAACAGAAACCTAGATGACTTATCAAAACTAATAAAGGAATCACTTGAATAAAAGCTAATTATGATATTTGGCAACTTGTATGATTATAACATTTCATGAAAGTTTTACCATTTACGGTATGTTAGAAAGTTTATAACATCATATATATTTTCTGCATGAGGATGTTAACTTTCTACAGCATATGCCACAGTTAAGCCAGTGAATCAAAAAAGCCATCTAACAAGTGCTGCCATGTACATTTGTTGTTTAGTTCTTAAATAATCTTTCCATTAAATTAAGTTATTTAATTAATTATCATTGTTGTTTGCTCTAAAAAAATCTAGGCAAAAATGAACTGAGATTTTTGCATATTAGGTTGCATTAGCAAAATTTCAATAGATTTTTATCAAAATTTTAGCTCATATTGTAATAAAAGATATTTAAAAATTATTCAACTCTTTTTTTAAAAAGATATTAAGTTTAGGAAAATCCATTTAGCTTGTGAAGAGGTTTACATCAGATTCACTTTTTAATACAAATTATGTTATTTTACCAAAAGACTAAGTGTCACTAAGACTGTTTATTCAGTTAAATGCTTAATTCAAATAGGGTATATTTAATTGCATTGCAGTAAACTAATCTAGATGAATTATCAAGAATAATTCACTTCTAAAATATTGCCTCTCAACTTTTTCCATGTTGGAAGTTTTTAAATTAAAAGAACACATTGTTCACTTATAAATTAACTATCACTTGTGTTGAGAGTAGAATTATCATCTGAGCTGGGTCATCTTGGTGGAACCTTCAGAGATCTACAAAAATAATTTTGAAAAATGAAAGCATGAGTTAGAAATGGTGGTGTTTTAAACATTATTTTAAATATGATATTTTTATCAAGATGTTATTAAAATTAAAGTGTCAAGAACACAGATTTTTTTACTGATATTTATTTAAAAATAATATTTATTGGGATAATAAAATTCATAACCTATGGAATTTTATATTTCTTAAATGAAAGTTTAATTAAAATTTATAGTAGAAAACTTAAAGTAAATATGAAGCACGATCCATCTTAAAAAATATTTAGCGAAATGTATTTCTTATTGAAGCCATTAACTTTTGGCAATATACATTTGAACAGATTATTGTTTCACAAATTTTGGCATTATAATTTGGAAAAATAAAATTAAAGTATAAATAAAATTATTTTGGCAGATATTTGTGTCTCCCTACTCATGAGATAATTATACACACCACTGTTGTTTTTTAAAGTTGATTAATATCTAATATAAGCACAAGTTTATGGAGCTGACAATATTACAGGTATAGGATTTTTTAACTTTTAGAGATAGAAAAATAAACAAAATAAATTTAAATCCCCTTCTTTGTATAGATGGTCAGTCACACAAAAGGCGATTAATAGTTCAAATAAAATGTAGCTTTTATTTTTAGTGACCGTTTTGTGTACTTATATATGAGACAACTGAAATGAGGAACAGAAACATTTACACTAAGCATAGTTATTTTAATTAAATTTTGAGAAAGTAGTCTTTGAAAATTTACTCATTATTTCCTATACATACACTCCTTGTTTTTTGTTTTTTTATGGATTAAGACAACTACTGCCTTCAAGTCAGGTGGGTTCAGGTCTTTTTTCATGATTCTCAAACTAGTTCTAACGTTCGCTAAACACTGTATATTTTCCGGTTACCTAACTTCAATGAAAACCTAAATCTTTCTTTCAATGACTTTAAGATTATGAATTTAATGAATTAAAGAAATAGTATTATAAAAATATATTTTTAAAAAACTTTAAAAAAAGAACTTTAAACTTGAAATAAATAAGAAGCTATAAACATATTGTGAATTTATATTAAAAAAATTACATTTTTTTTCCCAAGAGGATTCAATAAGAAAAAAGCAGTGCAACCCGGTAAGTATAAACCCTTTTAAGAAAAAAACAACTAAGAACAAATTAGATCAAGTTTATTTCTTATACAAAGGTTAAGCTTTTATAAACAATCGATAAAAAATTATCTCCTACGAACACCATCAACACAATGAATATATATTATACAACACCACCCAAATAAGACAAAAAGATAAGACTGTGTGTTCGATAAACATTTATTTATTTCAAAAGAAATCTTTCAATAACATTCCCCTTTTATCATAACGAGTATGCAGTTGTCTACTCAAGAATATTAAAACAAGCAGAGAAGAAAGATAATCCTGTGATCAGATCTGCATCAAATACATTTTAAACAGTTGGATAAGCAAGTGCATCATTAAATAGGTGACAATTCAGTGTCACTGTGTAACAGAAATCTAAATATATTTTCATATTAGTCACAAGGATAATGTATATAATTTTAAAACTTATGTCCCGATGCTTATATATATATATATGGTGTATAGGTAAAGAAAAGGGATTGAAATTATTGAAGGACAAAAACTGGATATAGAAAACTGCTTGAGAGACAGCACAACTGCTGGACAGATATTATGAAGTGATTGACAGCACATCCATAAGACAGATACTATGAAGTGATAGCACATCCATTGGACAGATACTATGAAGTGACAGCACAGCCACTGAACAGATACAAGAAAATGATTTGATAGCACATCCTTTGACAGGCACAAGGAAGTGATTGACCGCACATTCACTAACTAACAGATACAGCGAAGTGATTGACACTACATCCACTGAAAAAAAATACTATGGAAAGTGATTGATCTCACATCCACTGAACACTTACAATGAAACAATGACAACTAATTGTTATAATATAAAATCACTGCATACTATGCAGTCTCAAACTTTTTAAAATTATCTGTTTATACACGGATGTCTTTCTTTTTTAAAAATTAAGATTCTACATCTTAATCATTTATAAATTTCAATTTAATATACAAAATTTATTAAAAAATAAATGTGAGTGTATAAATGATGTCTTTTTTTCTATTGTCAATTCATGATTTGGGCTATTTAAAAAACATGTCCTTGAAATTAAAAGCATAGAAAAAAAATCATAAGTTTTTTATGCTGAAGACAACTTTGATTTAGCAGAAAAATGTATTAGTTTGTTTGGTATTCAATGAAGCCCCACCCTTCTTCTAGACCTTTTTTGTCTTTTCATATGTTTTCAAACACATTTGATAACAATCTATCACTGAGGGGCAAGTGAAAACACAAAAGTAAATGACACAAAACAAAAAAATGAAAAGATAAAAAAGGAAGTGAAATTTGACCAGATGATTAATATTATATGACAGCATTCAAGTATATGAAAGTTTAAAAAGTCCTAAATTTTCAGATAAAAAAAAAATGGTTTACATTTGATTTAAAATAAGTGAAACGTTATATTATAGCAATAAATAAATCTATCTTGCTTTGATGCAACAAATTGCTTTAAATTAATACATAGATAGATTTTATTAAAATCGAGTCTCACCCCCCAGGAGGAGGTCTAACCCAATAAGGAAGTCCCCATCTCCTACCAGCTTATAGCTTAATATCAAAGAAGACAGTTTATATTTAAAAATTTCTATACAAATGTATGTAGCTTTGTTTAATGGCACATATGCATTAATTTATTTAACATAATTAACATAGGATCTAGTACGGAAAAGTCTTTTGTTTGTTTTTAGCGTACAAAATGTATTTAAACAAACTTTAATAAAAATAGACTTAAACTAAAGTTTAAATACAATCTATCCTTTGGAGCCATTCTTGACATTTTAAATCCAGTTATGATTACCATATATACTCATCTAAAGCCACCTATTAAAAACAACTTTTTCAGGGGAACAAATGGGGTGGTAGCTTATGAGCAGATCTTAAGAGGTTTATATAAATTTCTCCAGGGAACATTGAATAATGCATTTGTTACTAATTTTTATTTTAGATTGCAAAGGTCCTAGTTTACTGTACACTGTAAAATATTCAAATATGTTACCAGAAGCTTTAAAATATTAATATTTAATAACTTACCTTAAATATTATTATTTTTTTCTTCTTCTTGCAATAAAATGAAGTTTTAATGTCATGTTTTAAAAATTTATGAAAGAAAAAAAAAACAGGCTTTAGAATGAGAGCATCCACCATATTAATATGTTTAATATGTGTGTGATGCTAAACTGCTTACCTTTTTATTTTATAAAATACACTATACATTTTTTAAGCCACAATTAAGAATTTTGTTCAAAATCCCTTTTTTAGAAACCATTTTCTAATATTTTTAATGGTTGTTTTTTTTTTTTTAAATGGTTGCAATTTAAAAAGGGTATTGCACTTTGACTATGGATTTAGAAACAAAATTTTTTCTTAGAAACATTGACAAAGAAATACTTTTTATTATGTCAGTATAGAATCACATTACTTGTCAATATAGAGTCATACTACATGTCAATATAGAATTACATTACATGTCAGCATAGAATTAAGATACTCGTAACAAATATAAATATCTCCCCCAGGATAGAACCAAAACCAGAGAAGTAATATAAGAAAGAATAATAGAGACACTTCAGGATCCAACCAATTTATTATTATTTACAACATTCATACAATAACATCATGCGAGTATGTTTCTACAAGCGTACAAGCATTAGCATGCACTTGTGTTAAACCAAGCTTAAGATTTCAACAGTTGAAGTTAATGTCCTGAACTCTTTGCCTATGTCTAAGTCATGGTGCGAATACTTCAATGTTAAAAAACGGAGGATCAAAGATAACGTTTTATAAAGTAGGGTACACTTTAACAAGGATAGAGCAGCCCTACTTTATTCAAGCTTTATAAAACTTTGCATCTTTTATACAGCTTAAACATAACGGTTCATTGCACCATCACAAATTCATAATCTTGCCAGGGGAATTTAAAAAAAAAACTTTTTAAAATCATCTCCTTGAATGTATTTTTCCAAAACAATTCATTAGTTTGTGAGACACTTTTAAATTAATATATTTTTTCTTTACATAATTAATTTACCTGGCATAAAAAAAACACTACAAAGAAACAAAAAAAATTATGACAAAGGCAAAGAGTAAATTCAGTTGAAATAATTTTTTGTGTACTCAAATGTTACTCAAACTGAACTTCTCATGATCAATTTGATGGGGCTTTGAGGTTTGGTGTTAAATAACTTAGGGAAATTCAAGCAACTGTTGATGTCTCACACAGGTCAAAGGTTAGTGGACTATTAGCCTACAGCACTAGTGTGTTACATTGTCAGGTCACCTGGATGGGCATGAGGAGCCTGCAATAGATTGGATACTGGCTGTGCCTGCTGATAGTGAGGAGAAACCACTCTGGCATGACTGCAAACTCGTCATAGATCCCCTGAAATTAATAAAGCATAGGATTAAAAGGTGATTTTCAATAATTGTTTTACAACATGTGAAGTGGCTACTGATGAAATGAGAACACTGAAATCTTTGCACAGAAATTCTGAAATTAGTTTTTTTAATGGCAAACAAATCTACAGAGTAAAATTTTATAATTCATTCTCAATTGTCAAGGGGAGTGAGTGTACACAATTAAATTATTTAAATCCAACCAAATGACATCAGGTGATTCCTGTCATTTTCATTGTCATATTATTTGTCTTATTTAGTTTCCAGCAATGCTAAAATCTATTCTGTAATCTAATTACATTTCTCTTTCATAATAACAAAACAAATACTTTATTAGAGAAGCCAGATAAATAAGGAGATGGGGATGAATGGGTGCAATAAATGTGTTATCTTGCCATTTTTTTCCATCCATCCCATCCCTGTGGTGCTACAGCCCAAACAGGGCTTAACCTGCCTCTCCACTTCCTTCCACTCAGACCTAACTGATGCTTTTCTTTTCCATGCTTAGATTCCCAGCTGCCGTAGATATTTTTTCACATCGTCCATCTCTTTACTCCTCTGTCATTTGGCATTCTTACTAAGTGTCCCGCCCAGCGTAACCTGCCCTTTTATTTTTTAATTTCTGCTACTAGCGTGGGATCCTGATTTAGACTATACAATTCTTGGTTAGTTCATATTCTCCATCCATATTCATCCTCTTTTGGTCCATATATTTTCTGGAGAACTCTTCTCTCCTTAAGTTTAATAGGTTTTCTTGCTGTTTTTGTTAGGGACCAAGTTTTACTTGTGTATGTTACAAATGGTCTGATTGAAGTTTTATAAATAGTTTTCTTGTTTTTCTTGTAATGTTTTTACTTTTGAGTATTTTCTGAATTTTGAAGTATGCCCTGTTTCATGCCGATATTCTTTCTTTTATTTCTGTTAGTAATTCATTTCTTTCATTTAATAAAGATCCTAGGTATTTGAATTGATTTATTTTTTTCAAATTTTAATGGTTCCATCTGTCTGCTCTTCTCTTTGCATGGTCATATATTTAGTTTTTTAGTTGTTAACTTCCAGTCGTGCTTGTAGAGTTGTGTCTTCTAATTTAATAAAGGCTTTTTACATGTCTTTACTACTTTTCCCTAACAGTGCTATGCCATCAGCATATGCAAGATGCTGAAGGGGTTGGCTGTCATAGGCTATTTTATAATCCACAGAGTTGATGTTCTGGGATATTATATTTTTAACACTTCTCTGATAAGCATCTGATGGTGAAAATCCGCTCAGACATTGATCTGTTTTGTCTGAATCCACATTGGTAGTCACCTAGTATTTTTTCAGTGTATGTTTGTAATCTTTTGGCAATTAGATTTGTCAATAATGTAACATTTAATAGGGAGATTCGTCTGTAGTTTGTGCATTGAAGTTTGGAACCTTTCTTGTGTATTGGGGTAATTAGTGCTGTGTCCCATCCTGTTGGTAGTTTCTCTTCTTGCAAAATTTTAGGTATAAGTTTATGATTCTGAGCGTGTAGTTCACTTCCTACATGTTTAATAAGATCTGCTGTGAAGAGGTCTTCTCCATGGGCTATGTGGTTCTTCATAGAATTGATTACTTCTGTAGTTTTTTCCAGAGTTGGGGAGTTTATTAAAGGGTCTGGTCCTCCATGTGGTGGTTGATAATCTTCATCTAGTCCATTGTCTGCATTTAGTATGCCCTCAAAATATTCAGCCCACCTCGGCAGTACTTTACTTTACTTATGAGGATATATAAGGAGATGGGGATAAATGGTTGCAATAAATGTGTTATCAGACCATTTTTACACATTCCTTAATTTTTTCAACTATCAAATGAACTGATGTTTTCTTTAACTTAACGAATACTGTATGTGCAAACCTGAAAGCCGCAGATGGTAGCAGCTCTGAATGGTACATAACTCTTGACTTGTGAGATGTTAAGGGAAAGTCAAATGAAGGCTTGGTGGTATCAAAATACTTCCACTGGAGGATGTAGTTGCCAGGCTGAGATGTTACATGAGAGCCCTGAACGAGTGAAAGTAAGAGAATGTGACAAGTCATCATTGAGCTAAATGTTAGCAAAATATGACCAGTATAATCATTGAGCTCACGGCTAAGATGTACTATCATTTGAGTAGCTCAACCGCTTATCTTTAGTGATTTGTAATTTGTTGGGCAAATATTCAGAGTGGCTGAATTAGTACCAAAGGGAAAGAATGTAATTGAACTATGACCGCTTAGTTCAACATCTAAGCAAGTAAATAATATCTAAATGTTAGATACAATCTCTGTTCAAGATTCTTCATTTACAAAATTGTCCCTTGTGATAGATCATCAGTAGTAATTAGACTGGTTAATAAATACAAAGCCGTCGATGGTGTAAATAAATTTAGAACATCATGTCAATTTGAGTTTGTGATCATGAGGGGAAACCAATGTCGCATTGCCACCACTATCAACTTATGGTTCACCTTATTTTACAACACAATCATGTGACCAGTCCATACAGTGTTAAAGGCATTTAATTTTTTAACATTTGCATTAAAGTTAACAACAATCGATTTTGAATTTACCATCTTTTTTTTTTTTTTTTAAATAATAAAATGGAAAAACATTGATGTCAAATTACTGATCCCTTTCAAAAAAAAATTTGGAAAATGAGATTTTCCATTTCCAATCACAGTCTGATATTTTATTATTCTAACCACATTCAAAACGTTTAATCTGCCTAATTTTAAAAACTGTATTAATCACGGTGAAGACTTACTTGTACACTATCTCCATCCCTGCATATATTAGGAGGCTCCACAATGCTGACATCACGTCCTACAACCATAGTCTTGTCAATATATTGCACAGATCCTATACTGCCTGCTGTCCCACTAACATGGTGCTGGTGGTGTGGCTGCTGGGAAATTGGTTTCCTGCACAAAAACACTGTGAAGGTCACATCCCCTTTGAGAATGTCAAAGTCCCAGGTAACAACACTGCCTTTCTCAGGCACTTCCATTAACACCTGGCATCAATGTTAGAAACATTCATTGAATGACATAGGAATAGAATACATTTGTTAATAGATTTTGTTACAAATTTAAACATTATAAAATATTTAATTGCCTAGCCAAAGATGTTTTCACAAAAATGTTTTCTATCTGATTAAGATTTCTACCAACCCATATTTAGTGTAAACAAAATCCTACTAAGGTTTGAATACTGAGTTCAGATATTTTACCTCATGTGGGAATTCCTTTGCTACAGCTGCAGTCTGGTACAAGCTGTCTGTACTTAAAGGTTGTTCTTCTGGAGACTTGTCAACAAGCTCTTCCTGGTAGAGTGATTTGGGTACCAGCCCCCCTTCAGGGACATCACACTGTTATTAAACAGGTTTTATTACACCAATGCAAAATAATTCACTTTCTGATAAGAAATAAATGTATATGAAAATAAATCACAAAGCAAGTCCAGTGTTTCATTCTGACACATTTTTATACTCTAATGTAAATTCTTTTATAAATCAAAGGATGATATTTTTTTTAAAAATAGATGTCCAAATTTTAAAACTGTCTTTATCACCATGAATTTCTTATAGATTCCTATTTAGTTAAGTAGTAACATCTGGACCTTTCAGCTACCCTGGTCAAGGTTTGTAGCTAAATTGTATTTATTCCTAATTATGTCAAGGTGTCCATGAATTTCATGTAAATTGTTTCCATCAATTTTTTTACCCAGGTATACTGTAAAGCTATCTTTGAAACCTAATGTAGACTTTAATAAAAATCCATCGTGAACCGAAATTTACCAATGACATTTAGTAATAAAAGTAAACGAGTCGTACCATTAATTTCCTGACACCAAGAACGCAAAACTTAATTACAATCAAGTAGCTTACATAACAGTCCCCTCCAAGGAAATCAGGAATGTATTGCTTTTCCATGAACTCCACAAGGCCACCAGGACCAAGGTAATCTTTTCCACCATAGATCATGAACTTATTGCGAGTATTCTCATCAATGAAAGGACTGACAAGTGTCCACAGTACAGGAAAAACACGAGGGGCTCGAACAATGAGCAGCCGGCCCATTGTCTCTGGATAGTTTGCTTCAACAGTTTCAATAATCCTCAGTAGGGCCCGAATTCCAGGTCGCCAGAGATGCCTCATACTGAGGCCTTCAAGATCAACAATACATGTGCAGGCACTGAATGAGGAAAATGAAAAAAATAAATAACAGAATACAAACTTTGAATAGCTTGAATGAAGTAAAGGTATTTATTGATCAATAAAAAAATATACGCTTACAAGAAAATGACAAAGACTTGTGTCCTACCTAACAGGATATCCACGCTTCTGAGTAGCTTCCTCTGCTCTTTTCAATCCTTCTTCATTGACTGCTAGAACCTATGCTCCGTAGTAAAAGAGACAATATAAATAAAGAATAGATCTAAATCTAAAGGATTAGAAATAGATCTACTGATAAAGCTTTTTTAAACCAGAGTTTAGTGCACCAGAAATTGATTTGTTCCCTATATTGACAATGTATTATGTTTATTTAAGCAGGCCTACAGGTTCACACCACCCATTAACAATACTTATGTTTGCCCTATTGTAATGCTCTTGACTTACATGTCTCAGTACAGCTTCTTCTCCTTCAGATCTCATCAAACCTTTAACATCCATCTGACCCAGTTTGATAATGTATAATGGCCTTCCCTCTGAAACATGCAACCAAAATTTATTAATATGATAGTCTTAAAGCTGCTAAAATTACCACTTCCCCCCATGAATTCAATTAATTATAGCTTACCTTTGTCACAGTAGTGCCAACCTCCAGGATAATATTTTTCCAATACCTCTGGCGGTTTGTATCCATCGAGAATTCGATCAATGTTGTGCAGTTTTCTCCAAGCAAGGGAGTGCACCAACATTTCACGGGCCTTTTCAACATTAAACTCTCTAGCTTTCAAAAATCTCAGAATGTGAGCATCTTTTGGTATCTGTAAATTAAAATAATTAATTGATAACCTTAAAATAATATGTGTCGTGTGAATTTCAAATAATGTACCACAGCAATCCCTGGTTAAAAGCTCATTAAAAAAATATTTAAAATAGTCCAAATTATTTCAGGCATAAGCGTATTTCTTTACTGAAGTTTTAGTTCTGCAAGTTTTAAACCCCATCCAGGTGGAGGAAGGTGCTATGGACATTTTCTACAGTTTAATTTAATATTAAGAATGGATCATTTAGAGATGTTTATTTTCATAAGTATAAAAGTTTACCATGTACCAACCTACTTTTTTGCTTTTTATAGCCTCAGTACCAGCTATTATTTTGCTAACTATTCCCTGTGGCCGAGACATTATTTTGAAATGAGCCAAAATTTGATAGGTTTGCAAATTATTTTGTAACTTTTTTGTTTTAAACAATGGATAATAACATGTACAGAATTATCTGTTCAGAAATGGATAAGGGTGTTAAAAATACTAATGTGTTTTGTTTAAACTTTTCATTGGCAATGGCACGCTAGAGGATTGTGTGGCTGGCACAGTGTCCAGTTGATCTTACTAAATCAATATCTACATTGACACTGGTCTAAAACCTGTCAAACCTACAGGCTCCCTTAAGCGTAAATTTTGAGCTATTGTAGGCCTATTTCCTTCAACAATTTTACCCCCCTCTTCCTTATCAGCATCAGAATCATCTAAACCCAATTTAAGCTCAATAAAAGTTTCAGAAAAAAAGGTTTCATGAAGTGGGTGTAAGGCGTCAACAACAATAGCGTTAGATAGCGTCATGGAAACAACAAATACAGATCAGCACAAAAAACTCAGTAATTGGTCAATTTTCATAATTTAAAAAGCAAATTAAAATTTGACTATTCCCCTAAGGAATAAACATTCTACCCGAGACTATGGTGAAAGGTTATATCCTCGTTTTTGTGTTTAAATTAGATACCCCTCTATGTGACAAATAGACGCCCTTGGGCCACAGGGAAAAAAAATCGGCTGGTGAAAAAAGACGCGCTTGGGCCACAGGGAAAAAAAGTAGGTCACTGCAAAAAGACAGGCCCGGTACTGTAAGGGTTAAATCTAAAGATAGTTGATGTTAGGGTTTGGGGGTCTAACAATTTTCAGGTAAGCTTTAAAGATTTTATTTCTTTAAATAGCTTTAAAAAATATTTTGTTATTTTACTATATGTCTATAAATATCTAAAGAAATAAAAAAAATATTAAAATCTAGCATTTTTTTAAAAAAAGGACTCTTTTTTTTTTTTTTTTTTGTCAGTAATAAACTAGGACAAGGCTTATAACTATTGCATTAGCTCAAACCAACAAGTTTTATTAAGTTAATAAATAGAAAGGTGAATCATTAGTATGGATCTGCTCTAAGGGAGGTGTAGTTTGATGTTATGTGAATTACAAGAACTTAGTCTAAAAATTTAAATGAGAAAATTCTCACCTTGCCCTTGTGTGTTTTTTGAAGCCACATTCTTAACTGTACAAGCTGGCTTTCTTCCACAGTAGTAAGATGACCCAAAAATCTGGCAATATAATCATCATCAATCTTGTCTATCCCAGGTTCAGTTTTAGGGGCACTTCCACTCTCTGATGACAGGACAACTGGAAAAATGTAAATTAAAACAATGATTTTTTAAAGAACATCAGTAGAAAAGAGGATTAGGAGATGAATAATAAGAGCTTTATTACTATAATTTGGTTGGCAACATGAACCAGTTCTGATAATAAAAGGCTAACAACAGTGCAAGAGCTAGAGATAATTAGGAAATTGTTGAAATAATTTTTTTGTAAGGTGAACTTAGGTATAAAAAAAATTTTAAACACTGAATTTCATACCAATCCAGTATTAAAAAGTTAAACACAAGTGTTGAAACAATCTTATCTGACAAAGCGAATCAAAAATGTTCAATTATCAACCAATCTAGTAACAACAAGGTTAAAAACCACAAAAAGTTGAACCAATCTTGTTTTTAAACACAAACGTAGAATCAATATTTCAACAAAATTATATTATGAAAAAAGTAAAATGTTTACAATTTTTTTATTGCTCTCAATATGTAATTTGATAAAAATTAAACATTCATTTGATTTTAATTAAAGCTTTGCTGCTTGTTGGTTGAAATTGTTAGTTAATTACATCATATTAGTATTTTTAAAAAAAGGAAAGGGCAATAAAAGAAAGGTGCTGCTTAAATAATAGATATTCATAATAAAAATTAATAAATTTATTATTCTTAAATGATTGGGTATGTGCCCAAGATAAATATTAACATAATAATTTTCAACGAATTTAAATGGTAGTTAAAGGAACTCTGTATGTAATCTAAATTGAAAAAAAATAAAGGATATTTCTTGAAAAGTATTATATCATAACTGAAAATAATCTTAAAGAAATAGTCTCTGTATCACCATTAAATGCTCTGCTTATATAAATCTCTAGTTGTAAACATTAAATACCCTCAGGTGGAGTTAGGGATTTCCTGTGGATGGATGCAGCTGTAGCACCAAGAACTAAGCTGTGTTGGCTTTGTTGACTTCCTACACTATCAGACCGACTCCTAAGCCCACTGTCCTGACTTGGATTGTCTTCTTTTTCAGATTTTTTTAGAGCTGGAGGGCCATCCCAGGGTAGAATATGAGTTACACCTTCAGTAATCAGTTCATTGATGTAGTACTCAATCACCTCTTTTCCCTGAAACCAACAAAGTCATAGAAAGATTATATAGAAGTTATATATGGAAATAAAATAACTTGTTCGTTTTAACATTAAATCATTATATACAGTTAAGGCAATCTTCAAATGTCTCACTTTTTTCACATTGGATGTATATTGCTTCATTGCAATCTTTTCCACTGTACTTTCAAAGCCAAAAAAATGTTTAATATCCAAGCTAGCATCCTGCTCAAAGCAAGTCCAATTAGGATTTTCTGGATGGACCTGATAAATTGACATATGAATGAAAGAAATTGCATTTCAATAAACCCAGTTACAAATATTAATTTAATTAAATGAACTAAATAAAACTAGTTTAACATTTTTAAACAATAGTGAAAACATCTTTACACATGAAATATGCTTTAAAAGCATGATCCCTTTTTTTTTTTTAGAATACCAATGTAAAATAAACTGACTTAAAAAAAAATTAGGTGAAAAAGGTATTATAATAGTTAATTTTAATAAGACATCAATTAACTATAATAGTATGGATAATAACAAAAATGTATTCAAATGTCATTCATCCATCTTTTCATCAAAGTTCATTATTTCCACATGTCACTTTAAACATTCATTTCAGACAGATGGTAGGGCTTTCAGATAATAGTGTCAGTAAAATGAGTACTAAATGCATTCATTTATATGACTTAGTACACTGGTATCTACACCAACACAACATTGATTAGTGCATTGTTTACTGAATGATGTTACAAACAGATTTCACCCCCCATTTTTATATATTGTCAAAACAATGTTTAGCTTCTTTTATTAATCATTTAAATTATCATAGTATAATGCTGTTGGCACTGAATTTGGCATATTGTTAACATATAAATACAAAATAAATTATTTTTCTTTAATTATTAAGCTTTTTTAAACAACTAATGCTAATTCAAGAACTACCTGTAATTTTAATTACATAAATATATCTTTAAAATCTTAAAAACACACAAATACTTAAGAAATGTTTCAAAAATAAAATCCAGTACCGAATAATGACAATGTTCATAGATGGTAAGTCTTGAGGAAAAGCTCTCGTTGTGTGCAATAATATCCAAAGTCCTTGCTCTGCGGTTTAAGTGATTCTTCTGAATGAATATCACATGGTCAACTCCAACAATCTGAAAATAAACAACATAAATTATAAACAATGCTTATTGATAAATTGAAATAGCTTTTTTTAGTGTAGACATAGTAGTTTTTTTTTCAAGTTTGAACTGATATATAATATAAATTTAAAGAGTTAGTAAAATGTAACAAAATAATAATTTTACCAATATAACTCCCTGTGGCCCTACAGCACATGTAGGGCATTGGCCTGCCTCACTAATTCCTTCCACTCAGACCTAACTAATGCTTTTCTTTTCCATGATATAACTTGTCTAATATGAAAATAGTGAATTAAATTTTTTCAACTTATTTTGTTAATTCAAAAGAGTCTATGCAATGTGCGTATTCTGATATTTGCACAGTTTGATTAAAATTAACTTCATTAAATTTTTTTCCCCCCAAAAAGATTGCAATCCAATTTTTGAGATCTTTGCCTTTTTCAAAAGAGTCTACCTTAAGTTAGTGCAAACTATATAGCAAGTATTACTTTTATATATCCTTACATAACTAGTATAATATTGCCACTGATTAATGCAACTGCCTTTATAAGTAATAATTAAAATATTTTAATTCAAAAGATATTTTGGTAGAAGTACAAGATTTGTGAACAATTCTGGTTTTTAATTTTAAAACTTAATAATATTTACATTTTAAACTTTGATATATTTCACTTTCTTCAACTTTCTGGAGTCATGCTGAGCAGTGATATTCTAAAAAAATCTAACTGCCAGAATTACCCAATATCTTTCTGATATTGAATACAAACTGTAATAGAGTGGTAATTAACATTATAATAAGAAAGATGACAAAAATGGTAAAATGACAAAAATATTTTTAAAAATATTTACCTTTCGCAAAAGATAAGGGGCATCAACATTGAGCTTGCAACGCCTCTCTACATTGTGCTCAGCACCATCTTCTGATTTAAATTCATGAATTATATCACTGCCAAGGAAAACCGGAATCATCTTACAAGTTGGAAATCGCTTTTCGTAAGCCTGGAAAAAAGAAGTAGGCCTATTCATTTAAAAAAAAAAACGATGATAAGAGACTTAAAAATACAATCTGTAAAAATGTCAATTTACTATTAGCCATTTCAGGGTCCATTCACAAATTATAATGACGTCATGAGTCTTTTTAAATAAAAAAAGGGGGGGGGGGGATGTCTCACAAATTTTTGACAATGTTTGATAAATGTCTACTTTATCTGAGAAATTTGTGACAATGAATCAAATAACCTACCAGGCCACTTGAGATTTATTTTTGAGGAAAATATATATTTTTGTAATAACTAAGAATCAATATCCCTTATGCCTACTTCCCGTTAACTTATTACATTCTGATAACTACGACAAGCTGTAAATGGGTGAAAGGAAGAGGAGGTATTAAAAATCATACAGCTGTTTAGCGTTATCTTAAAGAGATTTCAAAGGCTCCCCCAGGTCCTATAAAATATATCAAAATCTAATACTGCTGAGCAAAATAGTTAAGAATGCATTCGCTAGTTTTCTCCGTTTCCGCACTCAACAGCCGCGGTTCAACCGTAAGAAATAATTGTCAAAAAATTACGTCATACAACACTGGTAGGGCAATGAGAATGGGACCAAGGGCAAAAGGCGCCAAAACCATCTTTAGAAATGACTGTAATAGTGAATAAAACTATAAAATCCCATTTACTTCACTAAGACAAGGGGCACTAAAAATATTCCTTTTACCGGTCCACCCTTGGGGTACACATTTTTCTATATGGGTTGCTACGACTTCCTCACGATGTTGCAAAATCTTTAGAAATTTTCATAATTTATTTCCACTTTTAATCCAATGTGACATCTTTCAATTGTGGTGCAAACAGTAACCCACTTGAGGAACTACTGTTTGTAGTTAGTAGATGGCACTTAGTGAATATAACATACCTGTTATATTTATTTTTACGTAACCCTTTATTTTATTTTGTTTAGGTATGCGCTATTTGTTAGAATTTAACATAGGGAGCCTGGTGAACATATTAATTAGGCATAGGCCCTGAGAAATGAAAATTTTAGAACCACTGGCGTAGTCCAAAAAAAATATATTTCGCAAGCACATTGAAGACAGTAGACTAAATATTACTGTAATACCTCTACTACCGAGTACTTGAGTGTATCTAGCGAGTTCATTTATGAAAATACATGGCCCCATGGCAATAATTCCTACAAACCATTGCCATAAATATGCTATGTTTGGACTCTCAGGATGAATACTGATGATTTACGGAATAACTTACATACTTTATGCCAAGACACCCCCCCCCTCCACCCCCCCCCCCACATTATCATCCCGTCAGGGCAAACGCAATATAATTATAGATGGTCCACAACCAATCGCATTTCTTGATCCATTCACTGCGGTAAGTAGAATGCAATTGCCGAATGCAAATTAAAACGAATAACCGAAGAAGTACTTTTTAATAAATTTTATTTTTATTTATCAGAAAATACTACGGAAATGTATTTATTTTCAACTCAGTCTCTTAAAATCGTAGTTCCCTCGGGTCTTGGCGTACAATTGTAAAAGACATCGCAAAAGTGTACACAGTACGCCAAAACTGTAAGAGTAAACAGTTCTGTGTAGTGTGTATGTAAGTAAGCAGGGGGGAAAAACGGGGTGGGGGGGGAATTTTGGGCGCTTCCACAAGTTTCATTTCTTTAAGGTATGCCACTGGGCCTAGCCCAACTCATACTGATAGCTTCTTTAAAATATGTCAATGATGACAATGCTTCCCCTTGAATCCTGAAATTGAAGGCCAGAGTGACAAGCAGCTTGAAACTAAATCTTGGAAAAGGAATTGTAGACCGTCAAGACCAAGTTAGCCAAATATTACTGTATTTGGCTTGAGTCCATACAATCATTCAATGAGTGAGTCAACTTAAGTGATCTGGTCAGTGCAAGTGGGTTTAGCATTACTTAGTCTACTTATTATTACTATTGTTGTTAATTAGTGGGTAAGTCTAGATTTACTATTTACTGCCATAGACTTTAATTAGTCAGAGATTCTTAGACTATAATAATAACTGTAACCAAATCCTTTGTATAACTGATAAAAACTATGGCCAAAAGCATTTCTTTGAGAAAAACAAAACAAAACTAAGCTACTGAGAAAAGTTAAAGTAACATACTGCCATGACAAGTTCGAATGGGTGCTTGTACACCCTTACGGGTGATTGATAAGTCTGGACCATTCTTGAGGTCTAAGTCGTCTATAGACATGTCAGCCTAAGTACATACTCCATTGTTGATGAATGGTGAAGGTTATCGCTTCTTAAACATATTTTAAATAATATTATTTGAATCAACTACGTTGCTTTCACTTTGTTTCTGACTATTAATGGAAGGATAGACAATCGATCAGAGGGGAAATAGTCGATGTAGCAAAATATAGCAAATATATGTACTTGTATTTATATATTCGAATCTTTTCGATACCAAACTGCAATCGACAAAGTTTACAATCATTACAGTTCGAAATGAGCAGATTAAGAGGGGGAAAAAAACGTAAAAAAGGTATTATAAGGATTTGGAGATTTTTTTAAAAAGGGAATGCTTAAAAACATTTTTTACAAATAATTATTTATTTTAATATCAAATATTCTTTACATATTTTATTCAACAATCTATATAATTTTCAAGAATTGCGAAGTAAATGATAACATGATGGGATTCACCAAAAATTAAGATTTTAAAGTTTTTAAAATATCCATTTGATTTTCTTATATCAGATGACATATCGAAAAATGTTTCCCAACCGACCAAATTTAAATTAAATAAACTGTTTCTATAAAATTAAAATTCTTTAATAGCGAAATTAGAACGTAGTCGATTACACTTGTACTTAGCCCTAGCTTTAAAAAAAAAATGATGACTACTTCATACATCAAAGGAAACGCATCCGCTGAGAGTAATTTTAAAATAAATAAAGAAATTAACAAACTTTATCTTTTTAAACAACCGCAGCATATTATTTTAAATTATTAATTTGATTTAATTTTTAGCTTTGTTATGCCAAATGTTTGGGGCTTTGAATTTGATAAACATGAAGGTTATATATTAATACACTATATAAGTATACTATTATAAAATAAAAACATTGAGCCTACGGCCTTCACTATTTTATGTATGTGCTTTTTGGGGGCGGTGTCAATGTTATGTCGCCTTAATGTATATCTTTTAAAATGAAGTAAATCGTTCACTATTAAAAGCGTGTAAGAAAAATAAGATGATTCCCCACAATTAAACAACTTTTAAAAATAATTATATGGTTGCCGTGGAATAAGAAGGGGTCGGTCCGCATTTTCGACGAATCTATAGTTTTTTTAGTTGACAATGACAAGGACCTCATTAAAAGCTCCCCCCGCCCTAGTGACCTAGTGGCACTAAACATAGTTGCGCCACTGTATCGTTGAGTGGTTAACTAACTAGCAGATATGCTATAAGGCTGTCAACGGGTAACCGCTCGAGGAATAGTTGGGAAACTTTCAAACTTGTTCACCCTTTAAATTTCAATTATCCATTTCTTTGAATTTCGTTCAATATCACAAATAGGAAATTATTTTTGTTTCATATGTTTGTTTGCCATTAATAACTGCCACGTTATAAGCCTGTATGTTGACCTAATTTTGCTGTGACATTCAACCTTAACCCCCCCCCCCCCTTTTTTTTTTTTGTGTGCTGTTGTTGCATTGGTACTGTGATCACCAATTACCTTGGTGTCACTTTTAGACATGTTTTCCCCGACGCTTTCGTCGCAGTAACTACGTTTTTAAGTCTTAGACTACGGCACTACGACAAGCCTAAAATACTAAGGCTACGGTTTTGGGAGTTTTATTCGTTTGTTTGGTTTATGTTTAATTCAAATAAATAATTAGGGTGTTTTCAGGAAAAATTAACCGCATTTTTTTAAATTAACATCATAAGCAATCGAATTAGAATTAGAATAACAGTGATTGGCCTTTGCGGTCTCGATCTCAATGAACCAACCAGAATATTTTTCTTTTAGATGATTTGCATTGTTAATATTTAACTGCCAATGTGCTTGCCTAAGACATTTTCTTATCTTTAAGAAACAAATCGGAAGACCATATCCTGTATATTTATTTGTCTTAACTTACATAAGCGGTTGAGTGGATATCCTTACACAACTTGTATTTTGATTGCACCCTCCACTAGAGACCGACCGAAAGTGATTTTCTGATTTCGGCCGAAGCCGAAAATAGGCCGAAAGTTTAAAATGACTTTGGGCCGAAACCGAAAAAAGGCCGAATGTTTAAAAATGACTTTCGGCCGAAACCGAAAAAAGACCGAAAGTTAAAAATGAATTTCGGCCGAAACCGAAGCCGAAACCGAAAATGAAATATTAAGATATTTTGAAATTCGTTCCCGCATACATTCTGCTTACATCGAAAAATGAGATAATCGTAAATATTAATAAATAAAAATCTAATTTAGGGTTCTCAAACTCGCGGCCAGCGAGCCATTTGTGACCCGCAAGACGATATTTTGCGGCCCGCTACATGACAGAAAAGTTTAGTGTAAATGCGCCGGCCCGTTCCCCCCATTCTCATATCCATAACGTGACTCTCAGCGACGGTTTCAGTCGAATCTCACCGACTAATCTAATTCTGATTTTTTTTTTAATGTCTCTATATATTTTTGTATGCCAGCTCTCTGGCAACAGTGAGTAGGTGAATGAAAGTGAATCCTAGTTCTTGAGAACCCTTAATGATTTTTTTTGTTATTTTTAAAGGTTGACCAGATTGTAACAGTTATAATCGCTTTTTTGTGGATTACTTGATGCGGCCCACTCTCATTCAGACACTACCTCTTGCGCCCCCCTCCCCCCATAATTTGAGTTTGATACCCTTGATCTAATGAATACTTTGGATTTTACCATTTTAATATAAAACTAATTTAAATTGCTTTACAATTTTTTTTCAAATTTGTATGGTAGGAGAAAATTTGGCAGAAATTGGGGGG